TACAACTCAGAGAGGGTAAGTTATCTGTACAAAACTCTCACAGAGCGCTACAACTCAGAGAGGGTAAGTTATCTGTACAAAACTCTCACAGAGCGCTACAACTCAGAGAGGGTAAGTTATCTGTACAAAGCTCTCACAGAGCGCTACAACTCAGAGAGGGTAAGTTATCTGTACAAAACTCTCACAGAGCGCTACAACTCAGAGAGGGTAAGTTATCTGTACAAAACTCTCACAGAGCGCTACAACTAAGGCTAAGGACATTTTTGATGATTCTGAAACAGATTCAATTTCCTTATTAAGTGAACAGTCTGATATTTTGAAACTTGCTATTTATGACTTGAAATTTTGGAATAAAGGGAAATATTTAAACTACTTACTTGATCATCAGTTATATAAAAAGTGGTTCTGTTTTTTAACTGAGTCAAACATCAACAATTTGATTCGTCTTTTAGCTTCTTTAACAAACAAGTTTTAACAAAATTGATTATCAGTAATATATAAAAATGTGTTTGTTTTGCAGGTTCTCCGTAGAAAGTATTACAACATAGTTGAGGACATGAAGGGGAAGATCCGAGTGTACTGTAGGGCTAGACCACTCAGTGGGACTGAAAAGGGCAGGGTAAGCACAGTATTAACATATACATCTGAACCTGGTCAATATCTGACACCAAAAAAAAGACGAACTGTGCATTATAGGTCATTAATCTTGTATCTCAGTGACATAAGTTGATAAAGTACAACCCAAAATATCTAACATTTTGAAACATGCCATACTGTCTGTGTTTTCTTTAGGATATAGCACCCAACTTTTTGAGCAGGGTCTAGTTCATAGAATAGCATACATTAATAATGTATAATGTTATTTTTTCAATGTCTCTGATAGAGTAATTCACCTTGTTGAGAGAAATCAATCATCCATAAAAGATCAGTAAATATCTGTTAATTGTATTGGATCTTCAAAGGATGGCTAACTTAATGAGAAGGACAGAGAAGCTTTTACCTCATATATTTATAAAAATTATTGAAACTGTTAACTTCATATATTTGTAAAGAAAAATATTAAGACTTAAACTTTGCACATTGTATAGTTACAAAAATAACTAATTAAAAATTGAAAAATTTCAGATACTTCTTAAAAACTGCATTTAGAATATTCACATTTACATTCTCACTGTCATTGACCTAATCATCCTTTGAACACCTGGGCCCTGGGCTTCAGAAATTATAGTTCGTTCTGAAATGTTTGAACTTTTCCAATTACAGGGTAACGTGTCGGTTATTAAATCCCCGGATGAATACTCCATCAGTGTTGAATCGTCTCGTGGGCTGAAGGAGTTTACATTTGACCAAATCTTTATGGAGGCCACATCACAGGAGAAGGTGTTTGAGGACACCAACGTATGTCTGATTTTATTTTTGTCAATATTGGATATACAGTTTCAAAATAGAAAAAAGAGACTCTCAGAATCAGTTTTTGCCATTGTGCCGTTGTTAATCTAAGTTGATACTGTTTTACCATTGTGCCGTTGTTAATCTAAGTTGATACTGTTTTACCATTGTACCGTTGTTAATCTAAGTTGATGCTGTTTTACCATTGTGCCGTTGTTAATCTAAGTTGATACTGTTTTACCATTGTGCCGTTGTTAATCTAAGTTGATACTGTTTTACCATTGTACCATTGTTAATCTAAGTTGATACTGTTTTACCATTGTGCCGTTGTTAATCTAAGTTGATGCTTTTTTACATTTGTTATAGACATTTCTGTTCACATTGATGAATTTATTTTAAAAATTATATGCAAAACATTTTCATCAAACAAGAAATAAATTAATTAATTTTTTCCTCATATTTAAATTTCATACACATTGCTGATGTTCTCTTTAATATGAATAGATCTCATGAATCGAGAGGGAAAGAACATTTTTTCAAAAATAAATGATTCAAAAATTATCGTAAAAAGAAATAGATTTTTTGTTGTTTCTTGAAATAAAGTTATCTGTATAGACCGAAATACTGCAGATTTTTTCTGTGTAATATAGAATTAAAGTTTTCTATCACAGAACCTTATCCAGTCTGCAGTGGACGGGTTTAACGTGTGCATCTTCGCCTACGGACAGACGGGCTCCGGTAAAACGTACACAATGATCGGTGACAGGGACCAGAAATACCCCGGAATCGCACCAAGAGCTTTTGAAAGGATCTTTGAATTAGGTCATGAACTCAGGTGAATTTTCAAAAAACATTGTTTTTTTCTGATTAGTGTTGAATTATTATTTCATGTCCCAAGCCTTTATTTGCTGGTAATCTTTCACCTGTCCATTCTGTCCATTGGGCAGGTTATCCGAACGACATTTCCCTGTGTCGACATCCTCATTACCACATATATCTCAGGGAGGTTTCAGATATATGTACATCACCACTGGATACTGTGTCACATACTGTTTTCAGACACCCTTGCCTATTGTCAACTTCACCGTAATAATTAAGAGGTCAAATGTCTGCATTTCTTTGTCCAAACAGGTCCATCACTACTAGACACGATATCACATTCTATTTTCAGGTGTCACAGGTGATTTACATATATCTTACAGATTTTATGTGATTCAATCTTTAAATAACAAATGTTAATACACAATGTATTGATCATTCAGATCCAAGTTTACCATCACGGTGACTGCCTACATGATGGAGCTGTATAACGAAAAGCTCATCGATTTGTTTGCCAAGCCTGGTACATCAGATGACGTGAGTCAATGTTTAAGTGAAATATCTGGCTTAGAAATTCATTGAAAGACTAACAACTGCTGATGATATAGATTCAATTTACACGTTCTTTGAATTACTCAATTAAAAACAGAATATTAATTATTTCATTAAAAACAGAATATGAATTACTCCATAAAAACGAAACAATTTAAAATTACTCCATAAAAAACAGCATTTTAATTAATCTATTAAAACAATATTAATTACTCCTTTCAAACAGAATATTAATTACTCCATTAAAAAATAGTATTAAATGTGATTACTTCATAAAAAAAAACAGAATATCAATTATTCCATCAAAAGAAATCCAGAATTTTAATAATTCCATTAACACAATATTAATTACTCCATTAAAACATAATTATTAATTACTTCATAAAAAACAGAATATCAATTATTCCATCAAAAGAAATCCAGAATTTTAATAACTCCATTAACACAATATTAATTACTCCATTAAAACAGAATTATTAATTACTTCATTAAAAACAGAATACCAATTACTCCATACCTTTTTTTGGTTCTGTCTGAAGATAATCTGAATATCATCAATGAAAACAGTAAAAGATGCAAGAGTAATGTTTATGAATTCATAATTTCAGGATAGGATGGAGATTAAGAAGGACAAGAAAGGCATGGTGTATGTACAGGGGTCGTGTGTAAAGGATGCACACAACGCCAAAGAACTTGGGGCGCTGTTTGATGAAGGCAGCAAGAACAGACATACTGCCTCCACAAGTAAGTTATCAAAATGGAATTTTTTTTTTGAGTAATTTAGCATGGAGGGTATATTACTTGCTGTCTTATTGAGACAATTCACTAATGCTTTAATTATGCCTTGACTGAATAACAGATAGTATCCTCTCATAGTATCTTATTGTAGAAGTTAACCCTTTCACCCCTAGATCACTTTAGTAGACTCTACCATACATGTATCTGGATGAGTCCATTGTGGTTCACAGTGGTGAAAGGGTTAAGATATATGATTTGTTAGCTTGGCAGGGGTTTTAAGTTGTAGTGAAGTACAATATTAGGTCATGTAATGACTTAAATGGTAGAGGTGATTTTAGAATATAGATATTTTGAAGTTTGAAAAGGTAGGATGACTTAAGTTTTTTATCAGTAACAAAGAAAATTCAAGATAGCACTCCATTTAGTAGGTAACGGTATAAACTATAGGTAATACTGAGACTACAATCTTATGTAAAACAATATACGCTCTCATTATAACAATGTTATATAACAAATTAAAATAATTCCTTGTACGAAAAATAAACTTCATTTATTTCACAACAGTTATGAAACAAGCTATTACAACTTTAACATATTAATCACTCTTGTTGGCCTGGATGTTAGCGAGATTGGGGTCTTTATGTGGGAGAGAATTGAAGTTCCCAGAGAAAACCGACATGGTTGGGCAGGTGACCCCATACCTTTTCACATCCGATCAGGGAATCAAACCCTGTCTGCTTTGGTGTAGGCAAGTGTGTTATCCACTACGCCACCCGACCATCGAAAATACATTCAATCTCAAATGTCAAAATTTAATCCAAATTTTTTAACCTGCAAATACTAGGTTGTAGTGGTATAACTTGTTATGCAGTGGTATAACTTGTTATGCAGTGGTATAACTTGTTATACATGTATTGTAATTAGAAGTGCAAAGAAGAGATGCTTATAAAAAAGACATGGCTATATAGACCATGTCTTTGATATAAAAAAACAATAATTTCTAACTGTTGTTATCCACAGAGATGAACGATGAGAGTTCACGTTCCCATCTCATCATTGGTATCATGTTGGAGAGTACTAACAAGGCTACAGGACAAGTTCTCAAGGGAAAGGTAAGCAACCATGTAGGCTTGGAATAATATGCAGTGAAACCTGTCTAATCTGACAACCTGTAAAATACAATGTATAGGTCACACAGGCTGAGAATATACAGTGAAACCTGTCTAATTTGATACCCTGTAAAATACAATGTACAGGTCCCACAGGCAGAGAATATACAGTGAAGCCTGTCTTATGTGACATCCTGTAACTCACAGAGGATGTCAGAATACACAGGCTGGGGAATATACAGTGTAACCTGTCTAATCTGACACCCTGTTTAATACAATGATTAGGACAGAGAATGTCAGAATACTCAGGCTGGGAATATATAGTGAAAAGTTTCTAATCCAACACAACATATAAGTCGGATGAGAGAGGATGTTGGAATGCACAGGTTGTATTTGGTAGATTTCATAAGAAATGGGACTACAGCATTGTTAGATTTTAGTCGGAATGTTAGAATACACAACTTACACAAGTTAAATTTTGTAGATGTCATTAGAATAGAACAGAATTATGTTGCATTAAACGAGAGGTTGGATTACTCAGGTGACAAATTAGACAGGCTTCACTGTACGAACAAGTTCTCAGTGCTGTCACAGTTATTGTAGGGTGTAGTTATTGATGATGACCTAAAATAACAAGTTACTGATGGCTGAAGTATGGCAACAAGATCTATTGTATATTCCACTTAACATAGTTTTCCAGTTTTTGATATTTTGATTAAGATGTTTAACTAATTTTCACTATTATTGCCTTATTTTACTATATATATATGATTGCCATGTCATAACAGCAGGAAAAGAAATATCATTAAATTGATTAGGAAAAGAACATACAACCATGAGAGTTGGAGCATATCATCAGCTATACAAACATATGAGGCAAATGGCATTTAGGACAGACTTTTCTAGTAGTTTTTAACTGAATTATGTTCGTAATTGATTTGAATTAGAATTTCTGTAGTTTTACAATCTGAGAAACCAAATTAAGCCAAATAATCTAGACTTGTATTTCCTTTCAATATAGTCTGCCATACAAATCATGATTTCATATTATTAGACTTGTTTTGTTTAGAAGGGTGTTGTGTGCATAGAAAATAGATATCAACAGTCACTCTTGATTATTTTTTGACATAAGGATGAGGACCATTCAATCCTCGATGTAGGGATAAGCTTTGAATCTATTTTTTGGAACAAGTGTGACTGTTGATGTTTATTTTATTACACTGCCTGTAGGAACTTGGTGATAGATGTTATGTAGAATATGTTTTATGTTACAGCTGAGTCTGGTGGATTTGGCTGGTAGTGAGCGTGTGGCTAAGACAGGGGCCGGTGCAGAACAGCTCAAAGTAAGACACTGTTGTATGAATATATTATAAACTTCCTTACAGTCTCAATGATTGAGAATTATAATATCGTGATTCTGTGTTCCTGGCACTGTCTTAATTGTAGCATAAATGGACACAACACAAATGGACTACATGTATAACAAAAATTATTCTCTCAACACTAAGTACAGTGTGCAATGAATGACTATTCCATAGGAGCTTATGGAGAAGTACAGTATCCAGCCCCACCCCACAACCTGTCATGTGTACAATACACAAGTCAATTAAAAAACAAGTAATTAATTATATAACATTTTAGCGTTTATATACATGCAAAGAATTTTTTCCCCCAAAATGACCCTCATTTGTTTGTGCTTATCAAAAGGTAAATATGATTGAGGGTAGCAGTATCTCTCTTACAGGTTATTTCTATTTCTGTTTTAGGAAGCCATGTCCATCAACAAGTCCTTGTCGGCCCTGGGCGACGTGATTTCTGCCCTGAGTAGTGACCAGCAGTTTATTCCCTACAGAAACAACAAACTCACCATGTTGATGCAGGATTCCCTTGGAGGCAATGCTAAGACACTCATGTTTGTCAACATCTCCCCCGCAGACTACAACCAGGACGAAACCATCATCTCACTCATGTAAGTAAATATACTCTTTCCCCACCCAGACCCTCCCAAGGACAAGACCATTGCCACTCATGTAAGTATTTATGGTCCTCCCCCATCCTGACCCTCTCCAGGATTATACTCCTCCATCACCCAGACCCTCCCAAGGCCAAGACCATTGCCACTCATGTAAGTATTTTTGGTCCTCCCCCATCCTGACCCTCTCCAGGATTGTACTCTTCCATCATCCAGACCCTCCCAAGGTCGAGACCATTGCCACTCATGTAAGTATTTATGGTCCTCCCCGATCCTGACCCTCAATGCACATGTGAGCATGCTCCTTCCTCCATCCACACCCTCCCCAGGATGAGAACATTGTCACTCATATTTAAATATGTAATTACCTGGTATGCCCTCCTCCATCCACACCCTCCCCCACATTAAAAAGCCTTCATCTCTCAATGATAAAAATCATATAAGTTGTAATATGCCTATTGCCAGATCAATCTAGATTACTGCAGATATGGTAGTTTGATATGTGAAGTGTGACCAAAGATTCACTTTGATACTTTGACAGGTCAATCTAGATTACTACAGATATGGTAGTTTGATATGTGAAGTGTGACCACAGATTCACTTTGATACTTTGACAGGTATGCATCCAGAGTGAAACTCATCACCAATGATGCATCCAAGAATGCTGACAACAAAGAGATTTCCAAGTTGAAGAGCGTAAGTATACAAGTGTTTCTGATTCAGGCTATGTTACTATACAAAGATCCATACCACCCCCTTTATACAGTGGATTGTAATAGGTGGTAAAACACAAACAAACAAACATGTATATTGATTTTTTTTATATTTTCAAGAAGATATCAAATTTCTGGAACTCCTGTATTAAATAAACTAGTGATGGTTATACAATTGGAATGAAATTAAACCTATAGAGTGTATGTAGTTTTCATAGGCAGAATTTAAGAAGTATAGACATGTGTATTAGATGAATTACCTGGGCTTTATTTGTGAGTCTACCAGGTAATACAAACTATGTAAATAATATTGACATTAAGCAACTTGATATTCAGTTCAACAAACATACATGCACTCAATATCTAAAAGTTGAACCTAATTTAATATTCATAGCTGCATCTTGTTTAAATCATTAAATGTCTTTTCAGATCATCGCGAAGTTGAAGAAGGGAGAAGATGTTGAAGAAGTGGAATAAATTCCTTTACTATTGCTCACTGAAGGCTGTCGTGTACCCTCAACTACAAAATGGACAGCACAGTTTCTGTCTGGATAAGTTTTGGAGAAAAACAAGGACAAAAACATTATATACCATGGCCCTTTCTTAATCAAGTTAATTTTGTTCTCAGATAAAGTTCCTGGATTACATATGAAAAAAACTATCTTCCCACTCTTTACCAAAAACAGTGGAATAAAAATATAATTTATCCTGGATTAATGAGGCATGATTTTATACATATGAAGACTTTCACGTGGTAGGTTTTTGTTTATGTCAATTTTACAAAATTGATTAAATTTGAATAATTTTATTATTGAAAAAAAAATTGTTCATTTTGATAATTTGATTGTACATAAGAAGTTATGATTTTTTTAACAGCTGATGTTACCAATGGGATTTTGTTTATATTTCGATACATGTATAAGAATTAACTTGACACTAACACATCAATCATTCTTTGAATTTTTGTTAATATTAAATTTTATTCAAACAAATTGCCGAATGCAAAAATATATGACAAAGAAAGCTCTGTGATTACTTGATGGTATATGAACGTGATTGTATTTTTATATTCAGATATTGTTAAAATTGATGTCGAGCATTCCGTCCTTAATACATGCAGTCGTATCAATTTAATGTAATTCCGTCCTTTACACATTTATGCTAATTTATTGTCATTCCGTCCTGTAGACAGCTTCTATTTCGTCTTGTATTAATTTTTGTTTATAGATTTGCATTCAAGTATCATGTGGACAATTATTTCTGCAAAGACATTAGCAATGTGTTCCATCTATTGGTACTAATTAACATGACAATATGCATTGTTTAATAGATCATTATGACGGCACCATTGAGGCCGATTCCAAATTTATTTTTTGCTTTCTGTATTAAACAATATCATTTGCACATTTAGGGACAGAAATAGGAACGAGCTGTTCCTATTAACAGATATGTTCCTATTAACAGATATGTTCCTATTAACAGATATGTTCCTATTAACAGATATGTTCCTATTAACAGATATGTTCCTATTAACAGATATGTTCCTATTAACAGATATGTTCCTATTAACAGATATGTTCCTATTAACAGATATGTTCCTATTAACAGATATGTTCCTATTAACAGATATGTTCCTATTAACAGATATGTTCCTATTAACAGATATGTTCCTATTAACAGATATGTTCCTATTAACAGATATGTTCCTATTAACAGATATGTTCCTATTGAGCTCAGGAATGTTCCTTTAGTTTGAATGCATTATAAGTAAAATGCAACTTCATGAACATTAAGTACATGTATGTGATTCCATTTGATTAATGTTATTTGTCTTAAATTTTATACAAATTTTTGTCTATCCATTTGAGTAGAATAATACTGTTGGTTTTGCATCAATTTATAAGAGATGATGTTTTATGTTGTAGAATAATCAGTATATGGTATGAAACTAATATATCTTCATATCAGTGGATTTGTTCAGATTTTATTATTTTAATTCCCACCCCAAATTAATACAACTCAAGATCTAAAACTCGTGTATCGTAGAAAGTTTGGTGTTTTTTTTTTGTTTTTTTTTTGTTTTTTTAAATATTTCAATGTACTCTAGAAAATCATTTAGTTTTGTAGTTTTCCGTGTTTTAAATTTTCACCTGCTCAACCATATCAGACGTGTCCACAAACCACATTGTATTTGTTTACCATGCACAATGTACAGCAGTGTTTTTTTAAAACAAACAAATCATATTCACATAAAAAAATAAAATTATACATCAATTCTACAAACTGGGAATTCGAATTACATCAGTTGATGAAATGTTAAAAAAAAATGTATGCAAATTTCTGCTGGATTACTATTTATGTAGTACTTTAGCCGTTTAATATTTTAAATGTGATATAAAAAGTTATTTTTAACATTATTGCATACATGTATGTATACCTATATTTACCCGAAGGCTGGCCCTTATCAATGAAGTGATGTTTGATTATCATTTGATATAATTAGTATGTAGTATATGCACCGTCAACTCTTCTTGTCAATAAACTCTCGGTAATAAAAATAAAGTTTATAGTGTTCGTTAGTTTAAAGGAATTAGTTTCGAGTCCTACCACTATTCTACTTTTTAAAGGCCTTGAAAACTTATTTTCCACTTAAATTATTTATTTTCTCTTTATTAAAATTAAGCCATTAGATTGCAGGCCATGTTTAGGACTTCCAGTAATGTTGTATACATTTTTTATTGTAAAAAGTATAATAAACTGTAATACAGTGGATATTATAAGCCCCCTGCTTTAAAATCAAAGTCTGAGGATCGAAACCTCATTATGGGGCCAAAATGTTTTCATGTGAAAAAATGAAAATGATTTATGTATATTTTTTTTCTATGCAACTCATCTTTTAGCAAACAGGCAAGCAGCTCTCAGATCAGGCGATGCTGAATAAATTGGAACTCTTTTTTGTTGAGATACGACAAAAAGCACTGGGACTCTTAACCTTAAAATACAAAAATAGCTTTGTTTAAAAACTAACCATTATTTCATGTACATTTCATGTGATAATTTATATAAAATTAGTACTGGTTATGTGAATACAAGAAGAGTTGATCCACTATTTCCGTCCTCTGTTTGGTATCCTTTCCTGAGTGACCCACTGCAGGACATGTGGTCATGTGATAATGTGTAATAACTAATGTTAACTTTCACCTAATCTTTTCTAATAAAGTGCAATCTCTTAAATATATGTATTTGTTCTATTTTTAACTCACCTTGCATAGAGTGCCAGTGAGCATATGCTATAGTGTTGCATATATGACCATCAACATTTTCTTGACAAAACTACAAGTCCAGAAGAGCTAAATGGATTGTAACTAGCATTTCTGGACCAAGTGGATATCAATTCATGAGATTTTTGTATCGGTATAAATGTGTAACATAACAAATGTACCTTGATTAAACTTGAAGGATACAAAAAAGCATTACCCGCAGCAGGTGAGCAGAGCATTGTAATTAGGTCAGCATGACCTTAACCTCTAGATGACCTCAAAGGTCAAATGAGTGTGAAACCTTCAGTGCAATAACTGTTACTTCTATGTAAACCATTAAGACATCTTGATGAAACCTGAAGTATACCAACGTCACCAACAGGTGTGCAGTGCTCAGCAATAAAATCACTAGGACCTTCACCTCTAGTACATGTATCAAATAAGTACATAATTTTCATTGAGTTTATGTATATGATAATTTGCCTTTACTAAGTTCTGCTGTAATTGAACAAGCTCTTCAAGGCCATTAAAAGGAAAGGAAGTATAGTTACTTGAAGTGAGGAAGGGCCAAAGCTGAATTAGAGGAAAAATGTCAAAGATGTCCTAAATGTCTTTGGTATGACATTGGGCCTTGCAAAAGTCTTTTATAAAGAGGGAAATGTTAGATGGTGATACTAAGTGAACCTCAATATAAGTTAACTAGGTCAAAAATAACAGAGCATTGTGTGTTAAGTTTCTAAATATTTATTGAAAATGAACAAAATCTTGAATATATATTAACAGTTAAGTGATATCCTCTAAGCAATTGTTCCTACATAATCCCCCAAATCGGTCTTCCTAGAACACATTGTTGTTGGATACAAATACTCTCTCATAACATTGAAATAATGTGGAAGAAAAATAAGCAATAACATTCCCTAATTGTCTACATCATACCATTTTTTCATATTTTTTTTTTATAACAAAAATATATATATTAGGACCTTAATGATATTCATACTTTTAAACTTTCATCCATGGATAATGGTTTAGGGGACTTGAAAAAATTCTCAGGTGAATTGAACTTTTCACCAGTACACTGTATATGTATTAGAATTTAATAATTCTCAGAAAAATAAAAGTTTGTCGTAGTAACGTGACAGGCAACAAAAATGCACTTGTTGAGAGAGAAAAAAAGGTTTTCAGATTTAATATATCGTGGGACACTTGGATTTCAAAGTCATCATTATGCATTTAACACACACTGAGAAAATGAGAGAAAATGATATTGTGACATACACAGATATAACACATTTGCATTTTTTCATGAAGAAAACACCAAGTTTTTATATACATATAATACATAACAGAAACAAAATGAAACCAATCTAATCAAAATTAAATTGGAACTATTTTCTCAAAACATTAAATTTGCCAGCAATTCTTGTTTGTAAGGTTTTCCTAACTCTCTGAATCATAATACATCCATCATTTTTGTGCATAGTGAAATTATTTATACCATAAACAAACCAGGTATATGACCAAGCCTAAGGGAAATGCAGGCACATGACTGATGGTTCTTAACCCTTTCACCACTGTTGACCCTAATGGACTCGTCCCAATCAATGCATGGTAGAGTCTACTTAAGTTACATAGGGGTGAAAGTGTTAATAGCCTTATTCTGGTTATAGCCTCAACTAGGAAACTACAAATATTTTCATTGGCCAATTCAATGATGTCACCTTTTGATATGTGAACTTTAACCTTGCAATAATATAGATAGATTATAAAAATGGTTCCTCAACTTGTCTCCAGTATTTTTTCTTCCAGTTATATATTTCTCAGAGAATTACCTATGATGTATGGCAGATGTCTTTATATATATGTCTATAGTGAAGGCCTTTCATGCTCTCATTAGCCGCATATTTCTTAAACAAGAGGCCCATGGGCCTTAACGGTCACCTGAGTCTATAGTATTTATTTTTGTTGTTGAAATATGTACCAATTTGAGTAAAAAATAGTATAATGTTAACTTAACTTTGTCAGGACCATGAGCTGATCATTCCTAGACCAATTTTAAGTGAGATCGGCCTATTAGAACTTAGTAGCAAAATAGCGGCCATGGCAGCCAAATTGTATTTCTGATTGACCCGAAAAATAACAACACTTTGTCAGGACCATGATTCGATCATTCCTACAAAGTTTCAGTTCAATCGGCCAAGTAGATCTTTACTTTAAGTTTGAAATAGTTTACCAAAATGGCAGCTGTGGTGGCCATATTGGATTTCTGATCGACCTGAAAAATAACAACACTTTGTCAGGACCATGAGTCAATCATTCCTACAAAGTTTCAGTTCAATCGGCCTAGCAGAACTTGACTTTAAGTTTGAAATATGTTTTCAAAATGGTGGCCGTGGCGGCCATATTGGATTTATGATTGACCTGAAAAATAACAACACTTTGTCAGGACCATGAGTCGATCATTCCTACAAACTTTAAGTTCAATCGGTCCAGCAGAACTTGACTTTAAGTTTGAAATAGGTTTTCAAAATGGCGGCCGTGGTGGCCATATTGGATTTCTGATCGACCCAAAAAATAACAACACTTTGTCAGGACCATGAGGCGATCATTCCTACCAACTTTCAGTTCAATCGGTCCAGCAGAACTTGACTTTAAGTTTGAAATAGGTTTTCAAAATGGTGGCCGTGGCGGCCATATTGGATTTCTGATCGACCCGAAAAATAACAACACTTTGTCAGGACCATGAGGCGATCATTCCTACCAACTTTCAGTTCAATCGGCCCAGCAGAACTTGACTTTAAGTTTGAAATGTAAAATGTTAACGGACGACGGACGACGACGGACGAAAACGGATAGCAATAGGTCACTTGAGCTAAAGCTCAGGTGACCTAAAAAATCACATTTCTTTTTAAGATTCGTCACAAAAGATTCTTCCTTTCCTATCGTAACTTGTGATGGTCACTCTAAAAATCATGCTTCAATGTTAAGCAATATATGTATTCACAAATGAACTTTTTTGCAACTTTACACAAAAATATCTTCACATGTACAATGTATATATATGAGAAATATTTCAACATTTTAACTCAATCAGGCAAAAAAGCAATATTACAAAATCATGGCACAAGTTTTGCGTCTTTCATTTTGAACACATGTCTTAATACACATACTTTGTGTGCATTTCATTTTTATAAAATTCCATTTCTTAACTTACATGCAGAGACATTAATAACCTGTTTCACTCAATAAGTACATCATCTTCCATTGTATAGAAATTGTTGTTCCTACCTGGTAAGATACTTGATATTGAAATCTATGCCCAGGTAAATGCTGCAGAAGATTGCAAATTTGATTGCTAATTTGATGCCAATGTTTCATGTTAAGTACCAATAAATTGGTTTTTGTCTATCTATGTAAAGTATGTGTTAGTCAGGTGGTGTTAGCCTAACAGATGAACATATTGCAAGGGATACATTCATCAACCCTTTCATCACCATACGGACTAATGCATGTACATCTGTAGTCAGGAATGTACCCATACACTAAAGCTTAACTATTAAACCCGGGATATCTACAAAAAAAAACTTTCATTATTATTCGTACTGCCCTAAAGCTACACCCTAACATCATACATTTACCCAAACTAAATGAGTACCCTTTTTAAATTATAAAAACCCAAACTATTATATTTCCTAGCTACTATTACTCAATCAACAATTATAATATAACTCTAAGTCAACCTAATTAGTACTGTACCATTTTCAGGGTTGACAAATTGATATTTTCACATTATAATTACCCTCTCTATCCCGAGATACATATTTCTTGTCCCCTAATCTTAGCTAGATCCACGTACTTCCACTGTACAGCAACCAGCCTACACTGTCTGAAATACATTTCCCTTTCACCACTGTAGACCATAATGGACTCATCCAGATCAATGCATGGTAGAGGTGAGTGAGGGGTGAAAGGGTCAAAGTGGTGTGCATGTGGATCAGTTTAAATTTGTCACTGTTAGTCTAAGCAAGTTGAATATTATAGAGGTCTGCCACTTCCTGGACGTCCTCCTTAGACCCCATGAAGACTGGACACCTTTCGTGAATGGAGGTCGGTTGTATGTCCAGGATCCTCTTTTTATCTGTAATGGCCAAACCTCCGGCTTGCTCTATGATGAAAGCCATCGGGTTACTCTCGTACAACAGTCGCAGCTGAACAACAGAGAAACAGACAAAGAGTTATTGATAATTTCGAAAGTAAATTTGTCAATATAGTGGAAGCTACGATAAAACAGCAATTGAATTTCTTAACATTTTATAGCCCAAATAGTGGAAAGCATTACTAACATTTTATAGCCCAAATAGTGGGAAGCATTACTAACATTTTATAGCCCAAACAATGGGAAGCACTACTAACATTTTATAGCCCAAACAGTGGGAAGCATTACTAACAGAGGGAAGCACTACTAACATTTTATAGCCCAAACAGTTGGAAGCATTACTAACATTTTATAGCCCAAACAGTGGGAAGCATTACTAACATTTTATAGCCCAAACAGTGGGAAGCACTACTAACATTTTAGAGCCCAAACAGAGGGAAGCATTACTAACATTTTATAGCCCAAACAGTGGGAAGCATTACTAACATTCTATAGCCCAAACAGAGGGAAGCATTACTAACATTTTATAGCCCAAACAGAGGGAATCATTACAAACATTTTATAGCCCATACAGTGGGAAGCATTACTAGCATTCTATAGCCCAATATGAGGGAAGCATTACTAACATTTTATAGCCCAAACAGAGGGAAGCATTACTAACATTTTATAGCCCAAACAGTGGGAAGCATTACTAACATTTTATAGCCCAAACAGTGGGAAGCATTACGAACAGTTTATAGCCCAAACAGTGGGAAGCACTACTAACAGTTTATAGCCCAAACAGTGGGAAGCATTACTAACATTTTATAGCCCAAACAGTGGAAAGCACTACTTTTATTTTGCCATGGTGACATGCTTACTATCCAAATACATTAAAGTTGATAGGCTCTAGAACTAAACTGCCTTCCTTGTTACCGTTCCAGCCAATAATGGCCATGACACTTCATGCACCAACAAGAGCGAAAGTTGAAGTTTTTGACAAATTTGTCATATTCATGGTAGTGCCGATAACCCTCAGACCGTCAACCATGTGACATCATAGGAATGTATACATTGTGGTGTTATTTATAAATATATTAATGAGCAGCATAATGAGATAGAGCAATAACTCCCATACATAAGAGCTTGAACATTCAGAAAGAATCCTTCAGTTGCCACTACTCAAAGCAAGCATAACATTAACACATGCCAAAATGTTTAATTATCACCAAAACGGAAAGAGTTCCAGGTCAAATGGATAAGAATTCTTAGACATTATCAAAATGTTATGTCATTTATTGCCCAACATGTTCTGTTAATCTAGGCTTTACAGAATTTAAGATTTTTATTGACTCTCACCTTTCCCTGTGGAGCCTCGGAGGTTGCTGGGTACATAAATATTCCCCCATACACCAGTGTTCTGTGAACGTCTGCTACCATGGATCCGATGTACCGAGCTCCATAAGGCTTACCATTCTACGGGATACAACATGAAATTATTGACCAAAACACAAACATAAACATTCTCATGTAATCAAACACAAATTAAAAAGAATAAATTCTTGCTTCAAAATTTGGAATTCATCCTTCATCTTAATTGAATTAAGAAATGTTTAATCAAAATCAAGTTGTCTGTAAAGTCACCAGTTCCATCTGCAACAAAATTCTACAAGATGTGCATCATATAATGGGTTTGTAAGCGATTGGGTCTCTTATCATAAAAAAAAGGTTTAGAATATGCATTTCAATCTTTCAAAACTTCTGAAAAAAAAATCACAATTGAAATATTATATTTCAGCTGTTCTCCAGAAAGATCATTGGTTTAAAGGTTCCTGTCCCACTGCAAGCCAAACCCTAAAGAACTTCTCTGTAGATCTTTCATATTATACAACTGTAGTGGGTTCGAGCCAGGGATCTGCTACTAATCAGGTAGCTCATGAGCTGGATAGAGAGAATGTACAAGTCTCCAAATTCAAGACTGGCTTCATTACAATCTTACTTTCAGAACACTTGCTTTCTTTTGTTTGTTCAGTTCATCATAAATCTTTTTTCATAAAGTATAAAAGGTTTTTGTCACACCAGCGAAAAACCGTTTCCGATTCAAAGCTACAGACTTTGCCACTGGTACAGGGATCCCTAGGCTATACACAAATCTGTCCTGTTAGAAGTACAACGTGTTATCACCTCTGGGAACTTCTTCCTCTGGACATACTTGGTTGTAGGCTCGTCCCAGAACTTGGCATACCCTTCGTTGATGGAGAAGATCTTGCCTCTTGGTTTGATTCTGATGTTACGGTTGGTAAGGATGAACTCTCCAATAGCCTGTAGTAATAAAGTAACAACCAATCAAACACTGTTGGCGTCACCTCTACAGCAATACACAGAAGACTTTACAATATTTTATACAAGATTGATGAAATAGTCCTGAGAAATATTTACTTTTTGGAGACAAGCTACAGCAAAAAAAATGAAATAAATGTAACCAGTCTCATGAGAAATGGACACAATTCAGGACTTATTTCTTTATTCAGGACTTATTTCTTTATTCAGGACTTATTTCTTTATCACATATTAATAAACAAACCATTTTTCAAATATTCCGAAACATTTTATTCAGTCAATTTGTTATCATCACGTGTCAATAATTGAATTACCTATGCTGACAATTATATATAAGTAACTGAATTTGGAAATATAACTTGTACACTATACAAGGCCTGCACATATGATAATACAATGCCAGAGAAAAATATTGTAATAACCGATATATCATAATAAACGATCAATCATAGTGTGAATCCTGTACAGGATGTCAGAATACACAGTGAAACCTGTCTAGAGTGACAAACTGTTGGACACAACATATTCATCACATAAGACATGATAGGTGGTAATACATGGTTCTTATCTGATATTTTCATAACAAGTTTTGATGTGACAGATAAAAATATAATGCTGGATTGATTATACAAGGTTCCAGCGTTTTATAATTGTGTAATAATGTAAAATCCTTAAGCAATAGTGTACTTACAGGATCTAACATGAATCCATTGACACTGTTATTTCCTGTAGACAGAACGATCATGGTGGCGCTACCATACAGTGCGTAGCCTGCAGCAACCAGTTGGTTTCCAGGTTTTAGAGCATCAGCCTCGGTAACAGGTGAGTCGTCCTCCTATAATGCCAAATATCAAGATCTTAGTATTTTAACACTTGCACCAAAACGTACCTCTGAGATTTTGGCATAGAAAGTAACGTACGAAACAGGTTTTTGTTTTGTTTTGACTTCACTGAGAACCAATGTTGGACCAATCAAAATACATAGTACAAGTACTGAAGGATGCATTACTTAAGGAATGATTTTTATTTTTTCAACATTTATGAGGTCATAACAACAATGGGTTTATGGACATATTGAATGAATCGCGTTAGCGATTCATGTAAAATATGTCCAAAAACCCATTGTTGTTATGACCTCATAAATGTTGAAAAAATAAATATCATTCCTTATATTTACATTGACGAATCCTTTCAGTGGATCGATATAACAACGAATAAAACAAATAAACAGGGTTTGTTCCTGCTTATACACGGGTGCAACGCAGTGGCGAGAACAGTGTTTTTTCGCGGGGAAATGTGACACTATCGTGAGAGATCTTAGCAACCGTCAACAACAATAACACAACAAAATGTAGTTCCATATTCAATGTTTATTTGTAGCACAGGACACGTGAATACGTGGATATTTCACAAAGCACAGTTCAATAATATTTTAAGATGTAAGAATTAAGCATCTAGGTCGGTCGTTCCGAGTGAGTAGTTTTTGTAGTGTATTACTACGCAGTGTGATCAGGTTACTATCAGTTCCCACGTGCTGAGATTCTATGAACACCTGTGTTATGCATTTATGAATGTAATTTTTGTCAATGGGTCTAAGCATACAGAATGTTATTATTTAAGGAATGATTTTTATTTTTTCAACATTTATGAGGTCATAACAACAATGGGTTTATGGACATATTGAATGAATCGCGTTAGCGATTCATGTAAAATATGTCCAAAAACCCATTGTTGTTATGACCTCATAAATGTTGAAAAAATAAATATCATTCCTTATATTTACATTGACGAATCCTTTCAGTGGATCGATATAACAACGAATAAAACAAATAAACAGGGTTTGTTCCTGCTTATACACGGGTGCAACGCAGTGGCGAGAACAGTGTTTTTTCGCGGGGAAATGTGACACTATCGTGAGAGATCTTAGCAACCGTCAACAACAATAACACAACAAAATGTAGTTCCATATTCAATGTTTATTTGTAGCACAGGACACGTGAATACGTGGATATTTCACAAAGCACAGTTCAATAATATTTTAAGATGTAAGAATTAAGCATCTAGGTCGGTCGTTCCGAGTGAGTAGTTTTTGTAGTGTATTACTACGCAGTGTGATCAGGTTACTATCAGTTCCCACGTGCTGAGATTCTATGAACACCTGTGTTATGCATTTATGAATGTAATTTTTGTCAATGGGTCTAAGCATACAGAATGTAAATATTTAGTAATGAATGTGAATTGTTACACCATAACCTCAGCCTAGATTTTTCTTTGCAGGAATAACTCGGTCTAATACATGAGGACCTCTTAAAAAACATTCCCCTCTATTTGTGCTACATCATTTTTTTTGGACCTTCTTAAACGCCCAAGCCAAGCCAAATACCAACATCCTAGTACAATACAAATACAGAATGTTGTATCAATGAAATTCAACACTTATGCAAAAATAAAGCTTAGCCTGCAAATTTTGGTAGAAATAATATCAAGCCAAAATACTTTTTGAAGATTTTTTTTCTGTTTCTATTCACCTATAGTAATGTTAAACCGTCAGGGAACCTCCACGCCATATATCAACATTCTAGTACAAATACTGAAAGGTTTCCCAAATTAAGTCCACTTGTGCTTTTCCATCTGGGCCAATTCAACAAGCGTGATAACCAAGGTAAAATAGAGGTTCCCAAAACTCATAATGCTCAGTTATCATGTATGTTTAACTCAAGTTGGTTAATTTTCAAATTGTATAAAGACAATAGGTTTACAAGTGTCTTCAACAGTATGAAATTTAACTTACAAGAGTTAGATAAACATCATATTTAAACTTCACAAGAATGGGGACCTTTTTATCTCATTTGGAATCCAGAAAAAATATTTCTCTTGGGAATATATTATTCCTTTTTTCTGATCAGGGAAACAATTGCAAAGAAGTATGACGTCACAATGAAGTATGACATCACAATGAAGTATGACGTCACAATGAAGTATGACGTCACAAAGAAGTATGACGTCACAATGAAAGATAATGTTACAGAGCATTGTTATTTGACGTCATAATTGGATGATTGACCAATGAAATAACGTCAAGGGTGTTACCCACTATAGTGGGTTACCAAAACTGTTTTCCAACTCCCAGCAGGTTTAGCCTGCCAATGAGGCGGGAGTGAGGAAACCTGCATACACAGTGGTTAAGCTGATACAAGATAAATAAGTTAAATATTCAATATTTCTACAATCACTAACCATTTATTCTTCACACAAATGAATTACAAGTGTGTATATAGGCCTAATGAGCGATTATACAACTGTTATACAGATACAAGGAATATTTTATATATTTATAGCTAAGGACTTGTCAATAAGGCGAAAGAACATGCACAAAATGGTTGCTAGCATGCCAAAAGAAATGCCAAATTGGAATTAATCAAGACTGCTTCATCTTTGAACAGAGAATATACAAGGAAATATACCAGTTTCAGGGTTCTAATTTTATTTACCTAAATATGAAACACTTGAATATAGACTTTTTCCAGTAAAAAGTTATATATGAAGTGCAATGTGATAGATCTCACCATGGGGCAAAAGAATTACTTAAAATAATAAATTTATAAACAGAAACAAACACCACAGCAGCAAAACAATACATATATATATAAGGTTTCATGCTCTAATGAAGCTGTTGGAACCTTAACTTAAAGGTCCATTTAATTTACTATTTTTTTTTTGATGTATGAGAACACAGAATTCCCAAAACAAATGGTGTGTCATCAGGCTGTACTTAAAACAGTAAGTATTGTACAAAATCATTTTTTTCAGAGAAGGGTAACAGAATATCACATTTATATCACTTTTTTGTTTTTAACAAGTTAATATCCTCTGACATTTTTTTGTTACATTTCTTGTTAAGTGTGAAACGTTCTTCAGTTTCTTCTATATTTTCTGTCTGAAATACACTTTTTTGTTTATAAAGTGAGAGACACAAAAAAAAAGATAAAGAATGCTTAACCAAAGCACAACTTAATACAAGTTATGTAATCACTTAAAATAAATATGATATTTAATTGGTGGTTATAAAGTCATGGTAACTAAGACGTCATGCTACCGGAACTATAACCTATGATGTCATCTGCATTATGGACTACGAAGCAGCATCAATAAAACTGACAGCTCAGGAATTGTTGGTATACATGCTTATTACAGTGAAACCTGGCTTATCTGACACAGTGTTGAACATGACATAATAGTCAATTGAAGCAGGATGTCAGAATGTACAGGATTTGTTTGGTGGTATTTGTAAGAATGTCAGAATGTACAGGTTTTGTTTGGAGGTATTTGTAAAAAATGGGATTTAGTGTTTGTTGTACATAATGATTTTGTTGGAGCTTGAAAGAATGTCAGAATACTCAGGGGTCATATTAGATAGGTTTCACTGTACTGAACGAGTGTAAGAAAATACATTCAGGATGGTTGTGTTCTTCTCAGAGCACTTACATCAGTTCTAATCTGAAAATATGAACACAATGTATATACCTTTACACATGTGTACTTATGTTTAAGCCAGATGCAGGTTTTCACTTGTTTTCTCAATATTTCAGTTAAAAAGCTTACTGACAGTATTAGCTAGGTCATATGACATAATGCACTTACATGTACACATAATATGCCTACACAAGGAATTTAAAAGATAGATTACTTTAAGTAATCATTACTTGACAAAAATTAACGTTAACCTACTCAAGCATGTGAAAGTTCTAACTTTCAGTTTCACATAACAAGTGATACACCTGGTTTATATTACAGTTCATTTGTGGACCAATTCTACAGTAAACAAGTAAATATAAACTATGTTTCAAAATCTGAACAGTCATCCATGACCCGGATTTTAAGTTGTTGCACGCAATTTCCTTAATGATAGGCAGATTGCATTTTGAATTATCTTAAGTAAAGTTTTGGATCATTAAACAAATTGCATTTTGAATTATCTTTAGTAAAGTTTTGGATCATTAAACAAACAATTTTTACCATCCAGAAAAATATCTAAATGTGATTTCTGGAGAAAAAGATGAAAATGCCTTGATGGCTTTCTAAATGTCATGACAACTATCTTTGACATTGTTTGACTTACCAGGTAGTAGTCGATGATTTAACACATTCGTTTATAAAAAAGTCCATTCTGTTGTATTAAGCTTGGAATGGATGCACATATATATCATAATATTATACCATACCTTTCTGTAAATGGAGAAAATGGATCCAATGGATACTAAACAGTCAATGTTGGATGATCCATCCAAGGGGTCGAAGGCCACGATGTACTTTCCCTGGAAAATAAAAGATGACTTGAGCAAGGTGACCCAGACCAGATGTGTGACCACAGTCGATGACAAATGTCAACACAATAAAAATACAATCACTTATGAGAAAGTAGATTTACAATATTCTCGGTGGAAACGTCACCTTGGATTACCTCACTGTTAATTAGCTGTAAAACTGTATGCTAATAAGATATTCCCCTCTATCCCCTTTCTCCAACGCTTGATGTGACTCTGTGACCTTGATCTTTGCCCTTTCAAAGCAAAAGTGCAAGAACGTATCTCTTATAGTACCAAGTACAACAAAATATTGTTGCAAGGAGTAAAATAAACAACACCAGAAGGGAATTAAAAAGGGAACACGATCTGTGTCAGTAGTCACGATGACTCATTCTGTGTAATGGTAACATTATAGCTATACAAAAAATGTCCATCTGATATATATTAAATTTCATGGTTGGCTTTGCCTCAGAGAAGATACAGGTGGAAATTACACAGGTATGTTAAGTGTTGTGATAATGTTCATTGATATGAAGTGATTGACCTTTGACGTTTGTCCCATACATTTCATTAGGTAGCTAATCTTAAGCTAGGTAACTATGTTTAATAATAAAGTCACAAAATATAACACACTGATGTATAAAGATCTACTATGGAACATGTGATGAGTTCAAAGCCTCATTACCAATTCAAATAGATTCCTAATGTACCCAATATCAAAGTAAATCACTGATATTTTTAAAGGATTAAGATGTATGAAGGTGTACATGTTTTGCATGCACCATCATATAAACAAGAGGCCCAATGGGCCTGCAACGCTCACCTGGTATTAATTTCACACTTGTTATCTTAAAAGTGGACTAAAATACAGCAACAGGCAGAATATCAGTGTTTGATTCAGAAGAAACTATTAAAAGATTTAAACATATGACGCCTGTGACCTTGAATAGCGAACAAGGACATTAGGTTGAAGGTGGATCAAGAACATTCATTTGAGCAAACTTGGTAGCCCTTCATCCCAGCATGCTACCGGCCCAATATCAGTACCCTGGGCCTTTCGATTTGAAGATTTTAAGACATTTGACCCCAGTGACCTTTAAAATTGATGAAGGTCATTTGTTTGAACAAACTTGGTAGCTCTTCATCCCAGCATGCTACAGGCCCAATATCAGTACCCTGGGCCTTTTGATTTGAAGATTTTAAGACATCTGACCCATGTGACCTTGACAGTGGGTCAAGGTAATTCATTTGAACAAACTTGGTAGCTCTTCATCCCAGCATGCTACAGGCCCAATATCAGTCCCCTGGGCCTTTTGGTTATTGAGAAGAAGTTGTTTCAAGATTTTAAGACATTTGACCCCAGTGACCTTGAAAATTGATGAAGGTCATTTGTTTGAACAAACTTGGTAGCCCTTCATCCAAGCATGCTTCTGGCCAAATATCATCACCCTAGGCCTTTTGGTTACGGAGAAGAAGTTGTTTAAAGTAAAAAGTTGACGACAGACAGACGCCGGACGCCGCACCATGCCATAAGCTCACTTGGCCCTTCGGGCCAGGTGAGCTAAAAGTTAACCCGGCTGAGTTCATCAGCTTGTTTTTAAAGTTTTTCTGCATGCAACAGGTAAATCTGCTATCTAATGCTTTCTTTTAAACAGTTAAACATTTCATCATGAACTACATATATACACAAACAATAAGTTATAAAATCCTGGATTTATTCCAATGGCTCATGACGAGGGCACTTTAAGCTTTGCTCCTGTAAACATACCGTAAGCTTTTATTGATCGAGACTGAGCAGACGACAGTTGTTTATATGCAGTCATGGCTAGATGATTTGACGTTAATGCTTTTAATTCAGTGATTTAGCAATATTTAACGATAGATTCCTGGAACAGGATTTTGCATCCTCTACACCAGACTCAAAACATAATAATTGCTGTCAATAAAAAAAACTATTTTGATTGTAGCGACACGACAGTTCATTAATGTTGGAGAAGCAGAAGGGAATATGTTCTACATTCCCTTTTTGTTATTAAATTCAATACATGTATATGAAACTATCATTATAACAATTCCAAAATTGCTTTTAATTTTTTTGTTATGAAGACTTGTACATTTACAGTACTGCTTAGATAACAATTCATTTGTTTCATGGCTGTTTTGGGAACAGTCAATCTGTTGCTTTTCATTGCCATGGAAGACCTTAAAAATTGCAGCTGCCCTCGACATAGTCGCCTCGGCAACACTTTTCCAGGATTTCCTTGTACAAATAGTTTTGATGCTCCCGAAATCACCATCAAACAACTGTACACTGCATCCTGTGGACATTAATTACACAAGTGTACAGCCTACCATTGTTTCCACCCAAATTTCCTGTTTTATTATTACTAAACACTTATATATAATTAATTTCCTCCTTCTGTTTTTATCAATCAATTTTAAATTTGTACCTGCTTTTCTGTTTCCACGATGATGGCCTTGTCGTTCTCTTCCGATACCAGTAGACAGGTGAGATAAGAGGATTTGAGAAGGTTGATAAACAAATCATTGGACAGGACATCCAGCTTTTTAACCTCGTCTCCCGTAACATTGGTTGATCCTGAGATTCCATATCTGTTCAATACAACAATAAATAGCTATATTTAGTAATAATTTGGAATTCAAATCTCAACAACAACATATTGCAGATGAATTTAATTGCAAAGGCCAAAGGTTGATTTTTATTAACAGGTATTAAATGTAGTTAGGGGAACAGTGTCATGACTCCAAAGAGCTTGCGTATATCAGGACATTTTTGTCTAGTCAAACTTTCACCCATGAAGTCAAATTTCGCCCTTCACATTCAATCACCATGTAGATGATGTTGTTCACTTATATTCGATGTAATGATACATTTGCCCTTATTACGGAGGGAAAAAAGGTGAAAAATTGAACTGCAGCAAAAATGTTGAGGTATACAATAGTAATCCAATGACACATCATGTCCCTCTGGATAATGACCTAGTTTCATTGTTCAGCATGCGCAATGCATGTCCCTCAGAAGAAGTGGCACAAGGTCAAGACTCCTTGCAAGTCTGGTATAGTGTCTTAGGGTCACATGGCTCTATGCAAGTCTGAGATACTGATCCAGGGTACATACTCCTGGTGACTTTTGGATATGAAATCATGGTCAAAGCTACTTGTGTAGTTATCAATTGAAAACAGTGACTATCTTCCCCTGGTTTCTCATATTTTGGGTAGTGCTTTAGGTCAAAGTCCATCATAAGACTGGTTTCTCACAAGTCTAAGAAATGACCCTGTAACATGTTAAAATGTCTATGATGATTGATATCTGCTGTAACACAGGATATGTGTGTCCTGAGTAAACAAAAACTCTTGGAATCTTGAGGAAACTCACAGGAAAACAGAGTTCCTGGCATGTTGGGGGGACCAAATTAAGGCCTACAGCCCCGCTTGGTACTAGTTGAGGTTAACCAGTAATGCCACAGAAAGAATTTAAGGTACATTATAGGAAGCTTTGGTAAGAGTGGTAAGATATACTGACAGTTTGATAAGTGTGGTACTTAATTCCCCATGCTTTAACTGTTGAATATCCAGGGGTCTAATGTAGGACACTACAATTCATTTTGATAAGACACAGCAGGTAACAAAAACCTATGATATGTCTTTGTCTAGATCTGGTGGGTAGTGGTTGCCTTTATTGATACTAATTGACTATCCAATTTAATGAAATGTACATTTGTATAAAGTTATTTTACAACTCATATACATGTACTTATGAAACTGTTTTCAAAACAGCCTTATTTAAGAAAAGTTTAATCCCTAGCTCAATTTGTCTTCCAACATATTTAAATATGGGGTCAAAATTCACATGTGCCAAGTCAGCGTTCTTGGGAAAGTAGGTCAAAAACTGGGTCAGGTTGTTTTTGATAACATTTTCATTGACTTATCTCAAACATTAATGTATGAACATTTGTTGTAACTGAGAAGTAAACCTAAAACAGTTTTAACATGAATGTTATCTTTACTGAATGGAACAAAACAAATCTGTAGATATTGGCTAAAACTATTATTATTAACAATACCTATTAATGACATGAAATTGATCTTCATAATTCTGCCAATAAATTACATAATTGCAGAATTTACAGATAAAAAAAGTGCAAATAAGTTATTAATTCTTTGAAATTTATGACTTTTTAAAGGGGGGAGCTCGAGGGGGGGGGGATTTCTTTATAGTTTTCAAAGCACTTCAAACTATTTGTGGATGGCCTCAGTTCTAAATACTATTTCATACTATGAGCTATACATACTAAGATCAGTATGTCTTCACTGAAAGGTAAATATATAACCACTTCAGTCGGCATCCTGTTACAGGCTCATCCCTACACTTTATAGCATATGACCTCTTCAATGCATGACTGACTAACAGGATCCAGATGTTGTGTAAATTTGTAATTATAGTATAAAATACACCTATTTAGATATATCAATATCATGCTAGATATAAATTTTCTGAGGGATTTTTCCTGTCCTATAATGCGAGTGTGTATGAAGAATTTGTAAATTGATATACATACCTCATTAAGGTGAAACATAGGTTATCATATACCAACCTAAGAGTTTTATAATGTAAACCAATTCAATAACTGACTATCAACCTTTTGATTAATTTACATGGTTGTGTATTGGGATTCTTCTAGATCTGTACATGGGTGAATAAATGGCTAGATCTATTTTTCATCCTTTTTCTTTGAATGTAGTTTGTATTGACCAATGAACATACTTTTAATGTCAGTTAAAAAATTGTTCACCTTTCAATAATAATGTTGGTTTTCATTTGTAATTTTTGTCACTTTTGTAAATATACCTCTAAATCAATCAATTATGAGAAATTAAAAACTTGGTTTATTATACAAAATTTAAAAAAAAAGCTTATGAAACTTATCCTACCTTTTAATAGTATATATGTTAACTTGTGTACTAGAAACTTATTTTTGTGAACAAAAGCATATGTCTCCTCTTATTAGCCAAAAGTGAAACTTCGGTATAAAAAATTAACAAAGGGCCATATCGCTTTATATATTGGGGCATAAGATTCGAATTTAGAATGCAGCACTCGTACTTTCCAAGATACATATCTATAGCAAGTTTGGTCAAACATAGGTGAAATAACATGCCTGGGACATACTTCGATATAAAAAAGGGCCATAACTCTGTATATAGTGGGGGGCACAAAACCTAATTTCAGTGAGAGAGATTCCACTTTCCCAAGATACATTAAATATGGTAAGTTTGGTCAAAGTAGGTGAAATAACATGGAAGTTATGCTCCGGACAAACTTCGGTACCAAACATAATCAAAGGGCCTTATAACTCTGTATATGGTGGGACACAAGACCTAATTCCAGTGCACTGCACACCTTCTGTGGGTAATGCAGGTATGCTTCAAGTTTGATCAAGATAACTTTAACGGTTTAAAATTTATGGCCCGGACAAGTTGCGATTAGAAGAACCAGTACTACATAATGCAATATGTCTCCCTTCATTCGAAGGGGAGACATAATAATGGGGAAAAAAACAGAATATTTTAAATATCCAGCATGGTTGGGCACTACTAGGGGACTCCCATATCTTTACATGTCTTATTGGTGTATCAAACCTCTGCAATCTTGGTGAACGGTGGGTGTATATAATATATGCAGGGAATTACAATTTTTTTCAACAAAGGTGCATAACTCCATAAAAAGGGGAGGTAGAGTGGTCGGGTGGCACAGTGGATAGGGCACTTGTCTTTCACCAAGTTACACCCCCTGCTTGCTATAACATCAGGGTCAACAGAGTGATTAATATAAGTTGAAATAGCTTGTTTCATAATTGCAAACCAAGAATCATTCACATTGGTGCATTCAATAAAGGGGCATAACTCCAAATATAGGGGAGGTATTTCCAGTTTAAAGTCTGTATTACTAAGTGTCATTGAAATCGATGCTTCACTTTAGGAGTATCGCAACCAAAGTTGTGTCTACAGACAGACTACCCATTTCCGGTGTAACCCTAGATCCCAGCCTTTATAACCTGCTTATTATACTTTTGTATTAACCAACCTCATAATACAGGTAAGAGCTCAATGCAATTTAATTAGTTGACGTAACCCCTACAGCTGTACTGTTCAACATGATGCAATACTATATATATAGGTTCTAGTTAAACGTACATATTCTTAGGGACACAGTATATAAGAATGGGGGGGGGGGGGGGGGGTCATCCTTGTCATTATATGGAAATGATACATCCTGCGACCTTCTCTCTTATGTATGTATCATTTTACTTATCTAATTGGTTGTCAGACTTTGCTGTCATTATCAAGATAACCTTACCCATGGGATCATCATTTCCTACCCAGACAGAGAATAACTCCTTTTTGATAGTGTCATATATCCCAGTAAATTGTTATATCTAATTGTCAGCATTATTGGTTTGATGAAGTCACTTTGGCAAAAATATTTGGGTACACTTACAGTTTATGTATACCAGCTTTCCTCACGGCCGAGGACACAGCTTTCACGGCCGTCTGAATAAAGTTGATCAGCTGTGTGAAGTCGCCTGTGGCATCTGGGTGCTTTTTCTGCTCGGCTAGCACATACCGCGTCAGAGTAATCGGTTCTGTATCAATAGGAGCGTCCCCACTCATGTTTGTGCGATATATGCTAAAAGTTCCCGTTAAACGTTAAAACCGCTGATATACACCGACTTGTTGTCACAAATTATCATGCACAGCGTCAGTGCCAAGTGCCTTTCTTATCTGTCAAGCCCAGCCTTGAACTACATTTTGTACCGACCATTTTGATTGGACGAGAGGGACACACCTCCACGTGGCATTGACGCGTTAACCTTTGTATCCTGTTTGTAAACAAATGTTGTTTATGGCCAGGTCACTTTGTCAGCAATGTCATAACAGCATATTGTCAAAATTTAAAACACAATTTAAAAATTGCTAACTAAATAATTCATGTATGCCCCCAAAAAGAAATATCACTACAGATCTCGACCATAACACAACTTGATCAGAGAAATCTCCTGTGTGTGGCTGTATTAATGTATTTTCTTTGAAAAAAAATGTACGTGATCAGAGACATATAAAGCCAGAGATTGGTAACTCTGACGTAATATATATTTGTTCGAAAAAAACCGAATAATTCAAGCATGTGAAAGTTCTAAATTCCTGTACTTTACTTTTTTCAGAATCAAATTTATATTGAATACAGGGGCGGGTCCAGGTGAGGGCGTAATGGGCGTACGCCCCCCTCCCCCCCCCCCCCCCTTTTAAAAAAAAAAAAAAACTATCGTAATCTGCTAATATTGTATTGAATATGGCAATTTATCATATTCATTAATTAAACACATAAACACCCTGACACAATAACTATAAAATATATATGCTCCAAGTCAGGAACCGTTACATTAGTGCATTTCACAATTATTTTATGTTTTTTAGCCAAAAAAAGGTCCAAATTTTTTTTTCGCCTCCCTTCGGCGAAAGATGTGATTCTACGCCCCCTCTTTAAAATATACTAGAAACGCCCCTGGAATGCCTTCGATATTCGATGAATAAGACTATTATATATATGGTTAACCCCCACCCACTACCACCACCACAAAATAATACTTGCTACTATACATAGCATACAATAGGATACAATATAGGATAAATAATGGATGCAGGCAGACACTCTAGCTAGGGATATATTCATATCTTAACATATGTTTAACGTATTTAGAAAATATTATTCATTAGTTGTCATTTCCTGAGATTTCTTTATGACCTGCCAAATGATTGTATTTCAGTTCAAATTTGTCCAATGAGTATCAAGATTAATTTCAAAGTCCTTAATCGTTGGCGATGTAATAACATATTCGGGGAGACTGTTCCAGATATCGACAACCCTAAAGCTAAATAAATATTTCCGAACATCATGCTTGCAACGTTTTTTCCTGATTTTTTCTGTGTATGTTCTCTTGTTCTAGATGATGTGTCTAACTCGAAGATTCCTTTTATTACCTTCTGATCATGTTGGTTGTTCAATATTTTAAAATCATTTATGATGTCGCCTCTCAATCTCCGGTATGCCAGGGTTGAATTACGGCCTATACTTTTCAAGCGCTCTCGGTATGGTAACTCTTCCAAACCTGGTACTAGTTTCGTGGCTCTTCTTTGTACTTTTTAATGCATTCAATATCCTTTATTTTATGTGGACTCCATAAACTGGCTGCATATTCTAGATGAGGTCTTACTAAATCCTATCCAAATAAACGAATGATCTCCTAATGAGTCCCAATATGATCTTTGCTTTATTTACTGCTTTCTGTATATGAGCCGAGAAATTAAGTTTCCCATCTACCAACATCCCTATGTCCCTTTCTTGTGAAACGTTTTCTAGATTTATCCTTCCTTCCCGAGATCCCTTCATGTAGTACTGCCTTCTGCTTTTCCCGTTTATTGTAAGTACTTTACATTTTTGTGGATGGAATTTTAACAGCCACTTATCGGACCATATTTGTAATTTTTTCAAATCTTCCTGAAGTGATTTGTAATCTTCGTTACCTTTAATATCCCTGAATATTTTGGTATAATCTGCAAATAAAAATGTTTTAGATTTTGTATTGTCTGGCAAGTCATTGATGTAAATGACAAATAAGATCGGCCCTAGTACGCTTCCCTGTGGGAGTCCGCTGATTACTGGATATTGTTTTGAGGCCGTTCCATTACCTTATTACACGCTGCTTTCTATCACTGAAAAAGTCGTTTTTTAACATGTGTATTCTACATGAATTGTTTGTTTGACAGAACCGTTTTAAATCAACATATTTAAAAAAAAAAATCTTACGGATAAATTATATCAGAGACGTATATGTAATATCACGGACTTAGATAACCTAATTCCGTGATAATATATACGTCTCTGATTATATATATTTTGGTGATATTCTGTCAAACCACGGAATTAGATTACATTAGATTGTCTAAAACATCTCATCTCTTGAGATTTCCTCCAGTCTAAGATTTCCCATAGCCAATACATTGCTTGAGATTTTCCTTAACTTTGAGATGTTTGATACAAGTGGGCCCAGGTACTTGTGGACATGAGTGTGATTTTTTCCATTAAAATGTTACGTAACAGACGAATAAATCATTGTATAACAATTGCATGCTCAATTTCAAAAGTGCAACCCAGCTAATAGCCTTATAAATACGTAACATTTTAATTGAAAAAACACACTCGAAAATGTCTGTGGATTTGACCATAGACTTAGATTACACTCTAAGTCTATGGTCAAACCCACTGACATTTTCGCGGGAAAATTCGTAATCGATTGATGACGTCATTTTTCGAGCTATGGTGTTTCCCGGGGATTTTCCGGAAATGAAGGTAAATAGACGATAGAGTCTGGACTGAAAAGGATGTCAGTACTATTTCAGAAGTTGTGGCGAACAAACGGCGATTTACCAACAAAAATTACAAAGGTAACACCGATCTTTAGATCTTGGATTTATCACGTTTATGACTGAATTTATTAAGAAATGCAATGCAGGTGCCCGTTAAAATAGCACCCTTCTTCGAACAGCTACTGAGCTAGGCCATTGAGATTAGTACATCAAGGGCTATCAGAACGTCCTGTGATTTTCATAATGTTTTGATTAATTCTGTTACCGTAGTCTGGCGTACTGAACTCAAACTCAAATTGTTCACATTTATATTTTTAAGGATCCCTGTCCCATACTGCAATTCCACTCAGGTTTTCCGCATAAACAGTACTAACCTCCCCCTTATTTCGATGTGGACATAACTGTAATGCTATTGGGCTGGGCGTTTCTGTTGACCAGCAAGCCCGATTGATAAGAGTAACAGGGTAACCATCATCGTCAGATACCAACTGATGAGTGAGTAGCCGTGGGTATCGACGATGGATAACAATTTTTGAGATTTAGGATTCACGCGTACACTGGTCTTTTAGTTTATACATTTTTTCCCATTACTCCTGAATGAATAGCTTTCTTATCAGAAATATTTTTATCAGGCCTATAGTCACACCATATTTTCTTTTTTAAATAGCTAATTAGTTTTTGGCAGTGTTACAGGTATCCTTAATCACTATTTCTTTTTATTATTTTCATTTTTAACCGTTATGACGTACCAGGAGCTAGTAATAATCAGGATAAGAGCGTCATTAGGCCAAATAATTCAAGATGTAACTGGTAGAATTAAATGTACATGTAAACTATAGACATTTGTTATTGTTGGAGTCTATATATAGCTATATGTCACACGGATTCCTAGACATTGTCAGTGTCACTTATATTGACTTAATCAAGGGCTTAATTGTTGATATTTTTTTCAAAATAGAATAAAACAAACAACAGCAATGTTAGCTGGAATCAAAACAGCATACACCACATGAGGAAAGGTTCAGAATGTTAACAAACTCACACTAATTTGGTAGGATCCTCATGATGATGGTTATCTTAAATTGGTTAGTAATTGTGTAATTATGAATTTCCCCTATTTACAGGTGAAGGTGGAAGAGATAGAGGGAGACCAGATACTGAATCCCTTTACAGAGGTCCTCATTCTGCAGCAGCACAGTGACATCATCAGACAACTTCACCCTGTGGGGGACAAAAGGTCTACATCTGGAATTAATGATCAATCTAAATCCACCCCACCAGTCAGTTTGTGTTGATAAAAGTAGCAAATCTTACAATTTTTACAATTAGTTTTTCAATTTGCATACTTTGATTAATTGGACACCTAGTCATAAAACCATTCTCATGCTCAACCTTGGATTCTGTGCTCTAACCAGATTTCTTTTAACTCACTTAGAATAAAAAAGTCAAATGTAAACATTGAAAACAGTATCCAGCTTTAAGTCCCTACAATTATTTTTGAAATCATAGAAAAAATAAGAATTTTCATTACTTGATAACTGAAACAAGAAATTAGACTTGAGCAAAAAATCCATGGTTGAGCATGTTAACTTTTTCAAGAATACAGGCCCAGAACAACAAGCTGTCATATTGTAGAACAATCAGATTCCAACACTTTTAATTATGGTAGTGAACTCTTGATATTTATTCATTGATGATTTTATATCTGTTAAAAAAAGGAAATATAAGAGACTAATTAACTTCATAATTTTTTTTTTTTCACTTATTTAAATTTAGCACTTTTCTAAAAAAAAAATATATTGGAAACTGAGATGAACTGAATTGCATATGGTGAAGCCTATGCCTGAAAATATTGTAATCTGATAGTTTGGTTTTGAAATTTGTTAATTAAGATAACTATTCTACGATCTTTGTGATAATGATGTTAATTCTGGAGTGTCTCTGGAATTACTGTTAAACATGCCAATAATGTACAATTGTTCTGTAAACAGATGCGTGTCCATCGGGGATGACAACCTAGCAGTGGTATGGGACATACAGGTAGCACAGCTTTTTCTACTTTGACTGATCATGACTGAACTGAACACATTTAACCATGGTATGGTGCCAAGTCTCTAGTATACCTGGGTGACAGCGAAAAGTTATCTTTACATGTACATCTACATGGTTTTGAGTCGTACCTTAGCTAGAGTGAAAACTTAACAATCAGAGTCAAAAGCAAGAGTCAAAGGCACATAAGGCTATACTTAACAGAACTACTGAAGTCCTCCCATCATAACCCTATAAAATTACTTGTGATGTTTTAGTAGGTATAAAGATCTACTAAAATCATTTTAAGAATATGAAATAGTTGTTATAGCTAGGCGATTTATATGGTACCCGGTATGTGTTTTTCTTCTAGTAAGTGGATCTTTATATTGAGGTGGTCTTTATGACAGATTTAAACCTAAAATTATTGTTTTGTTCTGTTTCCTTTTTAGCTCTGTTTAAAATTGTTTGTGTTAAGTGGTCATACCAGACCAATCACATCACTGCTTCTCCTGAGGTCAAATGCCAATTACTCAGATTCTGATTGGCTCCTGACTGGGTCATCTGACAAAACTATAAAGGTAAGGTAACATTTTCTCTCATTTCCCTGTGTGTAAGATAGAGCATTCCAGAGTAGGAATAGGGTGTAAGATATTTCTATTTTACACCCCATTTCATGTGACGTGACGTCAAAATGGCTCAACAATGACGTGACGTCACAAATTTGGAATCTCTGATTGCGCAATGCAGAAAAGGCGACATTATGAAATTAAAACCTTTCACGATATATTTACCGTATACGTTAGAAAGATGTGATTAATTTTTCTGCGCAAACTTTGTTTGCAAATATGGGTTATGCTTAATCTGGCTGACAGATTCGTTTTCATCTAAAAAGCTCAGGGGGGAAAATTGATATTTTCAAAATGGTGGCCAGTCCAAACCCATTTCATGATCTCTGAGCTGATTTTGGTGGCTGGAATGAGAGAAAAATACTCTTTCATGCCGCGAAGGATGTAGGAATAGGGAAATTCCAACCTCTGGATTTTCAAATTTGACAAAACACTCGGCAAAGCCTCAGGTTTTACCAAATTTGAAAACCCCTTGGGTTGGATTTCCCTATCCTACACCCCTTGGCATTAAAGGGTCTTATAATCTTCAATGTTTCCATGATCATGTATAATGGTCAAGATTTTAGAGACTAACAGGACAAAGTTTAGAGACCACTTTCCCTATTGTGTAGAACAGTTGTATACCAAACAAGATTTCAGAGTCCCCCTTCACAATTGTGTAGTATACTGTACTATAGATTTAAGAGACTGTTATAGAAAAAATATTAATGTACCTAGTAAGTGTGTCATTACTGAAATCAAGTTGTCTGTCCATCCATCAATCTGTATATTTTTATTTTTTTGGCATCTTACCCATAACATGTTTCTATTACATGTGTATTAAGAATGTAATCGCTTTTGAGTTCCTTAACAAAATATAACCTAAGTTTAGATCTATAACTGAAGTTTGGTTGCAAAAGAGTAATGTATTTTATTTCTATATATATAGCAAATCAGTTATATTTAATTGTATATTGCCTATAGAGTGTTGCATATGTTTTTAACTACATGTTATGTATTCATCTTAGTATAGTTAGACTTGGTTAGAGAATCTTTCAAGCACTGTATTTCTTCAAAATAATGATCAGGTATGGGACCTAGATACAGGAAAATGTCTGCAGACTATGACAGAGCACGGCGCCTCAGTCAAGGTAAGACATATCCACGTCTGTCATGGTTATGGAAACTTAAAATCAAGTAAGTCAATGTCATAGACATTTCTAGACAAGACAGTCATTTTCATGGAGCCTTTCTATACAAGACATTTCTCCCCTACCTCACAGGAACATTCCCTAATTTGCTGGGGAAGAGATAAACCTGTCTTTACCTACCTAGGGAAACACAGCTCACACATGCTTTAATCTGAAAACGTCACCATTGCTTCATCACATTATGTAGTGTAACCAGGGTAGCATAATCAAATTTGTCACACATTTCATGAGCTCTTGATGATGGTAAAGTTCATTGGGTTCACCATTATCTACAACTTATTTTTATGGTAGGAAAGTGTGGGAGAAAAATAATCAGTCACTCCTGAGTCAGGGAAAATCTCAACCTTCATGATAAGAACTTTTAAGTTTAGCTTTCAGGTAGGCTCGTGTTAAACTTAACAAAAAATACCCTCTGCTTGAGATTTCTCTGTCTACCTCAAACAGGGGTGATGAATTCTATTACTTCATGATCTTCATCTCATATTCAAATCAAGGTAATATATACATCATTGATAAACTGATTTATACTTGGGTTTGAAACAAAATTTTAAGACAGGCTTGTAGAAGAGAGATCTGCTATATGTATGAGTTGCTTCCCTTTAGGGATAACAGCTAACATGACATGAAAATAAGACTAGGGCCGTTTTCTTTTAAACGGTCAAACCGGTCGGACCACAGTTGTTCGTTTATAAAATAAGGTCGGACCTAGTAATTTAACGCTGCTTTCAGGCGAGCCTTGACAAAGCCTTGCAAGGCCTGCATAAACATTGACAGGTCCGCTAGGATTTATACCCAAAATTGTTACATTTATAAACGGTCAAACCAGTTGTTCCGTATAAACGAACAGGCCCTAAGATAATGGTCTTCTGTATTGAATACATATGAGTTGCCTCCCTCTAGTGTCTCCTGTCCATCAATGATGACCTGTTTCTGTCAGCTGGACAATCTCTCCATCTCTGGTCTGGTGCTGGAAAACTCCTGGACTGTTATCATCGCACAGAAAAGGAAATTGAAGGTACACCCATTTATGTGTTTTTCATTCACATCTATATCTACAGGGATGTGTTTCTATTTACTCATTGTCAAATACTTAGCTTGTCAGATCCAAAGGTTAAATTGAAGTTTTATTTTTTGCCTGCTCTCTCATTTAGACCCCTCGGATTTTCCACTGTACATTAAAGTTTGTTTGCAGCACACGGTAAGAAGGATATTTGTTTACCCAGTGGACCTTCGGTGTATGGAATAATCTTCCATCAAATGTTATAAATGAAAATACTCTTAAGCAGCTTGAATGTGAATTAAATGAACACTGGAAAATAAAAACACAAAAACACTGTTTTATAAAAGAACTGTAAATATTGCAACTTTTTTAAGGTAACTTTAATTTCAGAGTTGTTTGTCTAAGGATTGTAAAATCCTGATACATTAGAATAAAATCTCTGTTTCTCTAATATTGCATTTGAGAATAAACAGATGTCTTGGAAACAACTGATTAGTGAATGTGCAAACTGCATGAAATTTGTTTTGCAAATCTATCAAGTTCTTTTTTTAGTTTTTCTCTTTATTCACAATTAAGAGATCCAAAAATATCAATGGTAATGCAATTTTGTGGAGCAGTTCTCAATGAAATTGTTGTAATGAATCGAAACATACTACATAGTTACTAGCTATTCAATCTATAATCCACATTGTATTTTGTTTTGTGCTAAATTAACTACCTTCTAGCAGCTCAAACTTATATAAGAGGAAAATAATATATGTATCGGTAATAGCTATATTTACATTTCATTATTGTGTTAGTCACATGCACCAATTAATATGTAGATAGCATTTGGGTTCCAGTTTTGGGGTGAAGAAATATCAATAAAGCAACACCATCAACTTGTTTGGGAATGACTAAGTGGTTTTAAAGGTCTAAGTGGTTTTAAAGGTATTGGTTTTCAAAGAATTCTTAAAAACAGCAAACAATTCACATTTCTTTAGAGAGTTTGGGAATTCTGCTGTTGATTTGTATACAAATGAGTTTCTGTAAGTGACTGTGCATGTTTTCAGAACAATCAGTAAGGAACTAGGCTGGGGCTACATGTATATATGAATAGGGACATCCTCAATTTGAATTGACAAAGTTCCTTCTTCCTTCAGATATAAACTTGATGATCCACGTGTGTGGACAAACAGACAGAGTTGTCACAGCCTCTGGCAAACAAATTGGTAAGTTGTCACAGCCTCCGGCAATCAAATTGGTAAGTTGTCACAGCCTTCAGCAAACAAATTGGTAAGTTGTCACAGCCTCAGAAAAACAAATTGGTAAGTTGTCACAGCCTCAGGCAATCAGATTGGCAAGTTATCACAGTCTCAATCAAGTGGGTAAATGTCACAGTATCAAATAAATGAATAGGTGTCAAAGTCTCAGACAAACAAGTCGTAAGTCATCACAACCTTATACAAACAAGTTGGGAAAGTGACATTACTACCTCAGTCAAACAAGTCGTAAGTCATCACAACCTTATACAAACAAATTGGGAAAGTGACATTACTACCTCAGTCGAACAAGTCATAAGTCATCACAACCTTATACAAACAAGTTGGGAAAGTGACATTACTACCTCATTCGAACAAGTCGTAAGTCATCACAACCTTATATAAACAAGTTGGGAAAGTGACATTACTACCTCAGTCGAACAAGTCGTAAGTCATTACAACCTTAGACAAACAAATTGGGAACGTGACATTACTACCTCAGTCAAACAAGTCGTAAGTCATCACAACCTTAGACAAACAAATTAGGAAAGTGACATTACTACCTCAGTCGAACAAGTCGTAAGTCATCACAACCTTATACAAACAAGTTGGGAAAGTGACATTACTACCTCAGTCAAACAAGTTGATAATTTGTCAAAGTCTCTGTCAAACAATTGATTAAGTTGCCAAACCCTTTGTCAAAAAGGTGGGTAAGTGATCACAGCCGCAGGCAAACAGGCACATAAGTTTTCACTGCCTCAGACTATAAATTCAAAGTAGGCAAAATTTAATACTTTATATTTTCCATCAACATCTTTAAGAAATTTGAACACAGAAACTTACAACAAAGGTGATATATACAAAACTTGCCTGGTTTAATATCTTTGTACAGGTGTGTACCAGGTGAACACTACAACAGATGATGTTGTCATAGTAACCGGGGACATTGCCTTTGTAAAGAACTTGCCGTCGCATCTGGAAGCTATCCGAAGTCTCACCAATCTATCAGGTACTACATTTTCTAATGAATTAGTAAGGGGTTATTGCATAAGTATACTTTTATATATGATATTAGTATTTGATTAACTGCTAGAATTTAACATGCTCACAATGTCCCTAGATATTGTATTGTAAGAACAGGTGTTATACTCAATGATATTTGTCTGTTTTTCTCTCAAATCTTAAGTCATGTATGTGCATTTTTTTCTACAGAGACTTATACATCTCATTATACTTATCTAAGTTTTGGTTTTTTCCAAGGATTTACTTTTTAAGTTGGGGGCTTGATAGTCCAGCCGCGGTCATGCCAAGAGTGGCTGGATAATGAGACAGCTAGATCACTGAGACAATTCTGTAAAGTATTCAATATTTTCCCTATAACACTGGCTGGATAGTAAGACAATCAGATAAGTTGTGTCTGAATTATGGAGATTGCACAGTGTAAGTTATTTTGGATTTTAAGGATCCCTGTCCCACTGCAGTGTGGTATTCTCTGTATACAGTTACCTCCCCTTAACTTCCGATTGGATATAACTGTAGAAAAGTTTGGCTAGGCCACTTCCTCAGACCAGTTAGCGCAGTCAGTTAGAGCGAAAGTATAACAATCTGTAGTCCAGGATTCAAAAACCATTCTGGGGCCACTCATTTTTTTATATTTTGTTAAAGTCCCGCAATGTATGATTTTTTTCTTCCAAAATGATTATCAAAGCTATCGTCATGTGAAAGAACAGTTTCCAATACATGTACTAAGTTACAGTTTTTAGCAGTGATACGAGGGTTCTTAAGTTGATATCACATCACAGGGTTGTGTTTTATGGTTGTTGTGCGTTTCTGTGATGTTATTTAAGATCAGATATGTATTTTACACTAAACTATGACACAATTTATGAAGGCAATATGTTGATTGTAAGTTCTGTATAACAGATCAGTGCTTTGCCAGTGGATCATTAGACGGTACCATTGTGATCTGGTCATGCCAGACGTTCCTACCTACGTATAAATTTAACACTGTGGACAGCTACCAGGGGAAGGATCACCTCTACCCCTACAGCATACAGCATGTACTCTGTCTGGAGGAGGTATGTATCGTACAAATCCTCTGTCTGGAGGAAGTATGTATCGTACCAATCCTCTATCTGGAGGAGGTATGTATCGTACAAATCCTCTGTCTGGAGGAGGTATGTTTCGTACAAATCCCCTGTCTGGAGGAGGTATGCATTATACCAATCCTCTGTCTGTAGGAGGTATGTATCGTAGGTATGTATTATACCAATCCTCTGTCTGGGGGAGGTATGTATCGTACTAATCCTCTGTCTGGAGGAAGGATGTATCGTACCAATCCTCCGTCTGGAGGAGGTATGTCTCGTACAAATCCTCTGTCTGAATGAGGTATGTATCGTACAAATGTATGTATCGTACAAATGTATGTATCGTACAAATACTCTGTCTGGAGGAGGTATGTATCGTACAAATCTTCTGTCTGGAGGAGGTATGTATTATACCAATCCTCTGTCTGGAGGAGGTATGTATCGTACAAATGTATGTATCGTACAAATCTTCTGGCTGGAGGAGGTATGTATTATACCAATCCTCTGTCTGGGGGAGGTATGTATCGTACAAATACTCTGTCTGGAGGAGGTATGTATTATACAAATCCTCTGTCTGGAGGAAGTATGTATTATACCAATCCTCTGTCTGGGGGAGGTATGTATCGTACAAATCCTCTTTCTGGAGGAGGTATGTATCATTCAACTCCTTTGTCTGGAGGATGGAGGAGGTATGTATCATACAACGCCTCTGTCTGGAGGATGGAGGAGGTATGTATCATACAAATCCTCTGTCTGGAGGAGGTATGTATGGTACAAATCCTCTGTCTGGAGGAGGTATGTATCATACAACTCCTCTGTCTGGAGGATGGAGGAGGTATGTATCATACAAATCCTCTGTCTGGAGGAGGCATGTATTGTACCAATCCTCTGTCTGGAGGAAGTATGTATCGTACAAATCCTCTGTCTGGAGGAGGAATGTATCGTACAAATCCTCTGTCTGGAGGGGTGATGTATCGGACAAATCCTCTGTCTGGAGGAGGTATGTATTGTACCAATCCTCTGTCTGGAGGTAGTATGTATGGTACAAATCCTCTGTCTGGAGGAGGGATGTATCGTACAAATCCTCTGCCTGGAGGAGGTATGTATCGTACAAATCCTCTGTCTAGAGGAAGTATGTATCGTACAAATCCTCTGTCTGGAGGGGTGATGTATCGGACAAATCCTCTGTCTGGAGGAGGGATGTATTGTACCAATCCTCTGTCTGGAGGTAGTATGTATGGTACAAATCCTCTGTCTGGAGGAGGCATGTATGGTACCAATCCTCTGTCTGGAGGAAGTATGTATCGTACAAATCCTCTGTCTGGAGGGGTGATGTATCGGACAAATCCTCTGTCTGGAGGAGGTATGTATGGTACAAATCCTCTGTCTGGAGGAGGCATGTATGGTACCAATCCTCTGTCTGGAGGAAGTATGTATCGTACAAATCCTCTGTCTGGAGGGGTGATGTATCGGACAAATCCTCTGTCTGGAGGAGGTATGTATTGTACAAATCCTCTGTCTGGAGGAGGTATGAATCGTACAAATCCTCTGTCTGGAGGAGGAATGAATCATACAAATCCTCTGTCTGGAGGAGGTATGTATCGTAAAAATCCTCTGTCTGGAGGAAGTATGTATCGTACAAATCCTCTGTCTGGAGGAAGTATGTATCGTACAAATCCTCTTTCTGGAGGAGGGATGTATCGTACCAATCCTCTGTCTGGAGGAGGTATGTATCGGACAAATCCTCTGTCTGGAGGAGGTATGTATGGTACAAATCCTCTGTCTGGAGGAGGTATGTATCGTACAAATACTATGTCTGGAGGAGGTATGTATCGTACAAATACTATGTCTGGAGGAGGTATGTATCGTACAAATCCTCTGTCTAGAGGAAGTATGTATCGTACAAATCCTCTGTCTGGAGGAAGTATGTATCGTACAAATCCTCTGTCTGGAGGGGTGATGTATCGGACAAATCCTCTGTCTGGAGGAGGGATGTATCGTACCAATCCTCTGTCTGGAGGAGGTATGTATAGTACCAATCCTCTGTCTGGAGGAAGTATGTATCGTACAAATCCTCTTTCTGGAGGAGGTATGTATCGTACCAATCCTCTGTCTGGAGGAGGTATGTATTGTACCAATCCTCTGTCTGGAGGAGGGATGAGGGATATGTAGCACCCAAGTTAATAGAGGTTAAACAAATGGACTAAATTTGATTTTAAAGAAAACTTTGTTAATTCATTTTCCCCTGAAGTCACATTTGAACTCTCCCAATTCAAATCTTGGAATAGTTCATTATGAAATTTCAGGGGTGAATGAGTTAATCTATGTGTTTTAAAAATATTAACATTCCCTGAAATCAAAAATTAAGAAAAGCTTGTTTGGTATATAATTATTAAGATTATGTTTTAATCTTTATTTTAGCGGTTCCTATTGGCTGCAATAGGTTCTGGTTTTGGACTGTTTGATATAACAACAAGGAAACTTATATGTGAAAAAGCCTGTGCTCACTTTTCCAAAATCCTACATATGACCTTTGTTTGTGACGGGTGAGTGGATGTATGTATTATTTCTTCATATTTACGACAAGTACAATTTTGAATTTGATAACGGTGTTAAAGTCTAGTAGATTTATTACTTCATAACTACAGCCTGAAACTTGACAAAGTCAGTGACACCACCAGTACGTGTGGGAAGGATTTTTAATGACATTGCAACTTTTAACATCATAAAAAATATATTTTGCTGAAATATAAATTCAATGTGCAAATTCAAGATGGGTTCTTTTCTCTGATAAACTGTAGGTCACACATTTCATGGAGATCATAAAATGAATATTAATTATGTGGTGTTTTGTAGACTTTTCATTGAAAATCAACAAAAATAATGTTATTAATATAATGAGTGGCTTTTAACTTTAATGGATCATGAACACTTTCAGCAGTTTATACACTATGTGCATCCTCCACTGTAGTCATCAGTTAAAACATCTCTACAAAATAGTAAGCCAATCCTGTTCTTTATCAAGACTTTATTTCCTGTTAATTAAAAGCAGGGTAATTAGAACATAGCTATCAAACCTCCCTCATTAGGAGGAAGTCTCCCTCATTAGAGAGGAAGTCTCCCTCATTAGGAGGAAGTCTCCCTCATTAGGAGGAAGTCTCCCTCATTTTGACCAAAATTTACCAGTCGCCCTTGAAACTCTCTCATTCAAGTCCAAACTCACACAAACTCCTAAACTACATCCTGTGGTCAAATGATCTCCCGGTTACTGTAGGGTGTGTCTGAATCAAAGGATTGTTATTTTGATACATAAAAAGGGAAAGATAAATTAAGTTAAACAGTTTCAATTGTGTTTCACGCACGAAAAGTGGAATGAGGGAGAACTGCCTCATTGGAGGTTTCTTAGGTTGACATCTATGTTTGAACGCTATAACCAACATGTTACCTTTATGTATATAGCACATTTAAGTAACAATTACCTGACTGTTTTCTAATTGGTTTTACCTCTCTGCCTGCCAGAGCATACCTTGCCACATGTTCAGAGGATGGTAGTATACGTTTGTGGGGCCACGCCCCCCACCTTAACAGTTCAGGAACAGAGGATAAATCAGACATGGATCTTCGACCAATTGAACGATTCCTAGACATCAGGTAATATTAATGTTCACTTGAAATCTTATCCATTCCAAACAATTATCAAACCCCCTGCAACAAAGTTAGGGGCTGTACTGGGATCAGTTTGTTTGTTTGTCTGTCGATGGTAAAAATTTGTCTGCAAAACTGCTCCTAATCTCATAAGCCGATTAAGGGTGGTAGAGTGGCGCGGTGAATGAGGCACTCGCCTTTTACCAAGGCGGCCGGGGTTCGATTCCCAAATCAGATGTGAAAAGTATGGATCCCCTGCCTACCACGTGGGTTTTTTCCAGGCACTCCAGTTTCCTCCCACATTAAGACCCCCTTTGCACTAACATCCAAGCCAATAAGAGTGAATGATATTAGTTGTAATAACTTCTTTCATAATTTTGGTAAAATAAATAAAGTTTATATAGACTTAAAAAATAAGCCAATTTTAACAAAACTTTACATGTATGATTGGTAAATCAATTTCATGTGGTTTGGCACCTGACATTTATGTTAAGGATAAAGGTGACCAAATGCAGTGCAGCTTTCTGATAGTGATGCATGGGGGATATACTTCACAATAAATAAAACAACTTTTATTGTTTTGGATTCAAGAAAACCACCATGGCCTCTGATTGGCTGAAATAATACTGGTTAAAACTTGAGTTCTGTGGGGCCGACTTCGGTGATACAATTTAGTTCTGTGGGGCCGACTTTGGTGATACAATTTAGTTTTGTGGGGCCGACTTTGGTGATACAATTTAGTTCTGTAGGGCCGACTTTGGTGATACAACTTAGTTCTGTGGGGCCGACTTTGGTGATACAATTTAGTTTTGTGGGGCCGACTTTGGTGATATAATTTAGTTCTGTGGGGCCGTCTTTGGTGATACAATTTAGTTTTGTGGGGCCGACTTTGGTGATATAATTTAGTTCTGTGGGGCCGACTGTGGTGATACAATTTAGATCTGTGGGGCTGACTTTGGTGATACAATTTAGTTCTGTGGGGCTGACTTTGGTGATACAATTTAGTTCTGTGGGGCTGACTTTGGTGATACAATTTAGTTCTGTGTGGCCGCCTTTGGTGGTACAATTTAGTTCTGTGTGGCCGACTTTGGTGATACAATTTAGTTCTGTGTGGCCGACTTTGGTGGTACAATTTAGTTCTGTGGGGCCGACTTTGGTGATATAATTTAGTTCTGTGGGGCCGACTTTGGTGATACAATTTAGATCTGTGGGGCTGACTTTGGTGATACAATTTAGTTCTGTGTGGCCGACTTTGGTGGTACAATTTAGTTCTGTGTGGCCGACTTTGGTGATACAATTTAGTTCTGTAGAGCCGACTTTGGTGATACAATTTAGTTCTGTGGGGCTGACTTTGGTGATACAATTTAGTTCTGTGGGGCCGACTTTGGTGATACAATTTAGTTAGATATACTTTAAAGGTCAACTGTTTAATTTTTGATCCAATATGACTGTTATGGCCTCTTGCTGGTTGAGACATTAAAAACTTTAATGCTAGAGGGTATTTATATGTCTGTGATTTCAACAGTTCTTATTAGTGTCCGGGATGTTGAGATTTGATGACTATCTGTTCCTTCAACGGTGACTAGCTTTGGGATTTTCCAGCTGTGAGCAACTCTGGTCTGTTTCAGCTGTGACTCGCTGGTTATATGTATCTACTTCAGGTGTGACATTTTTGTGGTACATGTCCTGATGATGTTTAGATATGTATATTTCTGTATTGGTGTGTTCCAGCTGTGACTAGCGAATACCTACTTCAGGTGTGACATTTTTGTGGTACATGTACTGATGATGTTTAGATATGTGTATCTATTTTTTGGTGTGTTCAAGCTGTGACTCGCTGGTTACATGTATCTACTTCAGGTGTGACATTTTTGTGGTACATGTACTGATGATGTTCAGATATGTATATTTCTGTATTGGTGTGTTCCAGCTGTGGCTAGCGAATATCTACTTCAGGTGTGACATTTTTGTGGTACATGTCCTGATGATGTTCAGATATGTATATTTCTGTATTGGTGTGTTCCAGCTGTGACTAGCGAATACCTACTTCAGGTGTGACATTTTTGTGGTACATGTCCTGATGATATTTAGATATATTTCTGTATTGGTGTGTTCCAGCTGTGACTAGCGAATATCTACTTCAGTTGTGACATTTTTGTGGTTCATGTTCTGATGATGTTCAGATATGTATACTTCTGTATTGGTGTGTTCCAGCTGTGACTAGTGAATATCTACTTCAGTTGTGACATTTTTGTGGTACATGTTCTGATGATGTTCAGATATGTATACTTCTGTTTTGGTGTGTTCCAGCTGTGACTAGTGAATATCTTCTTCAGGTGTGACATTTTTGTGGTACATGTACTGATGATGTTCAGATATGTATATTTCTGTATTGGTGTGTTACAGCTGTGACTAGTGAATATCTACTTCAGGTGTGACATTTTTGTGGTGCATGTACTGATGATGTTCAGATATGTATATTTCTGTATTGGTGTGTTCCAGCTGTGACCAGCTTCGACATCACAAAGATGTTTTACCTGCGCCAGTCCTTATAGGCGAGTGTCTAGCCCATTCTGGAGCTGTACAGGTGAGTAGTCTCTATGATCTTTTTTTGAAAATTGTTAACCCTTGCACCCCTATGTAACTTAAGTAGGCTCTACCATACATTGATATGGATGCATCTATTATGGTTTACAGTGGTGAAAGGGTTAAAGTTATCTGACCTTATCTTCCACACTGTATGCATTCCTTGTGTTGTAATTTTGATCAAGTGGTTATGATATACTGTTAGCTTTTAAGGTCAAATGTCACACATTTTAATCTGGTTAACATTCAGTTTGAAGAAGGAAAGTTACAAAGGCTAGGTTAATATAATTTACAACCAAAAGACCTGAAGAGTTCTTCAACACATCAGAGTTTTACTCTAGCAGGATTTATGTATATTTGTGTACAGATGGTAGTGGACTGCGGTTTGGAGGGCATGCTGTCTTGTGGAGTGGACGGATTGGTCATAGCTTGGAAGGTCAGTGCTGCTATATATGTAACTCCTATTCTCCTGCCCTTCATTGATTTGTCTGCCCTGATGGCTCTGCCAGTCGCTAGGCCCCTTTTGCGTATCCGGTTCAACCAGTTGAAACGGTTGAACCTGAAAGAAAACGACAGACACAGATCTGAACCAAGGCTGACCTCAGGAATATTCGGCACGTGTAGATTGATTGGTCCAGACGTGCCTGATCGAAACTCAAATGCTGACTATTGCTAGTTGGCGCTGTTGCTTTATAAAACAAGGTCAAGCCACATGTAGATTTTAAGATAACTTATATAATTTAGTGGATGCTTGGAAGAAGGACATATTATTCTTGATATATTGTTTTATTCTCCGAAACTGTGCATTTTGTAGCTCTGCGTATTAGTTCAGTCCAAATACGTTGGTTTTTCATGGAATATTTCTGCGCCACCTGAACTGTTTCAACCGGTACACACAAATGCGAGCCTAGATTGGAGACAGTTTATACAGGCTTGTGATGTTAACAGATGACATTGTATTAACTTTTCTTCTGTAAATTAACTGTAGTCTCACTTCCTACCCTGTTATAAACATTTGTATAGAAGTTCATATAATTAATATGTATTCCTTAGCATTACAAAATTATATAATATTTGCATATGATATAAAGTGTTCAATACAATAGGATATACCGGTATTGTAATACAAGTACAATTTAAGTATATTATCGCTGTGAATGTTTATCTGTTTACATTGTAGAATGCTGAACTACAAGCCATGAAGAGGAACCAAATTATACAAGAACAGTTTCTTAATCCAAGTGGTATAGTGTGACCATTACAACACTACACCTCCATCAGTGGTATAGTGTGACCATTACAACACTATACCTACAACAGTGGTATAGGGTGACCATTACAACACTACACCTACAACAGTGGAAAAGTGACACCATAACAACACTATACCTACAACAGTGGGATAGTGTGACCATTACAACACTACACCTACATCAGTGGTATAGTTTGACCATTACAACACTACCCCTCCATCAGTGGTAAAGTGTGACCATTACAAAACTACACCTCCATCAGTGGTATAGTGTGACCATTACAACACTACCCCTACAACAGTGGTATAGTGTGACCATTACAACACTATACCTACATCAGTGGTATGATGTGACCATTACAACACTACACCTCCATCAGTTGTAAAGTGTGACCATTACAACACTACACCTCCGTCAGTGGTATAGTGTGACCATTACAACACGACACCTCCATCAGTGGTAAAGTGTGACCATTACAAAACTACACCTCCATCAGTGGTATAGTGTGACCATTACAACACTACACCTACAACAGTGGTAAAGTGACACCATAACAACACTATACCTACAACAGTGGTATAGTGTGACCATTACAACACTACACCTACAACCGTGGTATAGTGTGACCATTACAACACTAAACCTCTATCAGTGGTATAGTGTGACCATTCCAACACTACACCTCCATCAGTGATATGATGTGACCATTACAACACTACCCCTACAACAGTGGTAAAGTGTGACCAATACAACCCTACCCCTCCATCAGTGGTAAAGTGTGCCCATTACAACACTACACCTACAACAGCGGTATAGTGTGACCATTACAACACAACACCTACAACAGTGGTATAGTGCGACCATTACAACACTACACCTACATCAGTGGCATGATGTGACCATTACAACACTACTCCTCCATCAGTGGTAAAGTGTCACCATAACAACACTACACCTACAACAGTGCTAAAGTGACACCATAACAACAGTACACCTACAACAGTGGTATAGAGTGACCATTACAACACTACACTTACAACAGTGGTATAGTGTGAGCATTACAACACTACACCTACAACAGTGGTAAAGTGTGACCATTACAACACTACACCTCCATCAGTGGTAAAGTGACACCATAACAACACTACACCTACAACAGTGGTATAGTGTGACCATTACAACACTACACCTACATCAGTGGTATAGTGTGACCATTACAACACTACACCTCCATCAGTGGTATAGTGTGACCATTACAACACTACACCTCCATCAGTGGTATAGTGTGACCATTACAACACTACACCTCCATCAGTGGTATAGTGTGACCATTACAACACTACACCTCCATCAGTGGTATAGTGTGACCATTACAACACTACACCTCCATCAGTGGTATAGTGTGACCATTACAACACTACACCTCCATCAGTGGTATAGTGTGACCATTACAACACTACACCTCCATCAGTGGTATAGTGTGACCATTACAACACTACACCTCCATCAGTGGTATAGTGTGACCATTACAACACTACACCTCCATCAGTGGTATAGTGTGACCATTACAACACTACACCTCCATCAGTGGTATAGTGTGACCATTACAACACTACACCTCCATCAGTGGTATAGTGTGACCATTACAACACTACACCTCCATCAGTGGTATAGTGTGACCATTACAACACTACACCTCCATCAGTGGTATAGTGTGACCATTACAACACTACACCTCCATCAGTGGTATAGTGTGACCATTACAACACTACACCTCCATCAGTGGTATAGTGTGACCATTACAACACTACACCTCCATCAGTGGTATAGTGTGACCATTACAACACTACACCTCCATCAGTGGTATAGTGTGACCATTACAACACTACACCTCCATCAGTGGTATAGTGTGACCATTACAACACTACACCTCCATCAGTGGTATAGTGTGACCATTACAACACTACACCTCCATCAGTGGTATAGTGTGACCATTACAACACTACACCTCCATCAGTGGTATAGTGTGACCATTACAACACTACACCTCCATCAGTGGTATAGTGTGACCATTACAACACTACACCTCCATCAGTGGTATAGTGTGACCATTACAACACTACACCTCCATCAGTGGTATAGTGTGACCATTACAACACTACACCTCCATCAGTGGTATAGTGTGACCATTACAACACTACACCTCCATCAGTGGTATAGTGTGACCATTACAACACTACACCTCCATCAGTGGTATAGTGTGACCATTACAACACTACACCTCCATCAGTGGTATAGTGTGACCATTACAACACTACACCTCCATCAGTGGTATAGTGTGACCATTACAACACTACACCTCCATCAGTGGTATAGTGTGACCATTACAACACTACACCTCCATCAGTGGTATAGTGTGACCATTACAACACTACACCTCCATCAGTGGTATAGTGTGACCATTACAACACTACACCTCCATCAGTGGTATAGTGTGACCATTACAACACTACACCTCCATCAGTGGTATAGTGTGACCATTACAACACTACACCTCCATCAGTGGTATAGTGTGACCATTACAACACTACACCTCCATCAGTGGTATAGTGTGACCATTACAACACTACACCTCCATCAGTGGTATAGTGTGACCATTACAACACTACACCTCCATCAGTGGTATAGTGTGACCATTACAACACTACACCTCCATCAGTGGTATAGTGTGACCATTACAACACTACACCTCCATCAGTGGTATAGTGTGACCATTACAACACTACACCTCCATCAGTGGTATAGTGTGACCATTACAACACTACACCTCCATCAGTGGTATAGTGTGACCATTACAACACTACACCTCCATCAGTGGTATAGTGTGACCATTACAACACTACACCTCCATCAGTGGTATAGTGTGACCATTACAACACTACACCTCCATCAGTGGTATAGTGTGACCATTACAACACTACACCTCCATCAGTGGTAAAGTGTGACCATTACAACACTACACCTCCATCAGTGGTATAGTGTGACCATTACAACACTACACCTCCATCAGTGGTAAAGTGTGACCATTACAACACTACACCTCCATCAGTGGTATAGTGTGACCATTACAACACTACACCTCCATCAGTGGTAAAGTGTGACCATTACAACACTACACCTCCATCAGTGGTATAGTGTGACCATTACAACACTACACCTCCATCAGTGGTAAAGTGTGACCATTACAACACTACACCTCCATCAGTGGTATAGTGTGACCATTACAACACTACACCTCCATCAGTGGTAAAGTGTGACCATTACAACACTACACCTCCATCAGTGGTATAGTGTGACCATTACAACACTACACCTCCATCAGTGGTATGATGTGACCATTACAACACTACACCTACATCACTGGTAAATTGTGACAATTAAAACAAACTCGTTGCCAATATTGTTGTCATTCAATAAGTGACAGTGCTGTACTGTCCTTTGTCAGTACTGGAAATCAACCACAAACACATATGTTAATTATCACGTTTTTAATAGTTCTATATTCACATAGTTATCATGGCTTTGTCCATGGTACCAGTACGTATTGTCAAAATTCTGTTCATCAAATATAATTAGGTTTTTATACTCTCAGTTTTTAACGTTTTTTTGATAAACTTTAATTTCAAACAATTAAGCAAAACGTTCACCAACAGGAAGGGATGTTGACATGGATGATAATTGATATGATCGTCTACTGAGTTTCTTGTACAGAGTCGAAGAACTCGTATTCACCCAGCATGCATCTGGTATACACTTCTAAGGCTTTGTTCCTGCTGATAGTCTGTTTTACATCAGCTGCATCAACCAAAGCATCCAAGGCCTTGTACCCTTCGTATTGAGGGTCAAAGTTGCTGTTGAACCAGTCATCGTACACACCATGATTGGCCTAAAAAATGAAAATAGGAATTAAAATCCGTAGTTGTAGCTGTGTAAGTTACTAAACTGACAGCATCAAAAATTACATGAAACATGAACTGAAATTGTGTCCATGTGTACTTTGACTTAAATGAAAGAAATGATTGTACGATTAATAACTTATGAGTTATTACATATTATTCTAAAATCAACAAATTAACCGGAAGTTTTGAGTTTTCATCAGAATTTTAGTTGGGTAGATGAAGTCATATAATTCCTCTTCCACCATTTACATATACAGGGGATTACTGTAATATTTAACTGGAGAAGCAAAAATGATTAATCAAAACTCTTATCATTTACCTTTTCTTAATCATGCATCAGTTGTAATGAGCAATTTCATATCAAGACACGAAATACATACAAAATGTTTAAAATAGGCACTTCAAAATATTCGCGACAAAACAGCTTTGACATCTAGATTTTCTCAATGAAATTGTCAGGATCTCCCTTGTTTTATAGAGTAAGATATTATAACAGTGTACCTGTTCGCACAGTACACAGCACCTGGTTATATAATTAACTCTTACGACCTAAGATTCAGATGGTCTAAAAATGGTTAAGATTCTGATGTGTTAGGGAATGGAATACACTTTCATTGCTCATAGTTAAATAGTCGAAGGCTTTAGAATCAAGGTAGGGAAAGTCCTTCTTAAAACATATTTGCGAAAAATAAGATTAATCTACCTGTAAGAACTTAATGTAAAACCTGAACTGCGCTGATAACTTGCACTTAATTGGTAATATTTTAGTCAATCATATTTGTTAAATGAAATGTTGAGTACGTTTATGATTTGTTTGTATGTGTATTAGTTAAAATCTGAGAGTGAGAGGTTTAAGTTTAGTTAAGTTTCATTTTTTGTACTATTAATTCTGTGATAAATATACTACCGTCAGTGAATAAAGATTTGATAATAATAATTTCTACGAGTTTTTTATATCGAACATAATCTTACAAAGAGTATTGAAATGAAAACAACTCGCAAGCCAATGGTCTGGAGCGTAACTCCATGAGTATCGAGGACGCTGGTCCTTGTGGTCAGACTATGTTACATTCAATAACATCAAGGTTGGTCCAATATGACTTTACGTATAACTGTAATCAATTCAGTCATTTAGAGGCAAATTTGTCTGTCTTTAAATGTTCGACATTTTAAAGTTGGTCTTTTTACGCAAAGTGTATCCTCTAATACATGGATTGTTTGACCCGAGATCCCAATCCATATAATATAATACATGGATTGTTTGACCCGAGATCCCAATCCATATAATAAACACATACGAGTGTTGGGTAGAGATATGTTTCACGCACTTTTGCGCTGTACCCTGTGTATTACTACCACATTGTAATTGACCATCTACGGAGGAAATTGTTGAATTTGAACAACCACTTTGAGACATGCAACTGCATGGTGTACCGATTATGCAAGTATTGTTGAAATTGATGTAGATGGTTAGATGTTGTCCGGATAAGTCATAAACCACAAACATATATAAACAGGACGATTCCAGTATAAATTATGACTCCTCCAACAAAGCGAGAGGCTTTGTTGGAGGGGTCATAATTAACAAACAGACTAATTGAAGTTTTGTTAAATATTATCTGTTACTAATACAAACAGCAAATGGTTTTTACAAACTGTGTTTGATTAAAATCTATATTTGACGAAATAGATCTTTATTTGAAAAAAAAAAGTTCTAATATCTTTACTGTCAGAAGAAACAAGAAATATATTTTACAGAATTAAACATTTTTATGCAAGTGGTTATAAGCCTGAACTAGCCGTGTACCTATTTTCAACATTGCGTAAAAGATATGACTAAATTAATTAAAGATAATAATAATTGTAATTGATGGTAAAATCAATTTCTATGATTTAGTAGTAGGAAAACCGTATGTTGATCGTTCAACGAGAAGCAAGTTATACGTTTCGATAACTTATTATATAATAAGTGAGCAGGTGGGTTTACTGGCAGGTAGAGATCGAATAATCGTTACGGAGTTTAAAAAGTTCCGCTATGTGATTGATGCCGATATACGTGGACCAACTCATTGTTATCAGATCAGTTTAAATAGGCATTTCAAAATTAATGAGTGTAAGATACCATTAATAGACGATTATGTAAATCCTTGTTACAATGATATGTGAATGCCACTTGAATCACGGGTGCTAGCCTCCTCCGTCAATACACCCATAATATAAATCGTATGGGTGTATTGACAGACGAGGCTAGTACCTTTGAAACCAACATATAGACCAAGACATACTAGCATCCATGAATGGATTTAAAATATACTTGCCGATTGCAGCTGCTGTCCAAGCCAGGGCCACAACTTATAGCACGGAAGCATCGCTACTATCATGTAGATCGTGTCCTCTGTAGCAGCGATCTGATGTTCGTAGTCTGCGTAAGACTGGCAGGCTGCACAAACCTTGATATCTGCTGGGTCCTTGATGTGCCATTTTTTAAATAATGCATGGTAGTACCTGTATTTTATCAATACAACAATTAGTCAGTTTGTCAATGAATGATAACGTATTTATAGAACTTAAATCGGATTAGTGTGGTGTTGTTGAAATTAATTTATAGAACAGAAAATAAGTTATCCCAGCGTTAACCCACAAGAGCAGAACCGTAATTCAGTTGATATGAATAGACATCAGTTAATGACGATACACCAAAACAAAAGGAGAGACAGCATTCTTGGCCTTAAAGAAAACCTTCACGTTTGTCCTCAAGTTTACTAGCGAGGTGAATAGTATTGCCGCCTAAATGATGTGCCGATGAAGAAAAGCCTGACATTTTGTTTTCACGTTCTACAAGGGAATTTTTGGTATTTAAGAACAAAATTAATCATTATCAATATACCCTCATACGATTTTTCAGATATAATGTCTCCCTTTTATAATACCCCAATACCCCTCATATCAATTCTGTTTTATAAGCATGCAAAATTGGTGCAGGGTAAACAGATAAATTTAGACCTGTGGTTTGTGTTCAATGTTTGCGTAATCTTGATAAATAATACATGTATATGTTGTCTTACAAATAATGATAATGTACCTTTCAAAACTTGCTGACTTGCCCCTCAAAAATTCTTTGAGTTTCCCTTCGGGTGCCCTATATACAGCGCTATCAATAGAGCGTTTGGCGTTGTAAATGTAGACAGAGTCTTGTATCATGTAGCTCCCTGTAGAGGACATATGTTTATTGCTAAAACATGTATTCATTTAATGCTTATACTGCTTAGTATCCACCGTTTGTACAAAATGAAATCGAAACGATTTTAATTAATTAAATTTTAACAAAATCTATTGTTGAGCATGAGAACGGTTTCATGAATACGGGCCCCTGGTCATAAAAGAGTTCTTGGCGCAGAGGCCAAGTTCATTATTAGCCTACTAGAAAAATATAACATGTTTTTAATTCCGTATATTATTTTTAGTAAGATTTTGACTACCTTTCACAGGTATCTGTTAAACGGTGTGATATCTTTACTTCAAGTTCTATAAGTTGATTGAGGTCTAGATAGTACCAAACTTGTGGTTAGTTATAGAAAAAGAAATCAAGGCAGGTATCTGATTAAACTGTGTGATATCTTAACTTCAAGTTGAATGATGTCCAGATAGAAAGGTATCTGACCAAAAAAAACGGGGTGATATCTTAATCTTATTTAGGATATCAAGATAGAGATAAAACGGTATAGGATATAAGATATCATTATATATGTATTTTGCGTGTTTTCTTGGCGTAAGAGTTAATTCTATTGTAAAATGTGGCTCCTACTGTAACCAATTGAAAAACGAAGAAATGGATAACATATTTTATTTATAATGGTAAATCGATCTATAACTTACCAAAAGCTGTAGGATTTAGAGTGCCATTTCCTATTCCTTGAACAAAATATGTAGATAATGCATTGTTTCGTATCGACTCCGTCTGATTCCAGAGGTACTCTGATAACGATTCGGCATCAGTCTTTGGTACCACTAGTAGTAATAGGCATACAGCTATCACCACGGCTGTAGATTTCGTTACAGGCTGTAAATACAAATAATAGACACATATCACTCGGTTATAACACACTACAGTTACGTACACAGCAAGGTTACGGACTGTACTACCACAGTAGGTTTCAATAATACAAACGTATTGATGAAATACACACTTAGTGTTATTTCGATAAAATGGATTAATTAACCAAAATTGTATCCTTTTGTAGACCGAGAGAAAAGAATAATGAATAAACGGCAGGTAGATAGATAATTATAAATAAACATATTTAAGATAATATAAACTGATTCGTAGTATGTATACCTACATTTTTTTAAAATACACTTAAGGGCTCAAATCTAGGTTGATTTGTAAAATTGAGCTTTTTATGGTCCGAAACTTCGGAAGTAAACGGACTTGTCATCCATTTGTGTATATTTTATATGAATAATAGAGTATAGTGCGATAAGAAGCCCAGTCTTATTATTTCGAGTTTTTCCTGATACAATGTTTCTATTGTTTTCTAATCCTTAAAGCAAGACGACGCTGTCGTGGAGTCATCCATGAACGTTTTGCCTGCGTTAGTAAAGTAGAGCGTCCCGTCTCACCCAACCCTCTATCGAATTAAGGGTGACGATGTAAGTGGACAATCTTGAACGCACTCGAATTTTAGCGCATCAGTGTATAAAACAAAATCAATGCAGAGATGAATTGACTCGCCAACAATATATGAAGTAGGACTCAATATACAGAAACTAAAATGAGGCAATACTTATTTAGCGCAATATTTCAAGATCCCAAAGCGCCAAGATAGAATTACCACTTAAACGTATACGTTTACAGTATGAAAAAGAAGACTTGAAAGTTTCACTGTACCTTGTGTAAGCCATGCACGTTTGTAGCCAGTCGTAGATGTCGTAGAACCATTGTTTGGTTTTGCACTGTTTAAATAAAAACAAATTGTCGACATGGATTAATTTTATAATGGATTTCTAGTTCATCTTGTGACCTGAGTTATGCTATTTCACTATTATGTAAAGCCGGTCATTATTCTAAATTAATAACTCTGAATCAGTTCAGGGGATATGTACATTGTATATTGTACCTGTAACTAGAGTTTCCCNTAACATTAGTGTTCATGTAATCAATCGATTAGTTAATCGATGCTCTCATTCTTGTCTGTATACCTTAATATGTTATCAATTGATTTTAAATTATTCTTTAAAATTTCAGACTAATTTCGTACAAATCTGCTATCTTTTACGAGGAATTTTGCAACGTTCCACTTCAATGAAAAGTTGTTTTTTATCTACACCTTAATGTATAAATAATGTGTTATAGATGTAGATATGTTTTATCTACTTTTTATTGGCTCTAATGACCTTTTCAATAATAACAAGAAGACGCTGTCATCGATATCCCTCGCTCGCAGTGCAAAAGTCATTAAAACATGAAGCGTAAATAATAGGTCAAAATCAGCACCAGCAATATGCATTCAGTAGAGCAACCCTAAATACACAATTGATACAAGTTTAATCACCATAGCATTTGTCGGAGACACGATATAGATGAAAGCAATTCTTCTTAACCTTACATGAAGATAAGAGCAGATCTTCTTCTTAACCAAGTCAATGAAGCGTAAAATATAGGTTGAAATCAGCATCCGCAATATGCACTTAGTAGAGCAACCCTAGATACACAATTGATGTAAAAAGTATAATCAACATAGCACTTGTAGTACTTCTTAACCAGGTGCATGGACGGACGGACCCCGTTTCTATATCCCCCGCCAACTTGTCGAACGGGGGATAATAATATTACAGATACAGATCTCATTACTGACCTATTAGACAAATACTTACAAAATTGTGAAAAGGCTGTTAGACTGGCGGTCAGCTTCCAGTGCTGACAAATTTGACATAGCGTCCTTTTATACACCTACTGGGAGCGTGCAGGGAGTGGTGATCATCACGTTTCGTGGAACGGTCACTTCAAATTAACAGGAAGTGGTCATACAAAATGTTGATTTTAGTATTTGTACTAATTATACAATATTGGTAATGCCAGAACTCATTTAAATCACCAAAGCAATCAAAGTTCGATAAGTTTCTTATATGTTACAATTACAAGATTAAAGGTTATATCTGTTGCTCATCAAATGGATGAAAGTATATGTTTAAATATGATGTTTTAATTTTCTTACATTAGTGAGAGCATGTTTTCTATTTCAAGTCTTATTTCAGCTGTCCTTTCTTAAACTAAGTTGTCAATTGCTGATATTTGTTTTAACAAGCTGCAATTGTAAAACCGTATGGGTTAAAATGCAAGTATTTGTGTTTAGTCAACGCGAAAATTGAGTTCTGGTGCCGTATTCATAAAATGATTCTTATCTAAAACTCTGAATCAGTGCTCAAACCAGATTTCTTGTTTCGGTGATGAATTAATCGCTTTTTGTCTATAATTTTAAAGAATTGGGAGAACGTTAATTCGTGTACTGTTTCAGTTTTAACACTTGTCTTTCATCTGATTTAAGCGATTTACGAGAAAATTGGTCTGAGCACAGAATCCATGCGTAGGCATGAAAACGTTATCATAGATATGGATCTTTAAGTTCGTAAGAGCACATATGTTTACAAACTATGTGTTATGCTTGGACTACTTTAGATAAAAACGAACATGGCTTTCAGACTACTTTAATCATTAAACAAACAAAACATATAGAATTGCAATTCTAATAATTATTCGGCAGCTTGCGTTGACTAAATAGAAATAATACGGTACTTATAAGTACTTTGTCATCGTTAAGCTTATATATATATGACATTATTACAGATACAATACCTTCAGGTATTTTATTTTTATGTGTTGGAGAAAGTTTTTTGCTGATTTTGCCTGTGTATTTACTGTACACCCTAGTGCGTAGATGTATTCCGCGAAACACGTGCGGTCAGGAAAATGGTGCTTAGTTTGTATAATATCACAATGAAAAGAAAAACAGTATAATACGTACTACAATGTATATATTAGAAAAAATCACAAGTACGTTCTTGTCCTTTTTGTAGAAAGAACGTTATTTTTTTAAATGTTATTCACAATTGTTTTGTTCCGTCATCGTCAAAATGATTGTCTTGAGAAAATACGACAGTAATGTTTAAAAATGTATATATTTACATTTGGTTGATATATGTTTGCTACTTTAATTTAAAAACTAAAATTGTTAAGTTGAAACCAAATTGAAATAATACGGTACTTATAAGTACTTTTGCATTAAAAAATCAGCTATTCCGTGTTTTATCTTTGTTATCGTTAAACTTATATATTTATGATATTATTACAGATACAACATCTTGAAGTATTTGATTTTTATGTGTTGGATACATGTTTTTACTGATTTTGCCTGTGTATTTACTGTACACCCTAGTGCGTAGGTGTATTCCGCGAAACACGTGCGGCCAGGAAAATGGTGCTTAGTTTGTATGATATAACAGTGAAAAGAAAAAACAATACTATAGTCACATATTATTATTTTTTTTCTTTTCTGTCTTTAAATCTAATAATTTATTTACAATCAAGTGAAGTATCAATCATAACAGCACGCAGTAAAATAACAAAATTTTCGATGTCAAGGTACTGAGACTGACAGCCGATGTCAAGGTACTGAAACTGACAGCCGATGTCAGGGTACTGAAACTGACAGCCGATGTCAGGGTACTGATACTGACAGCCGATGTCAAGGTACTGATACTGAGAGCCGATGTCAAGGTACTGAAACTGACAGCCGATGTCAAAGTACTGATACTGACAGCCGATGTCAGGGTACTGATACTGACAGCCGATGTCAACGTACTGATACTGACAGCCGATGTCAAAGTACTGAAACTGACAGCCGATGTCAAGGTACTGATACTGACAGCCGATGTCAAGGTACTGAGAATGACAGCCGATGTCAAGGTACTGATACTGACAGCCGATGTCAATGTACTGAAACTGACAGCCGATGTCAAGGTTTTGAGACTGACAGCCGATGCCAAGGTACTGATACTGACAGCCGATGTCAAGGTACTGAGACTGACAACCGATGTTAAGGAACTGAAACTGACAGCCGATGTCAAGGTACTGAAACTGACAGCCGATGTCAAGGTACTGAAACTGACAGCCGATGTCAAGGTACTGAGACTGACAGCCGATGTCAAGGTACTGATACTGACAGCCGATGTCAAGGTACTGAGACTGACAGCCGATGTCAAGGTACTGATACTGACAGCCGATGTCAAGGCACTGAGACTGACAACCGATGTTAAGGTACTGAAACTGACAGCCGATGTCAAGGTACTGAAACTGACAGCCGATGTCAAGGTACTGATACTGACAGCCGATGTCAAGGTACTGAGAATGACAGCCGATGTCAAGGTACTGATACTGACAGCCGATGTCAATGTACTGAAACTGACAGCCGATGTCAAGGTTTTGAGACTGACAGCCGATGCCAAGGTACTGATACTGACAGCCGATGTCAAGGCACTGAGACTGACAACCGATGTTAAGGTACTGAAACTGACAGCCGATGTCAAGGTACTGAAACTGACAGCCGATGTCAAGGTACTGATACTGACAGCCGATGTCAAGGTACTGAAACTGACAGCCGATGTCAGGGTACTGAAACTGACAGCCGATGTCAAGGTACTGAGACTGACAGCCGATGTCAAGGTACTGATACTGACAGCCGATGTCAAGGTACTGAGACTGACAACCGATGTTAAGGAACTGAACCTGACAGCCGATGTCAAGGTACTGAAACTGACAGCCGATGTCAAGGTACTGAAACTGACAGCCGATGTCAAGGTACTGAAACTGACAGCCGATGTCAAGGTACTGATACTGACAGCCGATGTCAAGGTACTGATACTGACAGCCGATGTCAAGGTACTGATACTGACAGCCGATGTCAAGGTACTGATACTGACACCCGATGTCAGGGTACTGATACTGACAGCCGATGTCAACGTACTGATACTGACAGCCGATGTCAAAGTACTGAAACTGACAGCCGATGTCAAGGTACTGATACTGACAGCCGATGTCAAGGTACTGAGAATGACAGCCGATGTCAAGGTACTGATACTGACAGCCGATGTCAAGGTACTGAAACTGACAGTCGATGTCAAGGTTTTGAGACTGACAGCCGATGCCAAGGTACTGATACTGACAGCCGATGTCAAGGTACTGAGACTGACAACCGATGTTAAGGAACTGAAACTGACAGCCGATGTCAAGGTACTGAAACTGACAGCCGATGTCAGTGTACTGAACCTGACAGCCGATGTAAAGGTACTGATACTGACAGCCGATGTCAAGGCACTGAGACTGACAACCGATGTCAAGGTACTGAGACTGACAGCCGATGTCAAGGTACTGAGACTGACAGCCAATGTCAAGGTACTGATACTGACAGCCGATGTCATGGTACTGAAACTGACAGCCGATGTCAGGGTACTGATACTGACAGCCGATGTCAAGGTACTGAGAATGACAGCCGATGTCAAGGTACTGATAATGACAGCCGATGTCAGGGTACTGATACTGACAGCCGATGTCAGAGTACTGATACTGACAGCCGATGTCAAGGTACTGATACTGACAGTCAATGTCAAGGTACTGATACTGACAGCCGATGTTATGGTACTGAAACTGACAGCCGATGTTAAGGTACTGAACCTGGCAGCCGATGTCAGAGTACTGAAACTGACAGCCGATGTCAAGGTACTGAGAATGACAGCCGATGTCAAGGTACTGAAACTGACAGCCGATGTGAAGGTTTTGAGAATGACAGCCGATGCCAAGGTACTGATACTGACAGCCGATGTCAAGGTACTGAGACTGACAACCGATGTTAACGAACTGAAACTGACAGCCGATGTCAAGGTACTGAGACTGACAGCCGATGTCAGGGTACTTAACCTGACAGCCGAAGTCAGAGTACTGAAACTGACAGCCGATGTCAAGGTACTGAGACTGACAGCCGATGTAATGGTACTGAAACTGACAGCCGATGTCATGGAACTGAAACTGACCGCCGATGTCAAGGTACTGAAACTGACAGCCGATGTAATGGTACTGAAACTGACCGCCGATGTCATGGAGCTGAAACTGACCGCCGATGTCAAGATACTGAAACTGACAGCCGATGTCAGGGTACTGAAACTGACAGCCTTTGTCAAGGTACTGAGACTGATTGCCGATGTCAGTATACTGATACTGGCAGCCGATGTCAAGGTACTGAGACTAACAGCCGATGTCAAGGTACTGATACTGACAGCCGATGTCAAGGTACTGAAACTGACAGCCGATGTCAAGGTAGTGAAACTGACAGCCGATGTCAACGTACTGAAAAGGACAGCCGATGACAGTGTACTGAAACTGACAGCCGATGTCAGAGTACTGAAACTGACTGCCGATGTCAGGGTACTGAAACTGACAGCCGATGTAAGAGTTCTGAAACTGACAGCCGATGTCAAGGTACTGAAACTGACAGCCGATGTAATGGTACTGAAACTGACAGCCGATGTCAAGGAACTGAAACTGACAACCGATGTCAAGGTACTGAACCTGACAGCCGATGTCAGGGTACTGAAACTGACAACCGATGTCAAGGTACTGAGCCTGACGGCCGATGTCATGGTACTGAAACTGACAGCCGATGTAAGAGTACTGAAACTGACAGCCGATGTCAAGGTACTGAGCCTGACAGCCGATGTCAAGGTACTGAAACTGACCGCCGATGTCAGGGTACTGAAACTGACCGCCGATGTCAAGGTACTGAAACTGACAGCCGATGTCAAGGTACTGAGCCTGACAGCCGATGTCAAGGTACTGAGACTAACAGCCGATGTCAATGTACTGATACTGACAGCCAATGTCAAGGTACTGAAACTGACAGCCTATGTCAAGGTAGTGAAACTGACAGCCGAAGTCAGAGTACTGAAACTGACAGCCGATGTTAAGGTACTGATACTGACAGCCGATGTCAAGGTACTGAGACTGACAACCGATGTCAAAGTACTGATACTGACAGCCGATGTCAAGGTACTGAACCTGACAGCCGATGTAAGAGTACTGAAACTGACAGCCTCAGTACAGAATGGCAGTAAATAAGCCGATGTCAACGTACTGAAAATGACAGCCGATGACAGTGTACTGAACCTGACAGCCGATGTAAGAGTACTGAAACTGACAGCCGATGTCAGGGTACTGAAACTGACAGCCGATGTAAGAGTTCTGAAACTGACAGCAGATGTCAAGGTACTGAAACTGACAGCCGATGTCAGGGTACTGAAACTGACAGCCGATGTCAAGGTACTGAGACTGACAGCCGATGTCAACGTACTGAAAATGACAGCCGATGACAGTGTACTGAACCTGACAGCCGATGTAAGAGTACTGAAACTGACAGCCGATGTCAGGGTACTGAAACTGACAGCCGATGTAAGAGTTCTGAAACTGACAGCAGATGTCAAGGTACTGAAACTGACAGCCGATGTCAGGGTACTGAAACTGACCGCCGATGGCAAGGTACTGAGACTNCCTTTTGTGAAGCGCTCGACACATTAGTCAGCAAACATCGAGAACCCATCTCTGTATAAAGATGTGGGTTTTTTTATTTGGGGAATGCATTACATTCTTGATAAATATTTATTTTTGGTTATTGATGAAATCACAAGCGGTTAAATTAAATTGGCCCACAATCCTTTTGTATTAAAAAGAGTTTACATGGGATTTAAGTAAGGCATGGCAGCCACCACGGGTTTTTAATCGATCCGATAAAAGCCACGATAAGATACATTTGGAAAGGTCACGAGAAAAAAACCGTACTATAATGTTTAAATTAGAAAAAATCACAAGTACCGTTTTTGTCCTTTTTGTTGTTATCACAATTGTTTTGTTCCGTCATCGTCAAAATGATTGTCTTGAGAAAATACGACAGTAATGTTAAAAAATGTATATAATTAGATTTGGTTGATATACGTTTGCCACTTTAATTTTAAAACTAAAATTGTGAAGTTGAAACCAATTCAACTCTGATATTTTTTAATCTCATTTTACCTCTTGAAATGGACCAGTGTCGCTCCCCAAAACCATCACGAGGAAGTATTTCTTTCCAATTAGTCACGATTTGATGTTGGCGTACATATACTAGGAATGTTATCATTCAACCTTACTATATTTAAAAGAAATTCCAAAATAGAGGCCAGGAGTTTTACACGGAAACCGGAAGGCAAGCCCTTTAACTATTGACATTGATGTTGACTAGCGGGTCTTAACCATTTAAAGTAGTTCGTCTACACTCGTTACAACCATAAGGACTATCATATCATCGTTAGAGCGTTTTGATATATAATTGAAATAAAATAAGAAGCTAGAATCTTTATCAGATTTTACAAGTACCAACCAATTTGTGTAATAGGACTTTAAAGAGAAGTGTTTTAATACACGAGGTCAGTCTGGCTAAACGACCAGTTAATAAACAGGTATAACTGTACAAACGCTAAGTATTTCCATAGAACAATCTCGCTTGGTAACACTGCTATCTTGAACCCTCTTTCTATTTGTTAAAATTGTAGTTTTCATCGCTGATGCCCGGATCTAACACAGCATAAAAAACCCTGAAAATATAAATTTACTCCCTATATCATACTTTCAACGTTATTTTTTGTATCTATTATTGTTACTTTTTTATATAAAAAAAATCAAAGTCGATTTCCTTGCCTTGCTCGATTTCCACGTTATATACTTCATTTGAAGGGGACGGAGGAGATTCATGAAATTGAATCTAGAAAAGCTCAAAAGAATAATCTTTGGCAGTAATCCTTTCCAAGAGTTATATTATACTGTAATTCAATCAAAGAGCCGAGGGCACTCAGGGAGGCTGTGTATGGAGGATTCAAATAATGGAATAAAGGAGGTGGTATATCAGTACAGAATGGCAGTAAATAATAAAGAACATGTTGTTGAGTAAGGGTCATAATAGCCCATCCCTTAATCCTAATTTTCAATAAAAAAATAAATATATAACAAGCAAACAATTGAAACTTCTCTGATATTATGGTTCTTAATTATTGTTTCAAATCGATGGAAATCCTTCAAGGAATGAAGCTGCTACAGCGCAGACAATGATTTTTTTAAAATAGTAAAAGTGACCTTGACCAGACTACCATGCAAACCAAAATTGTCCCGTAAGATTATGGGAAAGTTAAATTTACGATTCAATAAATAAAAATCAAAACAAGATTGCATTATTTCCAGTGCGTGTAATCACGTCCCTTGATGAATAGGAAATGGGGGTTCTGCATAAAATCCGCCCCTCTCTCTATATTTATAGTAAATCCCTCCCTGACGGCGGGATGGATCAGTGAGGGACCTGTTGGGGATGAGGGACCAGGTTATTTTTAGGCTGGTATGGGTTTTTCCCATGTTTATACATCTACAATTAGCTCATCCTGATTAAGAACACTCTTCACTCTGAAAGGCGTTGTGTATCCGGTTCCTCCTAATGACATGCACTTCAGCATGCTAGACTATTAATGAGGATAAACGTAATACTACGCCCACTCCTATTCACGTACCATCAATACACAAATCCGCAATCTAGCCAAGGAAAAGCAAGAACGGATTTGTTTATACTTGCTTACATACTTGGTAAGGACAATAGTCATAACTGAACTATATTGCCACTGATGGAACGAGACTCAAACCATAGCAAGGGTCAACATAAATGCTGTTGCGGCATTTTGTCTTGCTCGGAACGAATAAGCAACGTAACTATGTTAAAACAAACATTCAATATTGACAGTTACAGAGTTAACATAGGAAACGTGTTTTCACTAATTTGCAAAAAATAAAATTCCATATCTAAATTGACAATTTCTTCTGTTAATTCGATTATGCAAATAAGTGATTTTTTCATTTAGATTCTGTGGTTATTTGAATGTTAAATGTTACATATTTGTAACGAAAAGAATAGTTTCTTGGCATTAAGTATAGTGTACCAGAAAAAAAAATAAAACACTGTTAATCCTATGTGCTCGTACGATTTCTACTTCCTGGTAACTTCAAGTGACCAATCCAAAATCATTGCCACTCCCTCCAAACTTCCAGTCATCAACTTGTCATCACTGAAAAACAGAATACATAAATGTGAACAAAGCTCCATTCAGACGCGAAATCGATGAAATAAGGGCAAAATATAAGAAATGGAAGGAGGGATAGGGAAAAGACAATTGAAAAAGTATAAAGAGCTAAAAACAAGTCGGCCGAGAGAGATGGGTACAGCTTTTCCTGTCAAGTAAATGGTAATTTTGAAAAATTCTAAAGAGTGTCTAAACGCCAATATTTTCTGGAATACCTCTTGTTTAATCTTTTTGACTTTCCACAGGGATACCACCATTCCTCGTGCTAAATCTAGATCACATCTTGCAGTTTTGGTAAATCAGTCAGTTCTGTCAGGAAACTGGAAAATACATTTTTTTTTTTAAATCTCGTTGTAAATTGAACTGATACGTATTTGATTAAATAACGCATAACTTGGAGGAATGCATACATGTAAATGATATAACTTCAATGGAGTCTTAACATGACTTTTTCACTGATTTGTTTTGATACATACATGAAACTCATCACGAATTTTTCATTTTAACTCGCCAGAGGCTTGCTTAATTGAAATTTTTTTAGACTCGTTTCATAAATCTCATATGAAATGGAAACTCATGTAAGATCCTTTATATATTTGCATTTATACACAAATATATAATAAAAAAATAGCAAAAGATTGACAATTTTACATAATTGTTTTTTGGCAATATTGCTACAATAATACAATTTACAGGGCCATATTGTAAATTAGATGTTAATCTTAATATGTAAACCTGTTTAAATAAAAGATATTATTATTATTATTATTACAAGCTAACCGGTAATAAGATTTATATTTACATCTATATTTTAAATGCCGCCGTGACTATTCTCCATAATATGTTTATTGAATATTTAAAAGAAATTGTGGTTAGGTATACATGTAGCAAACACTAGTGAAAGCAAGTGCTTTCTTTTATAAAAGCACTGGATAAAGTGTTGATTGTAATCAGCCCAACAGAACTCAAAATGTAAGTAGTGCATTTTATAAACTGATTTTCTATTCATATAGTAACAGTGATAGAGACCTAACCCCCGGGCCTGGAATGGTATCCCAAGTAGACACTTTCTTTAAGGAAGCACTGGACAAAGTCAAGAGTGAAATCAGTCCAAGAGAAATCAAGATATTGTGCATTAGTGCATTGAACAGATTTTCTATTTGTAGTGACCCATTGACCTTTGAACACTGGACCTGAAAAGTTATCCCAAGCAGGCACGTTCTTTCAAGAAGGACTCGATAAAATCTGAGTGTAATCAGTCCAACAGAAGTCGAAATACAGTGCATACACTGATGTTCTATTTATAGTAAGTGACCTTGACCTTTGATATCAAAGGCTGAAAAGCTATCCGAAAGCTTAAACAAACATTTTATCACACAGGATAAAGTCTGAGTGCATACGGCCCAAAAGAGCTCCAAATATTGTGCATGAAATGTGTTTCTATTTATAGTAACATTAACTTTGAACTTTGACATCGATGCCTCAAAAGCTACAATTTGTATCCTAAGCAAATACTTTCTAAAGTAACAATGACCTTAACCTTTCACCACCAAAGCACCAAAGCAGGCACTTTCTCCGAGGTAGCACTTGATAAAGCCTGAGTGTGATCATCCGAACAGAATTGGAAATATTGTGCCTAAACAAATGTTCTATTCATGGTAACAGCTATTCAAAGCATGCACTTTCTTCAAAAAAGCACTGGATAAAGTCTGAAAGCAATTCAACCAACATTATTGAAGATATTGTGCAGAAATTAAACAAAAAGCCCAATGGGCCTGTGTCACTCACTTGCCTCTAATGCAACTTTGAAGCTGATCTAGGTCATTTCTGTGGATGCTAAGCTCTTTACCACTTTATTCAAATATAGCACATTTGACCCATGTAACCTTGAATGTATATCAAGGTCATTCATTTTAACAAACTTAGTAGCCCTTCATCCCAGCATGCTACATGCCCAATATCAGGTATCTGGGCCTCTTGGTTATCGAAAAGAAGTTGTTTAAATATGTTAGCACATTTGACCCCTGTGACCTTGACAGTCGGTCAATGTCATTCATTTGAACACATTTCGTAGCCTCTCATCCAGGCATGCTATAGGCTCACTATCATGGTCCTCTTAGTTATTGAGAAGTTGTTGTAAGATTTTAGCACATTTGACCTCTATGACCTTGAAAGGCAGGCAAGATAATTCTTTTGAACCATGTTGGTAGTCCTTTATTCAAGCATGCTACAGGCACAATATCAGGTATATGGGTCCCTTGGTTATTGAAAATAAGTTGTTTAAACATTTTACCTCATTAAACACTTGTGACCTGGAAAAGTCGGACAAGGTCACTCATTTGAACAAACTTGATAGCCCTTCATCCCAGCACGCTACAGGCCCAATACCAGGTCGCTGGACCTCTAGGTTATTGAGAAGAAGATGTTTAAGGAAATGTTGACGCCCGAGGGCCGAGCAATGGTCAGACGACGGAGAGCGCACCAGGGCAAAAGCTCACTTGTCCTTGGCAGGTGAGCTAAAAACAGATAGAAGGACAGACAGACGGAAAACCTGATTACTAAAGATGTGCAGGGGTCCTAACAACAAATTGTGTAATTGAATTGGAGAATCCCCCTTTGGGATCCCACTCCTCCCCCTAGGGAGCCAGAGTATTATGATAGAGACCCTCTGTTAAACGACATTCAGTCTTCTCAACCAAGTAATGTTCCAGACCATTGGTTTGAAAACATCATCAAGCCAAACAGAAGGACTTCAAGGGATGTACTGTATTAGGTGATTTATGTCCTCGCAACAGCCAGGGTCATATGAGGACGGATGTCAAGGAGACACCTATAGAAGAAAACTACAATTCGAAGGAAGTGGATGTGTTGCCGGAAAAAATACAGTTACTAATAAGAATTTCCTATGTGCAAAGGGCTCTAACTCCAGAACAAATAGAACATTGACGCTGGATTCTAACTCAAACTGTAATCCATCATACATGTATACTAAGTTACAAATAATATGGAAAACAGTTAATTATGAGAATTTCCTATGTGCAAATGGGCCATAACTCCAGTCAGAAATGGAATATTAAAACATGGTTCAAACTCTGTAATCTTTTATGATAAAGCCACAAACAAATTTTCAAATTAATATGGCAAGCGGTATAGCGAAAAAAGTAAAAAAAAAAGAAGTTAATTTTGATAATTTTTTATGTGCAAAGGGCCATAACTCCAGCAACAAACGAAATATTGACACAGGGTTTATATAGCTATATGAGATATCTTATATATAATATGAGATATCTTAAATAGAAAATTAAATGAGATATCTTATATGCGATATCAGATATCTTATATATTAAATAAGATATCTCATTAGGTATATAAGATATCTTATATACTATATGAAATATCTTATATAATATATAAGATATCTTCTATCCTATGTGAGATATCTCATATAGAAATTAAATGAGATATCTTATATATAAATATATAAGATATCATATATACTATTTAAGATATCTTATATCGCATATAAGATATCTCATTTAATTTTCTATATAAGATATCTCATATTATATATACGATATCTCATATTATATATATATTATATATTCTCGAGGAAGAAATTAGTTTCTGGTTTTTAATGCCACGAAATCTCATTCTATATAAGATATCTTATATAATTGAAATCTCGTTGCTATATAAGATATCTGATATAGAATGAGATTTCGTGGCATTAAAAACCAGAAACTAATTTGTTCCTCGAGAATCTTTCGGAGCACATTCAGGATCGATTGGGCGCAATGGCGGACAGGGATGGTACGGATGCTGTATTTTCCCTAGGCCTAGCTCGCCTTGTCTCTCTTATAGCGGCCAAAGCAGAGGCTGCCATTTCCTGCAATCTTGAAGTGGGCTCAGACATAATGGCGGCGACAGGAACACGTGTTGTTACAACAAACCTACTGTCCCTACGTAGATCCTCGAGATATGCCGGACGGGGAGACTTCATTTTCGACATTTTGTTAAAATCTCGTTCCTATATAAGATCTTTTATATAGCAACGAGATTTCAATTATATAAGATATCTCATATAGCTATATGAGATATCTTATATATTATATAAGATATCTTATGTAGAAAATTAAATGAGATATCTTATGTACGATATAAGATATCTTATATATCATATAACATATCTTATATAGCATCTCATTTAATTTCTATATAAGATATCTCAGAGACGAGATATCTTATATGCTATATAAGATATCTTATATCGTATATAAGATATATCATATAGTATATGAGATATCTTATATATTATATGAGATATCTTATATACTATATGAGATATCTTATATACGATATAAGATATCTTATATAGCATATAAGATATCTCATATGCTATATAAGATATCTTATATAATTCGATGAAATACAGGATCGACATTGCTCCTTGAATAAAGGTTAAGTTGGCTTGCCATAGAAGTACATAACAAATGGAAAAATAAAAATATGAATGATAAAGCAAACAAAGGGGCACAACTCTTTATGTTCGTGAAAATCCAGCCCTGAATTTCTGCTATTTTTAAGATGCTTCTACACCAGATTCAAATAATTTTGGGAATGAAGGGTTTATATTTTGTTTGTTGATGTTTAGTGGAACGAAGAGATACATGTATAACCTTTTTTTAAACACAGTATTCTAAAAGATATGATTAAGGTTTCAGACTCTTTTCGGTTATCAGCATCTTTTGAGGAAACTCCATGTATTGTAGCAGAAAACTGTCAACAAATAATATGAAGTGTAATGCAGTGGATATAGAAAGCTCAATTCCTGCTATATATTTGTAGTAAAGTTGTCAAAGAATCAGATATTTGGCAGACATTTCTAATACATACATGTATGACTTAAAAGTGGTTGCGAGGATTTATAATACTCAAAAAACAAACTGATTCCTATTCCTTATACAGAGAACAGTGTGGAAATATAGATGAACTGAAGGTATTGAAAATAACGTCAGGTAATTCGGGTAAAATGGCCTTCTTAATTTTACTTATTCATAATGTGTTGATACAGCCTCTCTTAAAAAATACACATTCAATACATGTTTTCAGCCAGTTTTTGTTGTCATTATCTGTCCAGCCTGTAACATCTCATCTTTACTAGCCAAGCGTTCATTTTGTATTCACATATTCATGTATTCAACCTTAGCGAATTTAGCCTTGTTATCTAAACTTTCAAATTATTGAACCTGGCAGGGGGACTTGGCACGAATTAACATCCTATGGTCCACATGATATGTTTGTCCCTTATAAAAATATATCTGATGAAATATCAATTCAACACAATCACTAACACAAGGTGTACGTTACCTGCAGCCTAACGAGTAAGTGTCGTTCCCCTTGAATTAGCTATCTAGATATCGACTTACGTAGATATTACTACAACCTCAACCTATATATAATAATTGCAGACATGTCTCTATTATATACGATCCTTAATATATCTTTTTTCTCTCTAAGAAACAGCTTGTAAGTGAAATGTGTTGTTGTTGTTATTACGGAATATTTTTTTTTCTACGTCGGGGATAGTCAACAGCGATATATTTAGCATAACGCTTTAAATATAGATACATGTATTCAAGATGAGTCATTTTTTTCTGGAAGGTTGTGCAATTGATTCATTTTAGTATCACTCAGTACCGAGAACTATTGAAAAGCATATGCATTACTCGAAGGAGGTATCCTGCGATCATTTTGGTATATATATTTACCTTTCCATTTATGAAGAAATATTTAGTTTGATGTACAAATAAAATTGAACAGTGTCTATTTGCATTGTGCCTTTTTTTCTCACGATGCACATCTGACAACGCATGCAGATATATAAGTGACTGTTGACAGATGCTGTCATTGTCACTTTAATGAACTTAATCGAAAGATATTCGTCAGATGGAAACCAAAAACTATGCAGAGCAGATAACGAAGCCTACAAAATATATGTGCATAATTGCAAATGGCAGAATTTCGCACTGGATGATAAGCTCAACCCCCGCCTCCCCCACAAGACAGGTTAGCAGTCAACAGCACAAATAGGCATATTCTCTTTATTTTTCAGAAAGAAGCTAAAATTAGTTATGATTACGACAATAAAACTTCTTAAGCGCATATTACAGTCTCTCAAGTAGAACATCATGGTTGAGTTATTTGTCAGAAAACAGGATGCACTCTATCAATAAAATCTCAACATTTCTCTTGAACAAGTCTGATCGCTTAAACTATTCCATACGTATACACATATATTTATATAGTGTACTTAACATACGTAAGAAAGATGTTTGCTTTTCTCGGAAATGACTATTGAATCTATACATAGACGAGACAAATACTGCTACGGTAAATCCTGTATTCTTTCGGCGACTATATGTAGGCGTGGAAGTAAATGGATTCGGTAAAAACCGGTTGCGGCTTGATATTTATCTTTACTACTGAGTTATTTGCATAGTGTTGTTGTGGCTTTTCAAATCTGATATCAATGAAACACGCATCATTCTGTCACAAGCCGTACAGCTCGTAATATATCCTCCACTAAACACTGAAACGGTTGTCGCTTTCACATAATCCGGTATACCTGACACTAACTTCCGAAATTTATTTCACAACTACCCCAAAGTCATTTTCCCGAAGATTTCTTTTCCAAAGGGCAGCAATTGTTAGCTTGTGTTCGAATAAAGATTTGAACATTTTAATTCGCGGTCGATTTTCGATTTCCCTCTCGATTTAGTGTAATTAGGAATTCAGTCACTGTATGTATCTAGAATCGTGTATTTCATTAATCTGTATTCTACCGACTTACTTGTGCAGTAAGTGCTAAAAAATCGCTTAAATATAATCTTACGAATGATGAAATGATACAAGATAATACAGAGGGTCACCAAACACGTAAATCGAACTCAAAATCGATAAAACCATGGCAAAAAAAAGATATTGCCAAACAGGAAGTATCTGATACTCGCGAAACCCTGAACAGAATTTGTAATAGGTAAATAAGATAAAACTGAAATGAGCCAAAAAGATGTTTCCACTTGGCTGGTTTGACAGAATTTAGTTTACCACAGTATTTGGCCATTCGCCATAAAAAAATGACATGATCAAAATAAAGATACAGAACTAGTAATGCACCGAACCCGGACACGGAGAAAGATAACGTCGCCTCCGCAGCGGATCAGTGGACCTTGTTAGATCGTTCAGGTAAGACTAAATAATCGTTGTGGAAATTCCGAAAATGAACACCTGCACAGAACTACCTGCAGGGGCATATAAAAGGCCGATCATCACTCAGGAGAGGCAGTAAAATATTGATTGTTAACGCAATTGTATATAAATGTCCTGTCAACATGAATAAACACATCCCCTGATGAACCTCTAAAGGTGTGAAAGTACTAGAGAAGTTAGTACTCTATGTGTCCTTTCTATGTATATTTACATATATAAATATATTATTATATATTTCATTGATTTTTTTCATTAAAATGCAAATAATTGACTGCTGACGCTATTATATGTACTTTTTCAAATTTAAGTTGATAGGTGACGCTATTTGATAAATAGTTTATGTTATAATTAAGGTTTAAATTATTGTGTGTTGACGCTATTATATAATTATTTGTGGTTTGTGATGATGCAAATGTATAAAGATTTTTAAATTTTGTTTTTGTTCTATTAAATTCAATCGAAGTGCAAACAATTTCCTCGTGAATAAGTACAGAAAAGTAAGGTAAATAATTTTATAAAAGTCTTTGTGTGATAATCTACAGTACTTTATGGCGAAATCTTAAAATGAATATTAGGTCGATGCGTTAGATACAAACCACTAATTGCATTAAAGATACGCTTTCTATTTCTTTTGAAGAGCATACGAACAAACCATGACTCTACGGAACCCGAGACTGTCTGCCCATGTCCACGGCTTAAGCAAGGTACAATAGTAACTTGTCATTTACTCTAAATATTAGAATCGAAGACAGTGCATACGAGTAATGATGGTCAACGAATCAAATCACACCAGATGTTCCACATATCTCTATCATTACAGAGGAGTTACTAGTACGTAACATTCGCTGTCTCTTTACATATCGATAGCGTGCAAAAATAAAATCTATTGAGGTTAGTAGTTTTTGTGTGCCTCCTGTTTCTATAAATTCACATTTTTACCTTGTATTTGTGAAATATCCTATCGAAATAATTTTTGTTTTTTTGTTTTGTTTTTGTTTACACATTTAATTGCAACACGTTTGGTTTGTTTTGTTTGTTGTCCTATAAACAACTATGGTAATTTAAGGACGTGACAGATTTTGGTGGTGGAGGAAAACCGGAGTACTCGCAGAAAAACAACCAATATGCGACCTGTTCCTGGCAACTGCCCCACGTAGGCCACGAACCTGCGACCAAGTTGTGGAGGGCTAGTGATCATAGACGCCTTAACTACTCGGCCGACGCAGCCCCAAATACTACTGCTGGAGTAATTTGTGTATGTCTGATGTTTTTATACAGAATTACATATGCATGTCTTAATAATTACATTATGCCTCATGTTTTCTAAATAATGTGTTTCATAATATATATGTTTGCAGCCAGTGGTTCAAAGTACTTGCGCGAGACCGTTATCCGAGATTCTCTGGGATTCGCCGTTAGCCATGGATGTTACTATCAAGAAAGGGAAATATCACATTCGGAAATTCGAAATGGTCCCGCTTATGGTACAGCTTGGTAGTAATCCGTCCCCGTTGGCCATGTTGTAAATGAAGATCGATAGCGGATGCAGTAGAAGTCTGTAGTGTCCTCATTTTCAAGCTCATGGGGATATAAACTCGTATGATCGACGAGGTCAATACATTACTTGTTATTTAAAGACAACTTATAGTCGAGTGTGACATTGAAAGGGTTGGATAGGTGTATGTTAGCAGTGCTGACAAGCTCTCTAATAAATTCAGCCTCAAATAAAAATGTAAGTGTGCCAAACGAGGAGCACAGTTTGGTCCCTTAGGAATGCCTAAATCTACTAAAGATATTGCCAAACAGGAAGTATCTGATACTCGCGAAACCCTGAACAGAATTTGTAATAGGTAAATAAGATAAAACTGAAATGAGCCAAAAAGATGTTTCCACTTGGCTGGTTTGACAGAATTTAGTTTACCACATTATTTGGCCATTCGCCATAAAAAAATGACATGATCAAAATAAAGATACAGAACTAGTAATGCACCGAACCCGGACACGGAGAAAGATAACGTCGCCTCCGCAGCGGATCAGTGGACCTTGTTAGATCGTTCAGGTAAGACTAAATAATCGTTGTGGAAATTCCGAAAATGAACACCTGCACAGAACTACCTGCAGGGGCATATAAAAGGCCGATCATCACTTAGGAGAGGCAGTAAAATATTGATTGTTAACGCAATTGTATATAAATGTCCTGTCAACATGAATAAACACATCCCCTGATGAACCTCTAAAGGTGTGAAAGTACTAGAGAAGTTAGTACTCTATGTGTCCTTTCTATGTATATTTACATATATAAATATATTATTATATATTTCATTGATTTTTTTCATTAAAATGCAAATAATTGACTGCTGACGCTATTATATGTACTTTTTCAAATTTAAGTTGATAGGTGACGCTATTTGATAAATAGTTTATGTTATAATTAAGGTTTAAATTATTGTGTGTTGACGCTATTATATAATTATTTGTGGTTTGTGATGATGCAAATGTATAAAGATTTTTAAATTTTGTTTTTGTTCTATTAAATTCAATCGAAGTGCAAACAATTTCCTCGTGAATAAGTACAGAAAAGTAAGGTAAATAATTTTATAAGTCTTTGTGTGATAATCTACAGTACTTTATGGCGAAATCTTAAAATGAATATTAGGTCGATGCGTTAGATACAAACCACTAATTGCATTGAAGATACGCTTTCTATTTCTTTTGAAGAGCATACGAACAAACCATGACTCTACGGAACCCGAGACTGTCTGCCCATGTCCACGGCTTAAGCAAGGTACAATAGTAACTTGTCATTTACTCTAAATATTAGAATCGAAGACAGTGCATACGAGTAATGATGGTCAACGAATCAAATCACACCAGATGTTCCACATATCTCTATCATTACAGAGGAGTTACTAGTACGTAACATTCGCTGTCTCTTTACATATCGATAGCGTGCAAAAATAAAATCTATTGAGGTTAGTAGTTTTTGTGTGCCTCCTGTTTCTATAAATTCACATTTTTACCTTGTATTTGTGAAATATCCTATCGAAATAATTTTTGTTTTTTTGTTTTGTTTTTGTTTACACATTTAATTGCAACACGTTTGGTTTGTTTTGTTTGTTGTCCTATAAACAACTATGGTAATTTAAGGACGTGACAGATTTTGGTGGTGGAGGAAAACCGGAGTACTCGCAGAAAAACAACCAATATGCGACCTGTTCCTGGCAACTGCCCCACGTAGGCCACGAACCTGCGACCAAGTTGTGGAGGGCTAGTGATCATAGACGCCTTAACTACTCGGCCGACGCAGCCCCAAATACTACTGCTGGAGTAATTTGTGTATGTCTGATGTTTTTATACAGAATTACATATGCATGTCTTAATAATTACATTATGCCTCATGTTTTCTAAATAATGTGTTTCATAATATATATGTTTGCAGCCAGTGGTTCAAAGTACTTGCGCGAGACCGTTATCCGAGATTCTCTGGGATTCGCCGTTAGCCAATGAAATTAAACAGCGGGCATTGTCAACGTTTTTTGTTCAAGGAATATCCAATGGGTGTCTGAATCCAACAGCCTTTGGTAAGTTTAATTATTAAATTTATAGTAACCTGGAGACCTATCTTTGTAAAGTTGTTCTTTTTCTTTTTAAATCAACAGCAAATGTCGGTAAATGAGAAAAAAAAATGTCCGTACTAGTACGCTTATAGATGGTACATCAATGCATTTCACTCTGTTTTTCTTATGTTCTTATTTGATAAATGGCTAAATATACATTGTAGTTTACAAGTTTAATGTATGAGGCAATTCCATTGCATTTTTAGGTACTTTATTTCATTCCGAGAGATTGTAAGCTGTCCGACAGCCATACGATTAGCGGAGAAATAATGACATTTTATTTAATAATTCTCATTCAACTATTTGAACATTAGTATGTTATGCCTCACAGCCCAGTTCAAACATATTACATTATGCACGATAGCGCATATTAGGAAACGGAGTTGTATAGCATGTGATACATCAACTTTTGGGTAGAGTTTTTTCCAGCTTTGGCTTTAGCTTGAGTTTCAGTTCCTAGAATCCACCTGCATGGATTTTACACGAGACATTTGGAAAATGTCTTTTTTTCCTTCCGTCGTTCGTACGTCAACAATTTCTTCAAACGTCTTCTTCTTCTTAACCACTGATTAGAGTCTAACAATATTTGACTGGAAGCATCCCTAGGTGGGGGGCGAGGCAAAAAGAAGGCAATTTGGCTATATTGCTTTAAACGACTTCTTCTCTGGAGCTAAGTGATGGATATCAACCATATTTGACTGGAAGCATCCCTAAGTAGTGTGATTCAAAATTGTACAAATGGTGGGGCTAACCCACAGGGGGCTGGGGATCGGGGCCAAAAGGGTTATTTGGCAATATTGCTTTAAGCAACTTCTTCTCTGGAACTAAGAGATCGATATCAACCATATTTGACTGGAAGCATCTCTAGGTTGTGGGATTCCGAATTGTACAAATGGTGGGAGTGACCCCGCAGGGGGCTGAGAGGCGGGGCCAAAAGTGGGTGATTAGGCTATATTGTTTTAAACGACTTCTTCTGTAGAACTATGCACTGGATATCAATCATTTTTGATTGGAAGCATTCATGAAAGGCAGGGATTCAAAATTGAACAAATGGTGGGGTAGACCCCCCGGGCTAAGGGTTGGGGCCAAACATAGTTTATTACTTGGAAATGGTTGAGATCTCCACCGTATAACTATATACAACTGTTGGGCATAAAGAGACAGATGCAATCATGATACTAGAATTGACCCAAGGGTCTGCCCCACCCTTGCAGACTTAACCCCAGGGTATTAAGTTTGAAATGGTTTTGATCCCTACCCATAAACTATATATACAATTGCTGGGCATAAAGAAACGAACGCAGTCAAGATATTAGAAAAGACCCCGGGGTCTGGCCAAAACCTTAGGGACCTAGTTTGTGAGTAACAGCTTGGAAACAGTTTAGGTCCCGACCTCATATCCATACATAAAATTACTGGGCATGAAAAATATGATACATGTATGCTACAAGGATTGGCCAAGGGTTCTGGCCCATTCCCTTTGATCTTATTTGGAAAATATTTTGCCATGATTGCTTAGATATCCAGGTGAGCGATACAGGCCCTCTGGGCCTCTTGTTAAATGATATAAAAATAGCTATAATAATAAAAGTTAAGCTGTTAACATTGAAGGATACTTAAAATGTCATTGAAGTATTACTACTGGATCATAATTTATCCAAGTCAGTTGGGGAATCACTTGATACTTGATGTGGACTTGATGTCCGTCCGTCCGTGCACATAAGAAAAATATAAATATTTGTGGAATAATATGTGCTTCATCATTGATACTTGCATCCATGATGGCTTTTTGTGTATGCTGTATTTTACCTATTTTTATGCTTCAGTGACTCCATTAATTTTCCCTCACATATCGCATAACGAATTTATAGGTGTTACATAGATAACACTTGCATCGATGATGCAGCTAGGGTCGCTTTTATCTCACATGTAGCAAACGGTGAACTCGACCTATTTTAGGCATCAGTGACTTCCTTAATATCCCCCTCATATCACGCTTAAAAACAAATCGTCTGTTATATGATGAGTTTCATGTTTGCAAGTTGATTGTCTTGTACTCGTATACGTTCAACTAGAATTTTAATTGAAATAAAATAAAATTCTGAATTTATTTGGAAAATCAATTGGAAGATGTACACTTTTTAAATACTAGAATTCACATGTATTGTTCCTTTTACCACATATAATGAAATACATTGCGGAAATTTCGAAACGTGATGTTAAAAATATGGAAATATACATTGTAGATGAATTTGTAAAGTTCACATAGCTAACTTTTCTGGTACTTTTTAAGTTTAGAAGGAGTGTACTGAAACCTGCTCATATACAAAGTTTTTTTAGATATAAAGAACATGACTGATTGTCGTAAGTTAATAAGTTATTCCTTTTTATAATGAATCGGACGTAATACTAGTAACATTTTTATCTTGGTGCTGTTAGATTTGAATGAGATCTGCCCTCCAAAAACGAAACCATTGGAGTGTATAAAAGTCCAAAATCTAATTCTTGTTTTCTAAATATGGCTGCACATTACATGTCATGTGCCATTTATAATATGCAAAAGAGATTTTTTACTTATTTAACCAACACAATAATTGAGTTCGAGCAATAGGCTGAAACGTCCATAATGTTGAACAGGAAACATAATACTAAATGTCAAGATCTTTATCTACCCTCATACTGATAACTGCATAAATGGCAAAAAAAGTTAAAGGGAAGACTCTTCAAAAAGTATATTAGTGTCTTTCACATTAAGTATTAACGTGAAGTGATATTAATTTAGATTTAAACTTATTTAATTGATTGGATTTAAGAATTTAGATTAAAGTATTTTTTTGTTATCTATCTTTTGCTTTTTATCTAAACCATCTTTAAACCTTTTTTCTTAATTCCAATAAATTTACTGTAAAATGGTTAAATTGTGTGCAATTTGTATTCATTTCGAAAAATACATGAAGTATAGATTAATGGAGTCAACTAACACTTATAAAATCATTTATGCGTAGCATAAGCTATATACATGCAGTAAAACATAGGAAAGTATGCGTTAACCAACACAGAAAGATAAGTATAAAGTAGCTTACAAATAGGTAAAGATAAACAAATCATTATTAATTGAGTAACATCGATTATGTATACGTAATTAAGTGCTTATAGACATAACAAGAAACATAGTTGGAACATTTCTTCTTCAGACTATTGTCATGTTACTCTAAAAGTCATACCAAAAAAAATAATTTCAGAAAATATTTACGTAATTTTTTGTATGTGTTAAATCGAAGTACATTATAAATGACCATAACTCACCATCTATCGTTCCCCTTTGTTCTCTGGAATTTAGTAAATCTGAATTTGTGTGTTAAGCGGGACAACGCCAAAAAACTATTTATGTTTGTACTATCGCTGTATACAGTTGGTTTGAATGCTTCTTTTAGAATAGAGCAATTATACCGCTGTATACCATTTACAATTGTTAAGTATACTATGTCGTAACTTGGGCATCTTTTCCTGGCATGCCTACTGAGAGATGGATATTGATGACAGCGTCTTCTTGTCACAGGTATTACCAAGCACTGTTTTCAAAGTGGCACATTGAAGATCCAGCAGGTATTAAGCTTGGCGACGCCTGCGAGTCGTACGCAGACTACGAACATCAGATCGCTGCTACACAGGACACCATCTACATGATAGTAGCGATGCTTCCGTGCATGAAGTTGTGGCCCTGGCTTGGTCAGCAGTTGCAATCGGCAAGTATACTTTGCATTAATTGATACACTGTGTATATACATTACTCCTTGATCTGATCGGCAGGTTAATGTTTATTCAATCGGTACCTATATAGTGTGAACAGTCTTTGATGCAAAATGTAACTGCATATCATATTTGTATTTTCAGCTCAAATGCAATAAACTGTTTTGTTGGAAATGTTTGACGATTTTCTCTAAATATTAAATTGGTTTTAATGTCTTAAAGTAAAGTTACTCTTTTAACCATAAATATTATAAATTCATTAATGTTTTTTAACACACGCCCTACATATAATTAACTAAAATATAGACGAATTTTAGCACTGGAAGTTTTATTCTCTAAATGAGGTGAGGGAAAGCAACTTTGTTTATTCAATGCTACAGGGATGTCACGGCGTATACACAGAATGGTACAACAACAATTTTGATCCAACGTACGAAGGTTACAAAACCTTGGACGCCTTCATAAACGAGGCATACCACAAAGGCTCTATAGATGAGGAGAAGGCATCCTCAGTGTTTTTAAGATGTATGGAAGGTGAATTCGAATTTTTCAACTCGGCACAACACATGAAGTAGATTACAGCGCCGCATTATGTATATGTCCACGTCACTTCCGCTTCCGGACCTGTTGACTGAATTGACAATATTGATAATATGTTCGTCTATAGGAAAAGTATAAAGATTGTATCCTTATATCAAACCAATATTTTAGATTTTCCTTTGGGGAAATCTGGATGTCAGATTTGTGCTTTTCACTTGGCTGTATAGATTTGTACATGTGACAGAAATAAGTGCAAATGCTAAACAGAATGACCTTTTTTAGACAAAAAAAATAAATGGTGCTTATTCCTGACTAAGATAAACGTACATAAAACAGTAAATAGTGTTAAGCTACTCTATTATTTCCAAAAATGTACTGTTGACAAAATCGTACATATACCTTGTAGAAACATGTATTAGCATGTTATTACATCAATTAAAGTAACTTTGCCTGGATTCAAATTAAAGTGGCTTCTTTTATATTTTAGTGAATATGTTTCAGACTTTGTATAAAGGACTTCATTTTTAAAATATTTGAAAGATAGTGATATTGGTTCAATGCAAGTATCAAGGTTGTTTTGTTTACTACATACACGCCAAAACCATGTATATATATATATATATTTATACATATATTGTACAATTTGATGCCGTTTAATTTGTTCTATAAATGCAATGGAAATTGTCGAGGATATATTTTGAAAAATAAAGTGACATGTTAAACATTTTGACATGTTCTTGATAAATTCTATTATAATCTGGAGCCAAACTTTCACGACATGTCTGAAAGGCATATGGCAGAAATAATTCTAACAATGTAGACAATATGACGTTGAATTTTCGGAGCATTCCGCTCCTTTATCGAGACAGAAAAAAACCCACAAAACAATTACAATAAATAAAAACATTATTTAGAACTATAATAGGATATAGTTAAACAAAACTTGTTCGAAATTCGACAACCTCATATTGTCTACACTGTTAGAATAACTTCCTTGTACCATATACCAATTTTAAGTAATTCCTATCCTACACACATACGTTTGCAAAGAGCCAGTGTTATTTCGGAAGCTACTGTCAATATAACGTCTTTGACCCACATATATACCAAGTATAATTTTGTATACTCAGACATTTGGAAGGAAAATAAATATAGTTGCAAAAAAGACTAATGAGTTCCAAGTTCTGTTTTTGATTTGTTTTTAAATATATTTGGACATTCTAATGATATAGGGCGCATTCTGCATGTACACCCCTTTACAGGTTGAACAGCCACCACCAATTTCGTCAAATGCTTGCTGAACTATTAATTTATTTTATACAGATTCATACAGCACAACCAGTGAACTGTGTATGTGTAATGTTTAGATGACTATCACATTACGTTCTCTGTCACCTTCATCATGGAAATGACCAGTCAAACGGATGTATATTAAAATGTACGAGATTAAAGTCAATTTGATAAGTTGATTCGTCACCGTTAAAGCGTATGTACATTTATGTGTAACAATAATGATGTTTTGGAAGCATTATTTAGAGTGTGAGAACTTCAATAATGAAATCTGCACATACTGAAATATTTTCATGGTACATTTTTTTTAAAACATGGTATTACTAACCATAAATATGTTTGAACTACGTAATAAAATGTTGAAAATGCCACTGATTTAAACAACATTTACCGAGATAATACGTTCTTACGTTTTGAAAATGTGAACGAAAAGTTCAACATAATGTCACAATTTTTATCAAGTCGTGAGAAGAAAATACTAGCACCTACATGTACTCAAATCACATTTTGAAAATAATTATTTACTTTTAAACATCAATAATGTTCAATCAAATGTACGAGGAAGGATTTAAAAAAAAAAAGAATTATTTTGTTTAGCGTTCTATTAACAGATAAGACCATTTAAAGACATGCCTCCATGTGTGATGCTTAAAGTTGCATGTGTGCATGTGTGCTGGAGACAGAGTTTGTTGTTACCTGACTCACTATGTAAATACATATTAATCAATTTCGACTGTTTCCCAGACAATTCACCAAACGAACTATAGCTAATGTGTGCTACCAAAAAACTGTTGACTGGTCACGTGATGAGCCGGTACTTGCTACCCTACGACAGTTGACTGGTCACGTGATTAACTAGTGATTGCTACCCTACGACTGTTGACTGGTCACGTGTTAGGTAATCGAACGCACCTATAATTACAAGCACCCCGATGATCAAGCGTTTTTGGTACTGGATTGTTGACGGTCGTCTGTCGGTTCATTCGACATGGACTGGTTTGAAGAAATCAGTGATGAATCCTTACTTCAACTGATTGAGAACCGTGACTCTGCTAACACGAAGAATATTATAAAGGGGGCCGTCAGAATTTTAACCGCATACTGTGACGCAAAGGAAATACCAATAACCGACTTTGAGCCGGCAGAAGTACAAACATTGAATGAGCACCTCAAAGGTTTTAATAAGTGTTTTTTTTATTAAATGTTGGTTTGTGACTTACTCAACTTTAAGTTTTTCATTGATCAAGTAACAAAACAGTTGTTTCATGCCTTATCAGTCAACAGTCAAAACCATTTTCCCTCGGAGTTGGGACCCACCAGATGAACTGTTTCTCTCGGCCGCAACAACTGTATATTGATGTACTTGCCTCCTTGTGATAGCGCGGATCTGATGCCGACTTATTAGTGCTATCAAAAAATATATTATCATCAAAATTCCATTTGCTATTGAAAGTTATAAAAGCAATTGAATGAACCCGTTTACAAATCCGAACGATAATGTAGTATATTCTCTTAATATTTTTTCTACTATTCCAAAAAGCAAAATTCTGCGATCCCGGATGCTAACTCGTTTGGTTTGTACTATCATCTAAGGAGAACAGTTCTGACTGTTAAGTGATAATTGCAAATTTGTACTTAGTATGATGGACGAGATTCCGTAATTGAGTGCCTTGAATAAGAATTCGTGTTGCTTTATTTTGCATATCTATCATCTTGACACTAAGATATTGATTTTTGCTTTCCCAAACTTTATCTGTTCTTTTAATAATGGTCTAATGGATGTTATGTTTATTATCTGGAAATTTTGTATCAAAGAATATATTAAGTCTCTTCACTAAAGGTTAGTCAGATTTCGTTAAAAATAGTATATATATAGAACAAACAAAACAAAATAGAAAAAAATACGAGAGATTACCGCAGTGGTAACGAATCCAAAATGACAGTTCAAAACCGATGAATATAGATTATAAAAATCATTAAGACAAATTTACTCAGAAACCCTTGAAAAAGTACAAAATCATATGTTCCAGAAAGGGTAGGCGCAGCTGACGACAACCATCATATAAATCTAGGTCAAAACAAACGTCCACAAAGGGATAGCCGCCGCAGTGACAATGAAACGAACAAGACACACTTATGCGCAAAACGAAAACATCTACCTTCATACCTCACAATGATGTAAGATGTTTCCGGGTGATATCATGATACTGACCATAAAGCATTCCAAAAGTCTTTATCAGCCTGCATCGACGGAAACCATGTGCTGTACGTTTTTTTGTCAGCAGTCGACATCAATAATGGAAATAAAAATTAAAAAAACAGTTAATAAAAACCGAATCAATTGCGGCATACTAAAAGTGTATGTTGGTAAAGCGGTGATGTTACTATCAATAGGGAGAAAGATCAAGATCTGGAAAACCGAAATCCTCGCGCTTGCCGTGTAGCTTATATGTTAGCCATCACTGTTGGTTTGACATGCTGATCGACATGGCCAATGCATTTTTATTTTTGAATTGATTGACAGCACGTCGTACAGTACGTATCTGAATTTAGAATTGAAACTGATTACCTCTTAAAAACAGCATCATACGAAAACTAGAAAAGGGGCAAAGGGATACCTGCAGTCAACCAGGAACTCAATCATTCGCAAGATTTCATCTACACAAGCTAGACGAATGCAATTTTACAAGAATTGCTTTAGACATTTTGATAATTGAGCAAGCTTTTCACCAAATACTTTGCAGGAAAAAAACATTTTCAATTTTCAATGGATTCCATTGACTTCCATTCTTCGGAAACCATTTTGAAATTTCCGTACAAATCCGACCTGAGACACTATCGAAATGAGAGAATTGTTAGAAGACTAACCGAAAACTGAATGAGTTATTAAACAATAATCAAGTGTGCTGAATCTTGTTTGTATACATCAATAACAAATTTAGTTTGTTTGCTTTAACACAACGTCTACAATGAGAATGTTATATTGAAACAACGGACATACAAAAAATCAGCCGGATATTTTTATAGATATATTTATATATATATAACTATGCATAATTATGTGTTAACCTCATTGAGACTTGAGACAGGCTTAACGTGTGTGATGTAATCCTGGTTAAAAGCTGTTTTGTATTGTTTACAATGTTATAACAATAAATCATTGACTACAGCATAATATTTAAACTCATTTTATTTCAATCGGAAACATCTGCAAAAATAATTTGAAAACAGTCTATAAATGGAACTACTTATCGGAGGTAGTCATACGCCAACTGGATAGTTTATGGAAAAGTAACTCCTTCATAGGTAAGCTCAGTATAAATGTTAACATGACAGCGTGAACCATAATGACGGAGTTATAATAAGTCTGTTTGTTGAAATATGCAATTACAACCACTATCATTGACCGATTTTATGACGAAGTGATTATTGTGTCTATTTTTATTTAGTTAGCATATATATTTATACTTTCAGCTAACATCTATATCTACTGCCTGCCAGGGCGCTAGCCGTATGCCTATGGTTATTATGCATACAACAACAGATATACATGACGGGCGCCGAACAGCTATCTGAGTACCACTGGAAACAGACCGAGGTCATTAGGAACAAGGCATTATATACATATTTTGTATAGGAAATTGCAGATGGAAGTCGTAATCCAACAGCGTGTGGTAAGTTTTATTCTTAGGGGTAATTTGACAGGTTAACTCATGTTATTGTTCACATTGTTTGGTTAATTATAAATTTATCAAAATTAGCACAAATGTCCAACCCATTAAATGTTTTAGAGATAAAAATTGGTTTAAGTGTGTCTACAATGATTATTGCTTCGCAAAATAGATATTGATTAATCTGAATCGTTTTATATCGCTTGATATTGTAATATTATCTACATTTACACGGGTTCATTACGACAGCGTAGCTTTGAAAATAAATATTCTGTGTGCGATCTATTCCAAATCTCGCATTAGCATCCACTTAATACAGTTTCCGTTTCCATTGGATTTTAAATTATGTCCTGAGTATATTTTGATGTTGGCATCGTTTTACATTTTCACGAGAACACTTTGTGTACATTTGACGGATAAGATACCATTCTTACAAAGTTTTATTCATGCGGTCTTTTATCCATAGGGTGCTACATGGTACAGGACGCTGTCTACTGTTACAAGGCTAAACAATCTATCTACATGTCTGTCAGTCGGTCACGTGATGGAGAAGTTAAAGATTATATGAGAAGAGAGTCGACAGGGTATGAATGGTTATATTAAGATTATTTAATTTACAACTTGTACACGACCACATAATTTGCAACATGAACAAATGGATACTTTCTTTCAAATACATTTTCCTTGCTTGCTAACAACGACGCAAATATAAACACTGAGAAGTGTACACATAACAATTATTAAAATTTAATGCAAACCAGTCGCTCACAAAATATTCTTCAGATACGCTACAACTCGCCATAGAATATGTTTGCTTACTGGACTATATGACATCCTTAATAATCTGTATTTCATTATCATTTCTATAGAACTAAACACGAAAAAATCCTATTTTAGTTGATAAATATAAAAAGGTTTTAATATTGCAGATACTTGCAAGTGTTATTTTTAAAATGGCACATTATTGACCCAATGGGTGTCAATATGAGCGAGGCCTGCGAGTCGTACGCAGACTACGAATGCCAGATCGCTGTTACAGATGACATACCCAAAACACAGACCGTCGCAATACCCATGTCTTATTTGCCTAATAATGCGTTTATATGATTATGATGGATTAAACAGGACGTCGAAATACTCAGTCTAGATTAGAGAAGTTTCCATGTACGATAATAACTTACGGAATCACATCTTAGATTATTCTTAGCCAGTTAAACGTATATGGTAACTTACTTGATAACTCATTCGGTATGGCGCAAAACGTGCAGGTGAAAAGTGCTTTGATATTACACATTATTAACAGATATGGCAAAGTTCCCAGAAACGATTTCACTGGAATTTGTTTTGGTATTATGGGATGCCTGCAAACGAACTGTTGTCCTGTTTTGACAAAATTCTTATTAGCATTGATGCAGATATACTGCGTTTTATGCTATAGTATGATCATGGTGTTTACACTAAGTGGCACAACGAATACTTCGACCCTCAATATGATGGTTATAATGCGTTGGACGTTTAAGTTTATGAAGCTGAGACCAAGAAAATTATCAACCGGAAGAAAGCTTCACAAGGGTTTACGAGATGAAAAAAATTACCACGTCACTTCCCGTAGTTGACCACGTCAACTCCGGATCTGTTTCTTGTACTAGATGGACATCAATCATTTCCATGTTCATTGTTTTTTTCTATTATGTTTTGTTTCCAACTGTGTTTTTTAAATTGTCTACCTTTTTGGAATTGATCATGTGTATAGCTTTGGAGAGATAATGAACCAACCTTGCATTGAAAACTGATTTAGATTATGTGGACATAGAAGTGGTATTCACTTAACATAATGATTTTTATGTAACAACAATGATGTAAACGCATAACAAATGACGTTTGCAAAACAAAACCAACAACAGAAATAAAATCGACATGCTATTTTTTGTTGGTTCACTTGTTGCATTCTATTCTACCTGTACTTTTGCTAAAGTGTAGGCATGTCAACAAGTAGTGTCATTGGGTAAGTTTAGTACACTACACACTTGTTAACCTGTATTCTTGTTATTTGTGTTGGTGTTTATTCATAACATGTACAGTATTACGCCAACAGCTAACACGTCAGTTCACTAGTCTGAAAAGTCTGTCTAAAAGTCACAATTTAACATGAGTATTGTTTATTTATAAAAGTAAATTGTTTAAACACCCTGGGTTTCCATTCTGTTTTTGTTAACATAAGACAACATTTCTCCCCCAATCGACAAACTTTGTCATATTACCAGTTTCGGAACAGTTTTCTATTTTAATTTATAATACGCGTCAGTGTGTGTTCATTCATTCAGTATAAACATTTGGCACTTGTTTGCACACTTAAAATATTCAATATTCTGTACATTATTTTCTGTCTTTTTCACAGTACTTGGTTCTGCATATGAAACTTTGAGTTAGTGAATTAGAAGTAGTTTTAATACATGTTGATAACTTTGCTTGCTTCATATCACGTATATTATATCATTCATGTTTATTACTGTGCTAGATTGATTTTTGTTACAATATGTTAAGTGATAAAGTTTATCGCTATTACTACAAGTGTAAATGGAGGAGTCCGGGACATATTTACTGACGACTTTCTTACTATAACAGAAATATGGAAATTTTTGTTTCGATAGATGTTTTACTGTTTGCCTGTATTTTGCATAACCTACGAAATGTAATTTTGCAAATTCAAACGACTTTGCCGTTTACCAATATTTCTCAGATAAATAAATCAAAGATTAAACTTGCTTGTCGTTCGCTTGTCATTGTATAAATACACTTTACCAATCTTTATGCCAAACATAGGAACTCTCTTAACTCGAATACTCGGATAACTCGAAGTTTCCCAACGATCCCGTCGACTTCGAGATAACGAGGTTCGACTGTATAGCATTATACTTATACTGGTTATTGAGGCAATACAAATTGAAATTGACTGCCTCGTATAGTATAATGTGTAGATTACACTACATTTCTAATTCAAAGCAGTAGTAGAATAGAATGAGCATTACTCAAATAATAATTGTCAAAACTCGCCTCTCTCGTAACATTGATCATGCACAAAATGTATTCCCTTCCAATCTACATGTTTATTCAGACTTCCGACGCTCTGCACATATCCAATATAACTTTGAGAACGAAGTTTAATTGGAAATTCATTATGTCTAAAATTATGTTTAATGAAAAGATGTTAAACCGTTAGCAAATCAGTACACTTGTGTGTATATCTGTAAATAAATATGAAATAAAAATATCTCCCACAGCGTTGGTGAGCTCCTAAACTTTACTGGTTGTTTAAGAATTGGGGGCAGACGCAATTTTCACTAACGTTACTCAACTAAAGAACTTGAAAAAAAATCAAAACTGACTTTTTTTCACGGGAAAACATTTGCAAAGTTAAGGAAAATCTTAAGAAAATTTCACTTAATTTCGAATGAAAAAAATTCAGTTAAATGATCTTAGGTTACGGAATGTAAGCGGACATAGGGCTTCTTCTTCTGTTGGATTTTTATTGAACTATTGCACCACATGCTATTTTTTGTTGGTTCACTTGTTGCATTCTATTCTACCTGTACTTTTGCTTAAGTGTAGGCATGTCAACAAGTAGTGTCATTGGGTAAGTTTAGTACACTTCACACTTGTTAACCTGTATTCTTGTTATTTGTATTGGTGTTTATTCATAACATGTACAGTATTACGCCAACAGCTAACACGTCAGTTCACTAGTCTGAAAAGTCTGTCTAAAAGTCACAATTTAACATGAGTATTGTTTATTTATAAAAGTAAATTGTTTAAACACCCTGGGTTTCCATTCTGTTTTTGTTAACATAAGACAACATTTCTCCCCCAATCGACAAACTTTGTCATATTACCAGTTTCGGAACAGTTTTCTATTTTAATTTATAATACGCGTCAGTGTGTGTTCATTCATTCAGTATAAACATTTGGCACTTGTTTGCACACTTAAAATATTCAATATTCTGTACATTATTTTCTGTCTTTTTCACAGTACTTGGTTCTGCATATGAAACTTTGAGTCAGTGAATTAGTAGTAGTTTTAATACATGTTGATAACTTTGCTTGCTTCATATCACGTATATTATATCATTCATGTTTATTACTGTGCTAGATTGATTTTTGTTACAATATGTTAAGTGATAAAGTTTATCGCTATTACTACAAGTGTAAATGGAGGAGTCCGGGACATATTTACTGACGACTTTCTTACTATAACAGAAATATGGAAATTTTTGTTTCGATAGATGTTTTACTGTTTGCCTGTATTTTGCATAACCTACGAAATGTAATTTTGCAAATTCAAACGACTTTGCCGTTTACCAATATTTCTCAGATAAATAAATCAAAGATTAAACTTGCTTGTCGTTCGCTTGTCATTGTATAAATACACTTTACCAATCTTTATGCCAAACATAGGAACTCTCTTAACTCGAATACTCGGATAACTCGAAGTTTCCCAACGATCCCGTCGACTTCGAGATAACGAGGTTCGACTGTATAGCATTATACTTATACTGGTTATTGAGGCAATACAAATTGAAATTGACTGCCTCGTATAGTATAATGTGTAGATTACACTACATTTCTAATTCAAAGCAGTAGTAGAATAGAATGAGCATTACTCAAATAATAATTGTCAAAACTCGCCTCTCTCGTAACATTGATCATGCACAAAATGTATTCCCTTCCAATCTACATGTTTATTCAGACTTCCGACGCTCTGCACATATCCAATATAACTTTGAGAACGAAGTTTAATTGGAAATTCATTATGTCTAAAATTATGTTTAATGAAAAGATGTTAAACCGTTAGCAAATCAGTACACTTGTGTGTATATCTGTAAATAAATATGAAATAAAAATATCTCCCACAGCGTTGGTGAGCTCCTAAACTTTACTGGTTGTTTAAGAATTGGGGGCAGACGCAATTTTCACTAACGTTACTCAACTAAAGAACTTGAAAAAAAATCAAAACTGACTTTTTTTCACGGGAAAACATTTGCAAAGTTAAGGAAAATCTTAAGAAAATTTCACTTAATTTCGAATGAAAAAAATTCAGTTAAATGATCTTAGGTTACGGAATGTAAGCGGACATAGGGCTTCTTCTTCTGTTGGATTTTTATTGAACTATTGCACCAGGTGTTTTTTTAATGATTTTCCCATGTGCTACAATCACATATCAAGTTAAATAAACAATGTGGTTTCTATACATAGTTTAAATCCATGTAAGGGTATTTTTTATAAGCAAAATATAACGAACCGACGTAGAACTGCCTTAATTATATACAGGTATTTATTTGGTAACATATCACATAAGAATCTGTAACATTTTTTGAATCAACAGAAATCAAGGAATGATAAATAATGCAATTAAAATATAAAAAGGGTAAGTTTTATCTGTTCCATGTGTAAACGCTTTAAGCATAATTACAATTTCATCAAAGGAAAATTGCGGACATATATAAGTTCAAGGTTTAAGCTATTCAATAGCGTCAATACACACGAACAAAAATCTTATAAAGAAAGTACAAAATATTATAAACAACAATAGCGATACCACGGTACATAGGACCGGTCACCGTATCTACCGTCATATTTAACAAATGTGGGCCTCCAGAGACATAGGATACAGTAAACATATATTAAACGAGAACTGACACTAAAACATGTTGAATTTAAATTAAGCAATCAAAATACAATATTAAATTGCAATATTTCTTCCTGTAATAGAAAACAATAAATGATAATTGGCACTTGTTAAGGATATATGATAGCTAACAAATTAAATGCACTAATAGGTACAAACCTGTAGGAAGGTCTGTTAGTGAATAGAAACTAAATGATGTCTTACAAACCATGTTTTGTTGTTCAGGTGTTTAAATGCTTCAGGAAGGACTGTGACGCTAAATGAGGTGAAGTCGCCTCTAACATCGGATTTGTAATTTCCGTTTCGCATGCATTTGGATTTTCCTGCGGTGGAGGCAATCGTGAAAGAATCCTCCATACAGAAGTGGCATTTGGCTTTTGGGAGTAGGCCTACCTATAAGCTCCCATCTCATTTAGCGGACTTAATGCAACCTTATATCAGTAACATTTAAAATTACAATGTTCGATAACACTATTTACTATTTTATGTCCAATACCAAAAACGCATTTATACAATACACTTTTTTTTTTTTTTTTTTTTTACAAAAACTATGTCAGAATTGAACAATCCTATCTTAACTTCTCTTCGAGTTCAAAAAGGAAATGTCTACTTTTATCCGATACTGATGCTCAACCCTCATATCATAATATGTCTAAAAAATGATATAGCGATTTGCCAGCTGGGAAATTCTGCAAGTAATTGGAGCTCAAATCTATTTAATTCCAATCTAAGACAACTCTCTATTTATTTCTTCTTTACATGAAGAAAATGAAACGATAATATGGATAGATATCTAAATATTGTTGAGACGGTTCAGAGTTGTATTGGAGAAACACTAGTTTATTTATAAGATCGTTTTACTTATGATTCTTAGCTTATAATTTCGCATGTTAGACCCCTTCATCCATCAACGTGTCAAAATGCACCAAAATTACTTTAAGCTTATACATATACATGTTTAATGCATCAACTGTCGGGTCTCGTCGTCTTTTAGTTAAATGCAGGCTTGAACGTATGGAAAATTGGTCTGTGTTAGCCTCCAGTTTTTAAAGCAGACTAATATTATGGCATTTCTCGTAAAAGGATTGTAATAATTCGTTGATATATTGTCAAAATGATCAAAAACAATGTCATTTAAGTTGAGAAGATAATATATATGTACCACAAATATCATGTGTAGGTACTGTTCATATTGTCAGCAGAGAGCTTAAATAAGCTATGTATGTTGCAAAATTGGCTAATTAGAGGATACCGGAGTAGTAGGCAGCATAGGTGCTTGCATGAATTTACATTTGCTGAAGTTATTCTGGTCTTGTACATTTTGTTCACTTCTTTAAGAAAGGTCAGAAGCTGTCGCGGATCATAGAATATCAGAACGGCAGTTAGGTTGATTTATCTTTCACCTAAATAATTCTGTAAAAGATAAATCATTTTAGTTGCCTTTCTGACATTCTAAGATCCGCGACAGTTTTTACAAGTGTGTTTTTAAGACGGTTAAAGTGTGGTGGGGTGCTTTCTGCCAAGAAGCTTCTTACCTTTCTTAAAGAAAAAGGTGAACATGACTTGCAAGACCATAATAATTTGAGTAACGCTATTATTACTATTTCAAATATTTTGTACTTTCTTTTTGCGTATAAAATGTTTGTTCGTGTGAATTGATGCTGTAGAATATCTTAAACCTGGAAAATAGATATGTCCACAATGTCCATATAAAGAAAATATAATAATGCTTAATGCGTTTACACATGCTTATCGATAATTAATAATACTAGATTTATACTAGATGTCTGTTAACTGAAGAAATGCAACTGATGTTATCTGTAACCAAATATATACCGGTATATAATGGAGGCACTTTATATGAATTTATAGTATTCGTTATAGAAAGCACATTGTTTATTTAACTTGGTCTGTGTTAGTAGCAAATAAGAAAATTATGACAAACAAATACTGGTAAAACAGTAAAATAGGAAAGCCAACAGAATAGGTATATGCAAGCCAACTTAACATTTATTCAAAGAGCTTTGTCGTTCCCGAATTTAATAAAACCATATAATATATATATCTTATATAGTATATGAGATATCTTATATAGAAATTAAATGAGATGCTGTATAATATATCTAATATGCTGTATAACAAATATAGAACAGAGAAAAATAGAATTTTTTTCAAGTTCTTTAGTTGAGTAACGTTCGTGAAAATGGCGTCTGCCTCCAATTCTTAAACAACTTATAAGGTGGAGGAGCTCGCTAAATGTTCTGATTTTCAGACGGCTTCAACAGCTTTTCATTAAAACATAATGAAAGACAAAAAAATTCCCTTAATAAATTTCTAATTAAACTTCGTTCTCAAAGTTTTATTAGAAAATCAATATGTGCAGAGCTTCTGAAGTCTGAATAAGCATGTAGATTGAAAGAGAATGCATTTTGCGCATGATCAATTTAACGAGAGAGGCGAGTTTCGACAATTATTATTTGAGTAATACTACTCCCATTATACTGCTACATTGAATTAGAAATGTAATTTAATTCAAAATAACATTTATTAGATCTTACAAAATTCAGGAAAAAATCATACATCTTTCGAAACAAAAACTTCCATATTTCCGTTATAGTAAAAAGTTATCAGTAAATATGTCTCGGACTCCTCCATTTACACTTCTGTTGTAGTAATAGCGATAAACTTTATCACTTAACATATTGTAACAAAAATAAATCTAGCACAGTAATAAACATGAATGATATACTATACATCATATTAAGTAAGCAAAGTTATCAACATGTATTGAAACTACTTCTTATTAAATCATTTTAAAGTTTCACATATAGAAACAAGTACTGTGAAAAAGTCGGAAAATGATGTACAGAAAATTGAATATTTTAAGTGTGCAAACAAGTGCCAAATGTTAATACTGGTTGAGTAAACACACACTGACGCGTATTACACATTATAATATCGCAGTTGTTCCCAAACTGGTAATATGACAAAGTCTGTCTATTGGCGGAGGACTTTTGTCTTATGTAAAACAGAATGGAAACCTAGTGTTTTAAAACAATTTACTTTCATAAACAAAATCACTCATGTTAAGATTTGTCTTTAAGACATGACTGGAAACGTGTGAACAAGGATACGTGTAAAATTGTACACTTCTAGTGAACTGACTTGTTAGCTTATGGCGTAATAATGTACATGTAAAAGAAAAACACCAATATAAATAAGAAAAGTACAGGTTAACTAGTCTGTAGTCTACTAATAATGAACTAACTTAGTAACACTACTTTTTGACATGCCTACACGTAAGTAAGATAGAAGGTGGAATAGTATTTAATGTGCAACAAGTGAACCAACAAAATGGCATATCGATTTTATTTTTGTTTTTATTTTTTGTTTTTGCTTTTGTGTTGCGAACGGCATTTGTTATGCATTGACATCATTGTTGTTATATAAAAATCATTGTGTTAAATGAAATCATATTTTTAATACGAGGACGCGATTGGTTTATTATCTGTCCAAAGCGATACATATGCTCAATTACAAAAAGGCAGACAATTCAAAAACACAGTTGGTGAAAAACATAACAGCATAAACAATGTACATTGAGATTATTAATGTCCATCTAGTACAGGAAACAGAACCGGAGGTGACGTGGTCATCTACAGGAAGTGACGTGGTAGGTAATTGCATGGGTTGTACCGAGTTGAAAAACTCGTATTCACCCTCCATGCATCTCGTAAACACTTGTAAAGCTTTCGTCCGGTTGATAGTCTTACTGGCATCAGCTTCATCAACAAAAATGTCCAACGCCTTATAACCGTCATATTGAGGGTCGAAGTATGCGTTGTACCACTCTGTGTAAACACCATGGTCAAACTGTAGCATAAAACACGGTATATTACTTCAATTTTAATAATAACTTCGTCAAAATAGGACAATAATTCGTTGGAAGGCAACCAATAATACCATACAAATTCCAGTGAAATTAGCTAGGAATGATCGCAACAGCGATTCTGAAAAGAATCATTGTACATTGAAACTTTTCTAATCTTGCCCCTGAGTATAATCATATAAACGCATTATTAGGCATATACGACAGTGGTATTGCGACGGTCCGTCTTTTGGGTATGGGAAGCTTAATTATGTTAAAGAGTAATTGTCGCTTGAATATAATTGTAAACAATTTAACTTGTTAACCTATTAATGAAAAATGCTGATTTGATTAATGAATCAAAACAAGAACACCAATGGTATCATTAAGATCAATGATAGTCGCAGAATGAATTAAGGAATCAAGTAAATGCTTGACCATTGAATAAATTAATACAATATTGAAAAACATAATAATTTTATTTGATATGTAGATGTCGAATTAGCCGATGAATACGAGATATATTTACCGATGACATTTGCTGTCCAAGCCAGGGCCACAACTTCATGCACGGAAGCATCGCTACAAGCATGTAGATGGTGTCCTCTGTAGCAGCGATCTGGTATTCGTAGTCTGCGTACGACTCGCAGGCCTCGCTCATATTGACACCCACTGGGTCAATAATGTGCCATTTTAAAAATAACACTTGGTAGTATCTGCAATATATATTAAAAAAGGAACTATCGTTTATAGTTCTATAAAAACTATAATGAAATACAGTTTATTAAGGATGGTATATAGTCCAGTAAACAAACATATTCTATGCCGAGTTGTAGCGTATCTGAAGAATATTTTGTGAGCGACTGGTTTGCACTTAATCTTAAATATTGTTAAGTGTACACTTCTCAGTTTCCATATTTGCGTTATTAGCAAGCAAGGGAAATGTTATTTTGAAGAGAATCCCTTTGTTCCTGCTTCAAATTGTGTGATCGTGTACAAGTTGTAATAATCTTAAGATACCTTTCATAATTGGTCGACTCTTTTCGCAAATAATCTTTGAGTTCTCCGTCAGGTGCTCGACTCACAGACATGTCGATAGATTGTTTGGCCTTGTAACAGTAGACAGCGTCCTGTACCATGTAGCTCCCTATGGATAAAAGACCGTCATGGATAAAACTAAAGAAACTTCGTAAGAATGGTATCTTATCTGTCAAAATTACATACAGTGTTCTCTTGAAAATGTGAAACGATGTCAACATCAAAATATAATCAGGACATAATTTAAAATCCAATGGAAACGGAAACTGTATTAAGTGGATGATATGGTGTGATTTGAAATATATGGCAGACATACTATTGATTTTTAAAGCTACGCTGTCTTAATGAGCCAGCAAAATGTAGATAAAAGTACAATATCGAACGGTATAAAACGTCATGCTTCGACACATGTTGACACATTTTCATATCTTAATTTGAACATACAATGTAAACTGTGTTTCTGTTTAATACCTTAATATATATAAAAGAAAACAAATCTATATTTCTGTCTGTATCAGTTTCATGAATCTCTATTTATTTGCGAAGCAATAATCATTGGTAAACCAAAAGGACTCTTAAAACTGTTTAATGGGTTGGAAATTTGTGCTAATTTTGATAAATTTATAATTTACAAAACCATGTGCACAATAATATTGGCTAACGGGTCAAAATTCCCCCCAGCATAAAACTCACCAAACGCTGTTGGATTCAGACTTCCATTTGCAATTCCCTGTACAAAATTTGTGTATAATGCCTTGTTCCTAATGGCCTCGGTCTGTTTCCAGAGGTACTCAGATAGCGGTTCGGCGCCGGTCATGTTTATCTGCTGTTGTATGCATAATAACCATAGGCATACTGCTAGCACCCTTGCAGTAGATATATATGTAGGCTTTAAGTATAAATAGATATGCTAAGAAAATGAAAATAGACACAGCAATCACCTAGTCATAAAATCGGTTAATGATAGCGGTTGTAATTGCATATTTAAACAAACAGACTAACTTTAACTCCGTCATTATCATTCACGCTGTCATATTAACATTTATACTGAGCTTGGACTCAGTATACCTATGAAAGAGTTACTTTTCCATAAACTTTCCAGTTGTCGTATGAATACGTCCGATAAGTAGTTCCATTTATAGATTGTTTTCAAATTATTTTTGCAGATGTTTCCGATTGAAATAAAATGAGTTAAAATGTTTTATTGTAATCAATGATTGATTGTAATAACTTTGTAAACAATACAAAACAGATATTCATCTTACTAGGATAAAAATTGCACACATTAGATCTCTCTCAAGACTCAATGAGGTTTACACATAATTATGCATAGTTATTGTTTATTTTGTTTTTGTTACAATATTACATTTTCGTTGTAGTCGCTGTATGTAAGCAAACAAACTAAAATTGTTATTGATGTATACAAACAAGATACAGCACACCTGATAATTGCATAAATTAAGCTAGAACTCTCTCATTTCGATAGTGTCGCAGGTTGGATTTTTAGGAAATTTCAAAATGGTTTCCGAAGGAATGGAAGTTCGGACGATTGTCGGAAAGGAATTCATTGAAAATTGAAATTAATTTTTTATCATGCAAAATGTTTGGTGAAAAGCTTGCTCATTTCTCAAAATGTAAAAAGAAATTCTCGGAAAATTGCATTTGTCTTGTGTTGACAAGAACGCAACTATTTAGATTCAAAGACGTAAATTTCATTATTTAAATTGTATACAACCTAGTACCTTGTTTGTTAACTGGATTTTCTACCATCATAATATTTCTATTAGTGAATAATTCAATGTGTTCATAAACAACAAACTCTCAGCTATGACTCCGTTTATAATTAAACATACACATGAAAACAATAGTTTTGAAAAAAATAGGTTGGAGAAGAAAGGGTTTGATTTGCAGCATTTAAAAAACTCTCCTGATAGTGAAAGCATTAGATCATGGTTAAGATTAGTATATTGAAATTGTACTAATTGAATTAAACCTACTTCTACTACGAGGTACACATAGAGAGTTTGCTTCATGGTTGAATTTGTCACAATGCGGCTACTTTTTATCAGCCATTATCAAAGTTGGATACAAGAAAATGGGACGGAGAAATAAAAATGACAAATTGTTACTGTACTTCGTGTATACTCTCCAAGTTGGTGGACTGTCTTGGGTTCCGTAGTGCCATAGTGCAAGTATCTGTTTGCTGTTCAAATAGAACATAATTACTAAACATTACGATGACATGTATCTGTACAGCGAATTTTGTTACATATTGTTAAACGTCCCCAATCAGTAGGCATCATAAAACAACAACAAAACAATCAGTTAACGAAACCGTTATTACGGACAAAGGAAACTTGGACATAGACCTTTGAATACGACAAGGAAAATTAGACAAAATTATCAGGAAAGGCAAGTGTCGTCTGCTTTATCGGCGACTCTCGCCATAAAAATTCCAGATCAAATCTTAGCCAGGTCACGTCCTCAAAGAACAAACTCTGGTAGGGACAGAAAAAAGCACGGCACACCAGTAAGCATAATGAAAGAAAGCGATCCCCATTTGACACAAGGAAAACTAATTACCAATAAGATCAAGATTGCAACCATAAGATGAATATTGAATTGACCGCGACATGCAAACACCGTATTTGGGTAATCAGGAATATTAATATCAAGAAAGGGAAATGTTCACAATCGGAGTCTAAATTATGAATTTTATCATGAGTTTAAACACTTCAATTTGAATTGACAATAAAACAACAAAGTTTTGCAAACCGTACTTAACAATTGTTATGGTGGTTTTTTTCAAGCTAGAAATATTTGCGATTCGGCATATTTTTCAAATGACATGAAGAAATTATTTTAAATCAAAATAATGCATTTTTTCATGAATATTTTAAATATATCTACCACATTACGAATTATACAAGATATTTCATCGTTACACTTGCCATCTACGATCTATTCTAATTTGAACGACCTTACGCACTATTCAAAAACAGTACCATTACAATCGCTGTGATCTATACATACATATTAAAAATGACTTACCTCTTCGTAATATGCTGTTCTGCTGGCTGTCACGTTTAGCGATTGCCGAACTTTTTATATGTCTGACATGAACTGAATGCCACAGTTACTTGGAAACACTCAACATTGCTATGATTAACGGTATGACAGAAAACGGGCGTAAAATGAATCAAGTATTTTTTCCCAAAACATAAGATTTCCTCTGATTCACCAACGTGAGAGAGAAACATGATTCACATCTCCAGGAAAATGACAAATGTTGATGTAAGTTAACAAACAATAAATCAAAATCTATCCCAATGAAGCCATGTAATGGTCAAAATAGACAACTTAAGAGATAATGGTCACACTATACCACTGATGTAAATGTAGTGTTGTAATGGTCGCACTATACCACTGATGGAGGTGTAGTGTTGTAATGGTGTCACTATACCACTGATGGAGGTGTAGTGTTTGTAATGGTCACACTATACCACTGATGGAGGTGTAGTGTTGTAATGGTAATGGTGTCGTTCGGTGTGGTATGTAACATTTGTTAAATGTGCTACAGTCAAATAGTTTTCTTTGACTTAAACTCTGGGTCGTACTTTATGATTCATGTGTTCTTATCGATAATTGATGTACTAATACCCAACTATAATATTGTTAAACCAAAGGCTGAATCGGAAAATGTTTCTCAACAATGAACTATTCTTTCTAGTTCACCTAGCCATCTTTGCATAAAAACTGATATCATAAACCTATATACATTTTGACCATTGATCTAAACGTTAAATGTTTACAATCAACTCGAAATAGTTCGCCAATGTAATGTTCTAATCCATAACAGTGAATTGTGACAATAAAAACTATACAGGTAGAAATATCATGGTTGGCCTAGTTGAACACACTACCGCTTAGAAATCATCAAAATATACTTTCATTGTTGTTTGGATGATTTGTGTGGCCTCATGCGTATATATGAATTAGATAGATGTTTAACATATGTGCTTAGTATATGTGCAGCACGACTGTGCATATGTGAATAACGCATAATGAGCAAAGATGTATCACAAATGTACATCCCATAATGTGCATAATACAATGTATGCATCGCATATGTGCATATGTGAAGTCCAGGTAAAAGTCGGTCACCGGCTGTCTCGTGTTTATAAAACACGAAGTGCACTTTACAACCGCGTTAACAAAGGGACAGCCAGACATCCTGTTTTTGTTAAAAGCAAGGAATTTTCTCTGCGTCCCTGTTGAATTTTAATGAACGTCCGTTTTGTTTTGCTGTCTTTACTACAGCTATTCTTGGAATAAAACAAATAAATACGTGAATCAGCATATTTTATTTTAAATTGATATGTGAAAATGTAACAACAATGTGGTTCTTACTAGAAATCAAAGAGCACAATGCGTAGTTAACTTTGTTGCAATAATCGGAATTGATAGATTAATTAAATTCATATATAGTGGGTTTGTGAAACGTTCACAGATTTTAACATGTCAAATGATAACTGCTAGTGAACAAGAGAAACCCATAAAATATAGTTTCCTAAATTTAAATGCAATTTATTTTTACGTTATACATGTATGTTTGCACGCTGTATTGTACATAATTTAGTATGCATTTTGTAATAGCTTAGAAGTTGAGAAGTTAAAAAAAACTTTTTAGTAGATGCACTGCATCCTTTTCCTTTATCAAACAAAAACCTTTCATGGTCGATTTTACGGTTAATCTGTCATATGGAGCATCAGCACATTTCTACTGAGAACGGAAATGGAAAATAAACAGAGGACTAAAAAGCAAGTATGAACCCCTTCACATATATTGTGATATGTTGTATTTGTTAATAGATAATTAAAAGTAACATTGCCGACAGATATTCAATTTTAAATTATTTAAGTTACATAGAGTGACCTTATTTAAACTGTCAACGACGATTTCAATAATACTCTCAGTGATACTTTATATTGGTTTTTGTTTTGTTATTCGCCTTGTAATGCGCAATAAGTACATTTATCACGTCGTTTGCATTTTTTTGATAAAGAACTTCTCAAATATTCCGTTTGAAGAAACATTTTGAAGGAAGAATATGCCCAGGATAGAACTATTGTTTTTTTGAATTATTCAAAATCCGCATTCCCTTAAAAATTAAAACTAAAATAAAACTGAAATACAAAGAAAGTGGCAATTTTCTTATCTCTTATCTTCAATAATACTTCTATAAATTCTAATGTAGTAAACAATATATTAAATTTTGACCTTGATCTTGTCGTGAGTGAACTTGAACTTAGTTTTGGCATTTACAATCTTGATAATTTATACCAGTGACAGTCATTTTCTGTTGTTAGCGTAAAGGAGTTTTTCGTAAGAGAGGTATTACCGGTGTAAGCTATTGCGTTATCTTGACCCACAGGGAGGAGAACTGACAGGTTTGCGGTTAATGTGTATCTTAAGAACCCGGATACTCGTCGTGTGAAATGACTCAGACCCATTTCTTTCATTTTATAAAAAGACAGTCAGCTTAGCAGCCCCTGCAAATAAATAGTGTCATTAGTTCTAGCATAACATCGTGAACGTATATGTAGAGTCGATCTCGAAAACCTGTAATTGTTGCTTTCCCTCAAAAACACTTCCAAATTGTCCTGTTTTCAGCACACCGTTGGAACGAATAGAATATTTGACATTTTAAGAAATATATCTTATATGTAACGTTTTGAAAGCAGAGTATCACATTTGTAATACAAGCTATTTATTTATCATAATTTCTAAAATGAGTTACACAATCAACCTCGCTGCAAACAGTGACTGAAGTAATAATGATTACTAGACCAATGCGTGTTAGTTGATAACATTGTTAAATGGTGCAGAATAACATCAAGCAAACACGTGGCTGCATCCTAATCGTGTCTAATATGCTGTGTTCTTCAAACGGCATGTATCAGCCTGGCAATTGGTCGAAACCAACAAAAAAAGCTCGCCCATTGCCTTCGATTTGTCATGTCGTACTTGCATTAAAAATGTGCATAGTAAGCATCACAGATGTGCATTCATGCATCCAGGTAGGTCAGCCATTGGTTGGTGTGTGTATATAAAACAGGATTATACAAAGTTTACAATTGCTTTGGATGAGTGTACTTCACAACAGCGTTAACAAGGACAGCCAGACATCCTGTATTTGCTAAAGCGCAAGTAGTTTTCTCTATTTCGATGTAATTCTGTTCATAACTGATAAAAAAAAATCATGACTGTAATTTTGCTGAATGTTTTATTTTGCATTGCCACACTCCTTGGAATAAAACAATGAAGTAAGTACGTGATTCATTTTCTTTAACATTATTGATATGAAACATGTAACATAATAACTAAAAATAATTAATCAAACATTCATAATTCAACAACATTTTCTTTTTCAATTTATATATGTTATCACAAGACGACCGTAGAACTTTTATAAATAAAGATCACAATGCATAGTACATTTTTCGTGAAGAACATGTGTAAACTCATGTAGGACAAGAAGAAGCTGTAACAACAAAGATTGTAAAATTTGTTGATTGATTTGACTTCATTTACTTTCATACGTTATGTCGTATGCACGTGATATTGATCGGCTTTGAAATCGGTTGTCGCTCGATCCTCTGTTATTTTCAAACGGCAGGTATCAGCCTAGCGATTGGTCAGGGTTTTCTTTTACCTGGAACCAATCAAATACCTAATTCGGCCAATGCACCACTGATTTTGCCATGACATTTTTCATGGGTGCAGAGAACGTATATGCGCGGAACCCCCGGATTTCGACGATGCATACAGTTAATGTGTTTTTAATGTTTTGCCCTGAAATGAAATTGACGGCACCAGATACTTAACGATAGCTCCATATTTTGACATTTATTTTCAATATCACAACAATGTCTATCTTACAAACAGGCTCTATAACAAACGTAAATTCTCGATCGTTTCTCTGTTCCTCTGTAGTACCATGCCAGCCTTGAGTATTAAGTTTACATTTTACTGTTGCTTAGATAATCCTGAACATATACGAAATGACAGCTTTTTAAAGAGACATATGTGCCATGTTGAAAAATGAATAAGATAATAAATGGTTCCATTTAATCTTCAATTTACGATTGGTAAAGTTTTTGGTCTCATGTTCCTTATGATATGATGCCGCATCAATCGATGTTGTCTTTTCGATTATATGTTTGACTCTGCCCAACTGTTTTGACGCTTAATTTGCGGATTTTTTTCGTCAAACATCATATCATATTCAATACACTTTTTGCAGTTATTCAATATATAATACAATAGGAAATTGATTCCGGGTTTAAGTAAACATATCTTTACTTTACGTCATTTATTACATCATATACAATACACTATTCTAATTATTCAAAAGTGGCAGTAACATTTTCAGTGTAAAAATTACAGATTTTTTTTGTTTTAAACAGAAGACCGACTGACGTACCATGGCTTTACGGAATCCGCGACTGTCTCTCCATGTTCATGATATAGCAAAGGTACAATTGTGATATAATTATGATGGCTCCAGTATATCTATATTTTGACTGCATTTCCACTATGAGTGTTTCATATGCACATTTGCCATTTTGATGCATTTCTGCATTTGTTTTGAAACACTTGACATGCATTTTTATTTTTGTTAGTATTAAGAACAACTTGGTTGTCCTCAATGGACGTAATGCAATACACATATGAAGCAGTAAATATTTAAGAAGTTGAATGTTGGTTTTTCGTTATAAGGTTGTTTAAGCATGCGATAATTAAATCCATTATATTTGTTGAGATAAAAAATGTTCACATTGTTTATCTCACTACTTCGACTAGGTACTTCCATTATTCGTGATTCTCGTGATTTTGAAGTTCATGTACTACCAGTTTTAAAAATCTCACAACTATTAATTCAGATACCCTTTATGGAAAGAATATTTTAAATCCTAAAATTAAAGTGACTTCAATTATCACAATTACAAAATGGAATAGCATATATGAAATTGTTAAATTCATGTACTGCCATTTTAGAAAAACTCTAAATCAATGAATAATTCAGATACACTTATCGAAAGATATTATTATTTAAACCTAAAACTAAAGCAACAATCATGATTACTATTATAAAAAAAAAAACACTGACGGAAATTCGACTGCATATTACCTGCTTGTTCTTGCATTAAGGCATTTCTGCATTTAGCATTTGAAATAATTACTTGCATGATTGAAAACTTCCTAGTAATTCTATCATTTGTTTTATTTAAGAGAAAGGTAGTTAAGACTGACCTCGAACCGTTATCCCAGTACCTCTGGGAACAGACCGAGTCCACAAGACAAAAAGCATTAGCTACATATTTTGTCCAGGGAGTAGGCAAAGGAAACTTGAATCCAACAGCCTTTGGTGAGTTATGTCTTGAAGTTTAACTTTGATCTATCAACCTGTTCATTTGTAGAATGCAAAAACATGGAATGGTAGGCGTTTTCTGTTTCATTGACAATACCCGTCATGTAAATGTTTTTCGAATTCAAGTACATTCATTTGCTTAAAATTACGAACGGGGTTATAACAACAAGCCAACCAGGCACACTAATGAGCATATTTATAGTTTAAAACACCTTCATATCGTACAAGGAAATAGAATATTTCCCACAGAGAACGTGATGGCGACCATGAAACCTGTCCATATATGTTATCAACCTGAATCTCTCAAAACATCGTGTTTTTAGTTTGCCTTAGAAGAGAAGAAAATACTTTTATCCCTTACACGAATATCAAAATTTACTAATTATACTTTCCGCACAGGTTTTATAACTCCAACAATTTAGCCTCTAAAATAGCTGATGGGATTTTCATCAATTGAAACGTTCATGTCCGACATAACTACTAAATCTGGTACATTTTGTGTTTAGTTGTAACTAACGGAAACATCTACTTAAACCATAGGTATCATTTAAATATTGTAATGTCCTAATAATGAATTAACGACCTCATTTGTTTTAGACCTATTTGGTTTTCCAACTTTTAGCCTCTAGAATCCCCAATGAGTAATATAAGTACGAAACATCTGCACGATGCAGCTTATTTTATTTTGGCATACTATATAATGTCAGCAAAATTTAAAGGTGCAGGCACTTGTTCGTGTTACGTTCGTCTTACAAAATACAAGGAGGTAGATTCTGCTGATGGATTTATTAGTTTTTGCTTCGAGGTTTGCCGTAATTCGATAGCCACAGTAATATCTTTTGAGTAGTGGCACTGTTCATGATATAAACATTTTACAAATTATTTAATTTAAAAATTACCATCACTCACCTACATTTTTTAATTCTTCAATCAAGATATTTACACACTTGCTCCGGATTCACGAGTAGTTCAGACCAATTTCAAATGTTTCGGCCACTAGCTTCACCAATGAGACCTAGAAGGACAAAACAGCTGTATGATGCAGTGTTACTTATTTTGGCAAACTTTATATATCAATAAATTTTAAAGGTGCGATCATTCATGAGTCACAAATCGATGTAGCGGCGAAAACAGTTGATGTTGTTGTAAACATTACAGGTAAAACATACACACATTACAGGTAAAACAAAGTTGTGTTGATATTCATTGTTATGAGATTTGCTTGGATACTGATGTCCTTTTGTTATTATTGACTATTAAATGATTTACACATATCATTACATGTTTTAACCCACAGGGGGATTCATGGTACAGGACTCTGTCTATTGTTACAAGGCCAAAGGCTCTATTGATGTGGCTGCTAGTAGAGCCCAGGAAGGAGACCTTAAAGCGTATCTGCAAAAAGAGTCGGGGAGTTATGAAAGGTAAGTATAATATTACGATAAATAATAGTTTGAATGTAGATTAAAATGCATAAAAAGCACACACTCATGAATAATATTTATCTACAATCTAATGATGCATCACCACTCAATCATTGCAGTTATTACCAAGATCTCTTTACAAAGTGGCACATCAAGGACGCAACAGGTATCGACCTCGATCCGGCCTGTCAGTCCTACGCAGAGTACGAGCATTTGGTCGCTTCTACAAAGGACACCATCTACATGATAGTAGCAATGATTCCATGCATGAAGTTGTGGCCCTGGCTTGGACAGCAACTGCAAACGGCAAGTATATATTGTAGTTATTGGTTAAATCAACACGTAGATATCGTTGTATAAGATTCAAAATCTTAATCCTTTTTTTTTTTTATTCAATCAACAAGTATCTAATTATTAATTGTTTAATTTGACATATAGAAAATATAGTACACGTAATTGTCTCAATATCAAAGAAAATATTGAATTTGAAGTATATTTTACAAACACTGATGAAGTCAAAAAAGTGCATTATTCATTCATTATTCATTCATTCGTTCATTCAATCAATCAACCAAACAATCAATCGGCAAGTATGTCTGTGTTCTTTCCCCCAATCGGAATTCTTACATTACATTCATGATATAAATAAGTTGTATTTATTAATTCAGACAGCAGGTACGTATCAAAATGATGTCGCCGTCGTCATTACTCTCAATACGTGCAAATATGTACAAAAACTTACCATGCGTAGATTTACTTCATATAATCATCATTAGATTGTGTATTGTATTTTAGTATCTAAGGAGTCTTGCTCGTTAGCCAAGCTCTCGGAAATAATGTTAACAACGTTTATTGGTATTTTCTTACACTTTTCAACTAAAACGATTGTTTGTATAATACCACAGGCTAATCACGGTAAATAATGTAAACAAAGTTTATTTAAGCATTTAAGTATTTTCTAACACTTTTCAACTAAAACGATTATTTGTATAATACTACAGTTTAATCACGGTGTATATACGGACTGGTACAACGCCAATTTTGATCCTACCTACGACGGGTATAAGCAGCTAGACGAATTTGTGGATACCGCAGGGACCACTATTGATAAGGAAACGGCTTTAAAAGTGTACAGCAGGTGCATGGAAGGTGAATACGAGTTTTTCAACTCGGCTCAACTCATGATGTAGAAGACCCACTCGGAACTTGTCGGCCGATACGCATTCGGAATACCCTTTCGTCATTTTCTACGAAACTATGCTAGGTAGCAAAGATAGCAAAGGCGATGTGTTCCGAATGGGCCGATACGGAAGGAACTGGAATCGGGCGAGGTGTTCCGAATGGTAGAAGACCATGCTGCTTACCGGACCTTCACCCTGTAGTGATATGCATGACAGAAGGACATTGAACGTATGCAGTGATCATATCTTTATAGCACTAAGCTGGCTTCATCTTTGTGACGGTATCTAGATATCAAAGTTATAAATGTGCTTGATTCTGTTATAGTAAACTAATTGTAATGATTATTGTTATGCCATGTACAAATATTAAATGATATTTTACCACATAAGTTTACGGTAATCTGCATATTTCATAAGCTACAACAATAACGATTGTACACACTACTAGTAAATATGTTCCATGCAATACGATTACAGATCAATATCAGCTATAAATAACGAATTTATTATTTAGGGGCATCAATATTTTGACGTCGTAAGGGCATATCAAAAATAGAGTCCAGCAATGTACACAAACCTATATTTGATTATTTTTAATAATTGTGATTGATCTCATATCACATATTATCTGGATGATTAAAAGATGAATATCCCAAATGAAATGCAGTAAAACCTTGATCGCAATATACACCCCTCGCTGAATTTGCCGTCTCGATTACTGCCCGAAAATTTCAAGGTTCTGCTTTTCCTTGGTTTCTTAAATTCTCTTATACACCTTCCTCGATGTATTGCCAAAATATTCTAATAAGCCTAACTTTTTCTAAACAGATAATGGAAGAATAACGAGGTTTTACTTTCGCATGTAAAGTTTAAGGATTTGGATTCAAGAGGACAAACATATAAACGCAATAGGGTTTTTTTACGCATTCAGTACATGTCAACAAAGCCAAATTGTCGTGTTCATTTAAATTTTAACTGGCATATACTCACACATTAACATTTCTCTCCTCTTAAGATGTCCAGTAATCTAAGGTAGATTTTATCACACAAATTCCACTACAATAACACACAAGACATACCGCAGAGCCAACAACAATGGATAAATCAGAACTCGGTACTCAAAGTCGACCCACGAAGAAAGAACGACCATAGACTACATACATTATACGCAAGAGCATGATAAGGAAAAAAGTGACGATACCATATGCTGCTGAATGGTCAACGTTTTCTAAATTCAATTTACCATCCGTCATGGTGTCTGCTGTAAATTCCAGGAAATATGTAACCAGGTATGAAAACACTTGAACCCCGTAGTTTCAAATCAGTGTAGAATGCAGTAATTCTAAGAGTTCTTTTTAGTTTCTTCATCTCCTAAGAAAATGAAGAATATGGAACTCTTCTTCGCAGTTATAACTACGTTTGTACACTTCATTATAACTACCATTATATGCAAATATTCATATACCTGCTTTATTGCATAATAAATCATGGTTTACCTGGGCTTTAGTTGTTTCGTTCTTATTTTAAACAGTTCAGAGTATGTCAACGTACAGCGTTCTCCGGTAATTTATTCCTAGCTCCAACGGGTCGTTGTAAGAAACTTCTTTCTCTTAATATATTTACACTTCTGATACATATTTAGAGGATGGTATGTTACGTCATGATGATTTGTCATCCCTGCACGAATTCTATACTCAGTAGAGACTTTTTGTAGGGAGTAGGCATATTGCTAGTTAGTCAGTGAAGTTGCCTTTTAGCGATTGTAATATATTTAATATTAAACTGATAGATTGAGTTTATTACTAAAATTCGAAACGTAACACTAATATACAAATTGCGAAGGCAGACAATTTCACGAATCCTGACCTGTGCGGGTCTCGCATGAACGTACACTATTATGATTCGAAGCTATAAGGGATAAGGGTGGGGGGTGGGGGTGTTCAAATAGAATCAGGGCTGATGAATGAAAAAATAATAATTTTCAAATAGAAAATCTTCATATGATATACTATGAAGCAAATGCATTAACATTCGCAGTATGACTGGGTCATTCACGCGAAGGGCAGTCTATATGCATAGCAGGTGACGTAATCTGGGGGATTGATAACTTAATGTAAAATACAAATGATATCTCAATAACAGAGTTACGTTTATACCTGTGTATATAAACAACTGGAAATGGAAAACATTCTACTGTGTCGTTTATTTAGGAGACATTTAAAGAACTCCAGAATCGATCTGCTGCTCCCATAGTAACACTGCTCCCATAGTAACACTGCTCCCATAGTAACACTGCCCCATAGTAACACTGCCCCATAGTAACAATGCTCCCATAGTAACACTGCTCCCATAGTAACACTGCCCCAATAGTAACACTGCTCCCATAGTAACACTGCTCCCATAGTAACACTGCTCCCATAGTAACACTGCTCCCACAGTAGCACTGCTCCCATAGTAACACTACCCCAATAGTAACACTGCCCCCATAGTAACACTGCTCCCATAGTAACACTGCCCCCATAGTAACACTGCTCCCATAGTTACACTGCTCCCATAGTAACACTGCCCCCATAGCAACACTTGGTATAGTTGTTTTCCGTTTTTTCACTTCCTTACTCCTTTTCTCGACGTTGTTTCTGTAGGCACCAGTCTCCATTTGTCTTAGCTGTTGCAAGAAAGTTAATAAATATATGAAATTAAAACATTTGTGAAGGGGAAGTTATTTGATGACAGTCTGTTTATAACTTCGTTCTCAGATCAAGCTTACTCAAAAACTAGCTATCCTGTATAGCCATGTAGAAACATCCGCACTAGACCAGAACGGAAGCTGACGCCGGCTTACAGAGAGTCAATTGTCTAGTGCACAGAGGGCACATTACCGAGATACAAGGCCGGGTTACAACAAAAGACAAGACTTTAAATTGGCGACAGTTAAATTACTAGTCTATACTTAAAGAAGAGTTTCGACTGGACGAAATATGTTGGCCAATTAGGATCGATGTTTTTGTTTTAACATAAACATGTATCTTGCAGAAAAAGAATAGTTCAAGGGGATATTTAGTCAAATGACATCCTAAAAATCGAGTCGATACTGAAAACACATATCTCCTAACGAAAGTTTACGTAGTTGATAATGACATGACCTGAAGCCAACGTCACGTGTGGTCAGTTTCATCCAATAAAGGAGAAATGACGTCATAGATGAGATAGACTGGTCGTCGTCCTACTGTGGGGTATTTTTTTGAGTTCTCAATGTAAGTTCTGAATTTTGAATATTGAGCTTTGGATCGTTGCTTTGTGAGGTTTCTTTGAACATCTTTATCAATTATTTATCAGATTTAAGTCACTGCTGTTGCTGTAAATTAACACTTTCCAAAATAGTGTACCGTGATTTCTACTAAATATGGCCGATACTGACCAGAATGGACAGGTGAGCAGTGTGTGTCCTATCCATGTAATTTCTGAGGAGCAAGCCTTGGTAGCCACCACTCCTGTATCAAATAAACGGACATTAGACCAAACATCACCGGATTTTTCTATAGATATGGCCGCTAAAAAACTTCTCCAATTCAAATCCCCTGTCGGCGACCAAGTATCCCCCCGGCCCAAAGCTCTACCAACGATACGTTCATAAAGGAACTTGTACAACGCCTCTTGGATCCTGTATCAGTGATTGTAAGAGAATCAGTAAATGTTACCATATTAAACTGTATTAAGCCAATGCTTATGGAGAAAGTGTCAGAAATCGTGTCGAATGACGAGAAACTCAAAAACATCATAAGTGATGCTATGAGTTCTGCTGTTATCCATCCCCTGAAAGATAAAATCAAAGAACAGGCAGTAGAAATCGATTTTCTTTCATCTAAGATTGCCACTCTGGAGAGGAGGGTAGATGAGCACGCCTCTATACTCGAGCAGCAGGAACAGTATTCCCGCCGAACATTCTTGACATTTGTAACAAAACTTTGAAAGTTAAGGTTCAGCTTTCAGCCATATCTCGTTGTCACATCCTTGGGGTATGCGGGACAGTCGAGCAAACGTGACAGTGCGCTTCGTCCGTTATTATGACAGACAATCAGTGTACGGTGCCAAAAAACTGATGAGAGGCTCTGGCATTATGATAGTTGAAGCCATGACCAAGGTGAGGCAAGCCATGGTAAATCGTCTAAATCAGCTCAAACACGCCGGGAAAATAGACATGTTCTGGACCAGGGACGGTTCAATCTTTGTCAAAAAGTCTCGTGATGATCAGAAGATCCTTATCTCGAACGATTATGCTGTCACCCAGCTGCAAGATGAGTAATTGGAGTTTTGTTTAAAGTGATTCTTTGCATGTTTGAATTAACAATGTACTTTCAGATATCCATGTAATTACAGATGTTATAATATGTGTGGTTAGTGACACAATCCCCAAACACCCTCAGCCCCACCCCCAGCAATCAGCGGTTAAAATTGTACATACATGCTACAGATATTATACTAGGCATGGCTTGTTTAACCCTAAACCCGCCCCAACAAACGCAGGTGCAAGTGTCCATGTACACTTCATACATGTTATATTATGTATGCATGGTACACACTTTATATTACCCTCACTTCCAACCCACCCATCCGTCACTCTCAGCAAATGCTTATAAATACGGATGTAAACCATATGTTACACTATGTCTGAATTGCTACCCCCTATCCCCACTCACATCAACCGCATGTTAAAGTATCCACGTAAGCTTTATACATTTTACTTGGTATGGTCTGGCCCTGATATACGACCTATCCACACCATCCCCAAGCTTTCATCACGTGTAGTTAGAGACAACATCACTTAATGAAATATACTTGTACCTGATAAAATGTACTACGTTAAATGAAATTTATTTTATTTCATTAGCAGTGTACAGTACTATATAATGAATGGTTTGCTTTACCTACATAGTAATCATTGGCTTATACAACTTTAGTTATGTTTAACTGGGGTTTGTGTTGGTGTTGTTGTTTTTTATTATTAATATTATTATTATTCAATATTATTGCATTGCATTGTACCGTTAAATTGTCATACTATGTGACCCATCCCCGTCAACTCATTCGTGCACGTTTGTTTGCAGGTTAAAATAAAACTTGTCTCGCACATTATTTTAAAATAGACGAGCCAGTGGTATTGTATGGGTTGTTATGTGGGATGTTTCTCGCTATTTCCTATCGGTACTCCTAAACTCGTGTGAAACAAATTCTGATGTTTTATATAAAAAAAATATAGTCTGTGTATTCGAAAGATATAAATTCCCTGTAATTACTTTGTAAGTGTTTTTTTTTTTATATAAAAGCTCTTACCTGAAGCTGTTATCCGGTCATTGTAGTTTAATTGTTTGTCGTCTGCTAGCGATGTTGAGAGCGTCTGTTAGAGTGCAGTGCGTTTTGTACGGCGCCACCTGTTGTCATGTCTAAACATGATACATCCCGGCTTTACGTTAATACAAAACTACGTTTCTGACCATAGTTACCCCACGGTCAGTTTTATATATTATATATTATGTTGCACCAAGAAGATATATTGATCATTTTATTTGTGTATACTTTTTGTATCGTTTTTCACGTATTAGTCATTTTCTACCACTGGATCTATGCACACTACATTGTAATAACTCTGATTTGTCACCCTGATAGATTTGTACACAATTGCTTGATTTTTGACAATGGGTAATGATTATATGTCACACAGGGTGGCAATCGGAACTTTCTATGCCAAAGCATACGGATATAAAATGTACCGTTTCTATTTTTTCTTATTACATTTCACTTTGCTTGCCTATTTATGCATAGTTTTAAAAAACATAGCAAAATTTGTAAATTGTTGAATGATTATTACGCTTATAACGCACGTGAACAATAACGATTTTCTGTTTATTTTGCTGTTGCTAGTATTACAGCATATGGATGTTGAGTCGAATCCTGGTCCCGTGGATGGCGAGCTTTCTATTTTTCATTTAAATATTAGGAGTGCAAGGAATAAAATTGAATACATAGAAAACATTGCAGGTGAATATGATATAATTTGTCTCACCGAAACGCATCTTGATGTTGAGGTCCCCATAGGTGAGTTATTGATAGAAGACTTCCACTCTCCTTTTAGACTCGATAGAAATTTTGCGGGCGGGAGTATTTTAGTATATGTAAATGAGGCTTTAAAAGTTAGTAGGCTGGTTGACCTCGAAGTCCCCGACACCGAAGTATTATGGTTTCAGGTATTTCTTCCTGACAAATGTCTAATAATCGGGACAGCATACCGTTCTGCTTGTCACAATAATCATTTTTGGGATAATCTTCGGGCTTCAATAAACGATGCTGTAGAATTATCGAGAAATATTATTTTGATAGGAGACCTCAATGTTGACATGCTAACCATGTCCGAGAATCATGCTTTTGCTGACATTATTGATACTTTTAATTTTAAAATGTTATAAATGAACCTACACGAATAGGTCCCACCAGGTCCAGTTTACGTGATCCAATTTTAGTGTCAGAATCTTTGTCTTGCACCGACTCCTACGTCATAGCTACCGAAAACTCCTTTACTGATCACGAAGGTTGTGTCGCATATATTTCTGTCCCGTTATTTATTAAACCCGTCTACAAACGAAAAATTTGGTTATATAAAAGAGGTGAAAATGTATTATTTAATCACCTTATCGAGGAATATGACTGGAATACTCTTTTTGCTAGATGTAACTCTGTTGATTCGGCTAGCGAACGCTTTACTGAGTTGTTTTTTTTTTTTATCGATTTTGCTTAAAGAACAATACCACATAAAGAAGTTACTATAAGACCTAACGATAATATAAGCCATGGATGAATTCAGACCTGAGAAAAAATATGAGACTACGCGATAGATTACGAAAAACAGCCAAGCATTCTAAACATCCACGGGATATATCTAAATTCAAAAACACCGAAACAAAGTTAATAACATGAAAAAGCATGCTAGAAAATCCTTCTATGAAAATGTTGGAAATCTTATTGATTTTTATTACTCATCTGATCCTAAAAAAATATTGGCGACTGATCAAGAGATTGATGGGAAATTCAGGGACCTCGCAGTCTATTCCTACTTTAGTTGATTCAACATCGGGACGTTTATTAGTTGACGATAAGGACAAATCAAATTTATTATATAATTATTTTTGCAGTATCACTAACATAGATGATAATAATACTGATATTCCTATTTTAGAACCGAAAACGGAGAGTTCATTTGAATCTCCTATGATTAACTACAATGAAATATGTGATGTCTTGTTGAATTTAAAACTTGGCAAAGCCTCAGGCATGGATGAAATCAGCCACCATATGTTGAAGTACACTGCAAAAACTGTATGTAAACCACTTGAACTTCTTTTTAACTTATCGTTATCTACTTGTATTTATCCTGATATTTGGAAATTTCCTAAAGTCATGCCGCTTTTTAAGAATGGTGATAGGCATTCTCCTTCTAACTATAGACCGATTTCTCTTTTGTCTACGGTATGTAAAACATTTGAAAGGGTTGTCTTTTTGTACTTGCATAATTATTTTTTTGAAAATTCTCTATTTTATCAATACCAATCAGGATTTATGCCTGGCCACTCAGCTGTGTATTAATTAATCGAATTATATCATACTATTTGTCTTGATCTAGAAGAAAAGAAGCATACTTGTTTAGTTTTCTGTGACATCTCAAAAGCTTTTGACAGAGTCTGGCATAATGGTTTATTAGTCAAGTTAAAATCATATGGTATCTCAGGAAATTTCCTTTCTTGGATCGAAAACAACTTAAGCAACAGACAACGGAAAGTGTTTATAAATAATTCTTCTTTTGGGGCTGGTTTGATATGTGCTGGAGTTCCTCAGGGTTCAATTCTTGGACCATTGTTTTTCTTAATTTATATAAATGATATCGCCGAAGTATTAGAATCTACAACACGTCTTTTTGCTGATGATACGTCTTTAAAAAGCACTTCATCTTCTTGTCTAGATATACCAACAGTTTTGAATAGGGACCTGGAAGCTTTGAGTAGGTGGGCTAACACTTGGCTTGTTACTTTCAACCCAAATAAGACGGAAGTTATTTTCATATCAAATTCAAATGATATAGATGAAGATCTTGAACTGATTTTTGATGGAAATATTTTGAATTTTAACAGTATGCATAGGCACCTTGGAGTTACATTCAATTCAGATGCAAAACGGTCAGATCATGTAAGTGAAATCAATAAATCGGTAATGCAAAAAATAAATATTTTGCGAAAACTCAAATATATGTTGAAGCGGGATGCTCTCTTAAGAATTTACAAAACTTATATATTACCAGTTTTAGAATATGCATGTGAGGTTTGGGATGGTTGTACTCTGGTCGATTCTGAAAAGTCAGAGAGGGCTCAACGTAAGGCTTAAACGTAAAACAGATTACTCATTTATAACGAGGATTGAGATGTTGTTTGGAAGATGCTTTTGATTCAGTTGCAGTTTGTAAAGAAAGTTTAACTAGGGTATCCCCTGAAATTCATTTCATTTCTGGTGCGTTCAGAAAACAGATGACATCAAAAATAATAATTCCATTTTCAGATGTTGCCATAGAGAACACCAATGGAATACACGCTGCCAGTTGGGCATTCCGGAACTGACTACTAGATAATTTGAATCAAAACTATAACAATACAAATCAACAAGGTACTTGTCACGATTAGTCTATAGCCTAATATCAGTGTTATCAGGGGACGTAATCCGAAGGATTTTCAAAAGGAGCATAGGCTGATAAAATTAGTGACTCTTCATTCGCATTGAGCAGACGACAAAAGGACAGTCCAGGGAATGCGGCGTCCATTCGCAAGTTCATTTCCGGTCAGTGTGTAACTTTATTGCATAACAACGAGAACAATTAGCGACCTGCATTTCCATTTACAAGGCTGAACGTCTACTTCAGAGTCAACACAGTCATATCACGTACAAGTTGCTTTCCTTCAAAAAGGAAAGCAATACGTGGGGCACATTGTTGTGGAATAACAAATACTTGATGCAGTTATATTTACGGTATTTGAAACTAATATTAGTGAACTTCCCCTCTGTCACAAATCAATATTGCTTTCTCGTGTATGGTCAAGAATTAATCAAATATATGATATTTCAGGATAATAGTTACAGAGGAATTTTAATAACTTTTCCCAGAACGCACCCATTACAAACAGAGGCCTCGCATAGTTTCTCTGGTAAATTATGTAACTGGTTTGTACTGCCTGATATGCATATGGATGATCACGCGTTGTTTGGCGGACAGAAATAATGCATCCTGTCTAAAACATGCATTTGAATTAAGTAGTTAAAAGTTCAATTCAGTAAAGTATAGTATTTTATTTGTCTTATAAAATATGAAGATACTTCATATACATCAAAATTAGTTGTAGATAAGACTTTATAAGTATTATTGGCTAGTAATTTGTTCATAAAATAAGGCAAAACGTATGGACTTATTTTGATTTACCGTTTGATAGCATTCAGTTTTAAACTATATTTCAGAATATGACTTCATCTTATTCTGCTTGATCAGAATATGTTTGACAACATCGATGCATATGAACAATATTTTCGAGTATTAATCCAGTAGTTTGATGAGTATTGATATTTCAAAATGGAAAGATTTGCAGTTTTTAATGCTACACTTGTGCACATTTATATCCTCCTTGTTTAGGCAAGTTTGATAAAGTGTTTTGTTGCTAAACATGGTTTACAGTTGAAATATCTGAAATGCTCATCAAATAGAATAAAATGTATTTAATTAAAGAAACTAAGGTTCACAAAATACATGTACCTCGGATCTGAAATGGATCATGTATAACAATGTATAAACATCCGCACTATACCAGAACGGAATCTGACGCCGGTTTACAGAGAGTCAATTGTCTAGTGCATAGAGGGCACATTACCGAGATACAAGGCCGGGTAACAAGAAAAAACAATGCCTTAAATTGGCAACAGTTTAATTACTTTACTTAAAGAGTTTCGACTGGACGAAATATTTTGGCCAATTAGGATGTTTTTGTTTTAACAGATATATCTTGCGGAATAGAATAGTTAAATGAGCTCTTACGCGATGGTAATACCAAAGAAATACATCAAATGAAAGCAGATATTGCTTCATCAAAATGCTTATTTAAGATTTAAAAAATATACGAAATGGAGTACTGTGACGTTCATACTTCCATAGATTTTCTTTCGAACATTTTTTTCCCTACTAGACAGTATATAGAAGAAAAAAGTGTTCAAGAGAATATCTAAGGAAATATGAACGTCACAGAACTCCAGTTGTTATTTTTATTTTTTATTTATTTCATTTAAACATTTGCACCTGCCTATTTATACCCCATTCAAAATCCTCAAAATATCGTCGACATACTTTGTTTTTTTTCTGGTTTTCTGGCAGGTTTAATTCGAAAATCATCGTGCTCTCTTAAAAGCCGCTGAAAACAAATCTATTTGTTGGAATCATACGGGCCGTATTCGTTTATCGCAATCCATACGGTTGAACACACGGGGACTTGACACGTTCCTATGACCCAGAATGAAAAAAATACCCCATGGTCGGACCCCCAGATAACTTATTATTGACCTATAAAGCCTCGCAAGGCCTGTATAAACGTTTGCAGGTCCGCCAGTGTTTATATACGAAAATGTCACATTTAAATACGGACGTAGAGGTTGTTCCGCATCAATGAACAGTCCCTGGTAAATAGCTTTATTTATAAGTGGGTACATAGTTAAACATGATAACACAAGGCTGTTATAAAGGCTTTTACAACCGACTCTTAAACATGAAAAGAAAAACGCTGTAACATTTTAGAGAAACATAACAAGCATGCATAAATAAAAAAAGTTTGTTAGCACATATATAAAATACATGTATAAAATATTAATGTTTTTATAAGTTTTTGGACCAATCCCTATCAGCAAGCTCTCCTGCTTTGATAAACTCATTGCACATATATACACTATCTACCATGCACTTATTTGCTAGAGCACATACATACATATATCGAGCACTAGACTAATATATATATAAAAAAAGCGTACACAATACACGTAAACCAGACTATATTTTGTTAGTAAATTTGCAAGATGAACGAACATCTACAGGTAAGGCCATTCCAACCTTCCATACACTTTTTGAAACTGCGTTTCTTTCATCTTCTGATAGATCTCGCCAAAGTTTTGCTGGTATGTATGAAAAGCTGTTTCGGCCGTACCTTTCTGTTCTTACCGATGGTAGCTTCAGCATGTTTCCGTTTCTGAAAGAGGAGTTATCAATATTAACATGAATTAGACCTGTCAGATATGTTGGACAATTTTCATGAATAATTTTTAAAATTTCTATGGCTATTTTTCGCAATATGTCTAAACATAGTTGAATTTGACTTTTGTAATAGAGCCTCGTAACTAGAGTCAAAATCCTGAAAAGTTAATTTTGTAAATAGAAACTTCATTTGATGCGCGAGTTCTCTGTATTTTCTGTCAGTTTCCGGGTGATCTTTGATAAATTGGTCCCTGTATCCTATCGAGACATGCAGTCACAATTTTTAACACTTCCTCAATTATATCACTGAAGCAATTTGATATTGATTGAGTTCTAAAAAATATCCAATGCTTATGACGGCCATGAAAATCCATCGGGATTTAGTAACTGTTCTGCCAATGTTAGCCTGTAGATCAGAGTGTTGTCTCAGCCCAGTCTTAAGATATGAGTGCACACTGGTATTAATACCAGATGCCTCTAACATTGGCAGGACATCTCTAAAACCACGACCAACGACTACATTGTCGTCTTGTTCCAACCATGTGAGCTTGTCTATGATGTTTTTGTACTGCTTGCATCATTTTGGCTTCCAGATTATGGCCTTACAGTGTGTCCAAAATCTATCAAGGCTGTCACTTTGTCTCCAAAGAATGTTTCTGAGAATAAAGTATTGTGTGAAAGTATATGTCCCCTACTCAGATGGTCAGGACCTTCAATGCTTGTACTACAGAATGAAAGGTTTTTGAAATACTAGGCAGGGGAATACCAAAAAGATCGGAACACTTAATTACAAGAGATATCAGTTTTCATCTTAACCCAAAACAGTAAAAGAGCATTTTGTGTAGTTTCGGTATATACTGAAGAAGAAAGAAATGGGACCAAGTACGAATGGAGTTTGAGAAACTGTTCTTTGACCAACCTGTCCATGCTTTGCAGCCAGTGTCATCCAAGAGACAAAAATTGAGGGTGAAGGCTGATTGATTCTTTGATAAGATGTACGGCACTTCTAAAAGGCCATCAAATATTTCGGATAACCTACTTCATAATTGAAAATTCAAAGACTCTCTTCATTATAGGATAACCTGTGCACAAGGGTTCAGGTCATTGCCAATAATATGAAATGAGCATACACGTGATGTCGCGGAACACCACAATTTTTTGTGTGAAAATTAATTGATGCCTGGCACATTTTTGCAGAAGTGTGGATTTGCTTCCCTTTGAATTAAAATTGTTAATAAAAAAAACTTTTTATGTGAACAGGACCCGTAAAACAGCTCCTTGGTTGTTAATTAGTAGCCATTTTTGTTATGGATTTTTCATTTTAGATTTCGTGTACCTTAACATTTACGAGATTTCGCGAAGATGCGATGGTGACCTTCACCAATACATTTACTCTTCATTATGAGATGAATATTAACAAATGAGTATGAAATATCCCCTAAAAGCAATGTAAAAACAAAAGTCTGATGATAAAATGTAAAAAATAAATGAAAACAAAATGTATAAGAACAAATTCTAAAAAGTGACAAGGATATTACATTTGATCTCTAAATTGATTGTTAACAAAAACTTTATCAATCACGCTAACTGATGAAGCAAACTTGAATTTGGAATTTTTGTGACCTAAAATAAACTGAAAGGTTTATTGTAGGCTTGTGTCGAATTTCATTACCTGTTATCAGGTACATTGCTTTTGGTGGATGCCAGGGAGGTGTCTTAGGCCCTCACCTTTTTGAGTACACAGTGTACTTTGTTGTGCGAAATGAATACTTTCCATCACCTTTTTGGACTAAATTTTCGCATACATCTTTGAAATAACACCACTGCTAAATTCATACTATGAAAATGTTTGGTATACAAGATTAATAAGAATGAAAAATCATATATTTTACGTTACAATTTTCACAAAATGTTTGATTAAACTCACATTCTGGATGATAAATATATTATTAAAGCACTTCATGAAAGAAAATGTTCTTTCCCAAGTATGACGATGCAAAAAAATACGATTTTTTTCAGAAAAATACTTTCAGGATAATATTCCATTTTCCGACACCCATGCTGTAATTAGGATAATTAATAATCTAAATCATTAATAGACTTATTCAAAGTAATAACTCTAGATGTATAAGGGATTGAAAAAGGTTAAAACAGCAGCAAAAATCTCGTATCACTTCTGAAACATAAGTTATGAGGGGGCGCGGGCTCCTATGTAATTTTAACATAGCTGGAAAGAGTTCATTTTCATTTTCTATTTAAAAGAGGGTTCCACTTTGAGTACCTTTTGCAGAAACATATAAAATCAAAATATCGTCATTGATAATGAACCCATTGTGAAATTTCACAGCTTCACCAAGCTCTAAAGTGAAAGATTTTGTGTTTGGTTTACTCTTCATTTCTGCGAGTCATTTATCCTTAAACCCGTGTTACATCAGCGAATGCGCTTTAATGTCGATTTTTACGATTACAGACCAAAGGTATAATAAGTAGATCTACGTTTATGAAATGACGTAAGCGGTAATACATTGTATAATATTTCGACGCAGTAAATTATTTAATCTTTTCTGTGTTATACTTAGGTGTTTCTGTTGATTTTATTCGTTTTGCTGTGACGATAATATCGAATATGTTTCGTTTGTTTTCATACAAAAACAGCATTCCGAAATATTTTCAACCATATGTTTTGAAGGAAAATGGCGCTAGTTCCGCAGGCACAACCGACTCCGACTGAAATGTTTTTGTTGTGATATTCAAGCGGGGCTCGGGATGTTTTCGCCATAATTACTTAACAAGTCGCAGAGTCAACAATTTAACCATGCATTAATATCGTTGTGTTTAAACTGTAGATACATGTGCACAATTATTCATGCAAATTAAATGAAAAAATGGATGGCAGTCGAAGGACGAAGCGGTACCGGGACGAAGGTGATGCTTTTCTTTGAACTTACCCATCCGCCCTCCTCTTTATAATAAAAATGAATCACGGGTAACGTACTTTCTGTATAGCTTGACAATAAACAGAGAAATTTATAGAATTTATCATAAATTAAAAAATTAAATCAAGTAATTTCTAAACGTCTCGTACCGGGTAGTTTTAATTCGGTGCTACTTAAGAGCTAGTTTCAATAAAATGACAGTATTTTAACGTTAAAACAAACTACGTTGTAAAACATAGAACCAGGGACTGCTGCGACTTTTCCCAAGCCAGTTTTGAAATAGCATATTTGAACTGCTATTATTAAATATTTCTGCTTGATTTTGTCCAGATGCATACTGATCAGTTCTCGGAGAACTAAAGAATTATTTAGACTAATTATTTTACCCTATCAATTCACAATAATTTTCATTTATCTGTTTATCATGTAATATGACTCTCGAGATAACAATTTCAAAATATTTCCAAAAATACCTGAAAATTCACAATAACTGATTGAGTCCCAGTTGAGGCGGGAGAAAAAACTGTTGCTGGTGTAGGTAATTTTGAAAAAACGTGATTTGAAAAGTAACAGTGATTATAATTTGTGATCTTGTTTATTTCTACAGTATCGGATATGAACCTCACATGATTTAAGATGTATACAGCACAAAGTAGGCCTTCCAAGCAGCAGGAATATGTCTATGGTGAAGAAGAATAACCATGTGTGGTGAAATATGATAAAACAATGTGATTTTGACTGGAATATCAATTTGGGGGGATAGGTTTGTATCAAGTATTGTTAGTGTTTTATTAATGAGCAATATTTTAAATCAAAATGAGTGAAAATCAGGACGTCAAGTCCAGACATTCAAAGTCTGATGATGGTAGTAGCTCAATTATTGATGAAGGCCAATATGACCAGGATCAAGATTTGAAAAATCAGTCACAATCATCAAAATTAACACCACCTGACCAATCAGACCAGGATAAAATGACCACACCCCCTCAGGCTGATAACATGTTTACTTCACCATCTGAGAGGAATGAGGATGAGAGCTTAGCTTTTATCAATGAACAGTTAAGCTTCCTGAATGAAGCCAGTGGAGAACTTGCCACCACCATTCACAGGTCTAACAAGCAGGTCAGACTGGATATTGCCAAAAAAAGCCGGGATTCAGGTATGAGAAGGAGGGAACTCTACAAATCCCCAGCCAAACGTTTTGCCCAAATTCAAGGACGAGGGGTTAAAAGGAGTCCTGGGTATGTAACAAGTTGCTCAATTTTAGCATCAATTAAACATCAGTTTTGTATTTTGTGCTGGAAGAAACAAAAATAAATGGTACATGTAATTGAAATTTAAAAAAAACTCTAGTTCCTGGTGCAAAAGACATAATGTTAACATTATAAAACATTTAGTCCAGATCAAAATATTTCTTAAATAACTTCTTATTTTTAAGGTCAAAATCCACATTCTCATACAAGTTGATTCTATTTGAAAATGGAATTAATGTAATATTGTTTTATCATATTCTATGTGAAACAAAATGATTTCAGAAAGCTGACACTTAACCGACCCAAAGTTGCAAGGCAGAGCTTGGAGGTTCAGAGTGTATCGGACCAAGTAAACATGCTGGATGACAAGGATGATGCAAAGGATGAGGATGAAAGTTCAGATGATGATAATAACTGGATGATCTTGGAGGAGTCTGATACAGATGCACCAATAAATGAAGCCCTTGAGGAAAATGTGCTCCGAAGTAACCTCACAGCATCCAATGTTAAAAAACTTTTGCATGTAGGCTTACAGTTTTGTATTTCTCTTATATATCCAGTGTCTGAACCTGGCATTTGCAACTGTCAGTATAGACCTAAATGTGTTGATGTTAAAAATAGTGATGCAACATGGGTATTTAATTGAATGTCAAGTCTTTTATGGTTAATTAGATCTAGATGAATTGATACATCTACTATTGATAAAAAAAGAAACAAAAATCATTCATCAAAGATAGGTCTGGTTGCCAGTTGCCAGCGTTTTTGCCAGGTGTTTATAGGGTCCGGTACAGGGACCCATTCCATATTGAAGTATACGTATGACCCTGTATTTTCCCAATGTCAGTCTTTATTTTCCCAATTGGATTAAACAGCATGTTTATACAATTGCAAGTTTCTAGTCATTATATGTGCAGCATTCAAAGTATTACCGTCCATGAAGGAGCATTCAAAATACATAGATAACAAACATTTAAAATTGAATAAAAAAAAAAACTCTGAAAACTTATATGTTTATTTATCGCTCTATATTTACTGTGAGAAACAGCCAGAGAAAAAGTTTTGCTAATCACATTGCAGGTTTTAATTTTTCCAAACTTATGATATTTTCCCAAACCTGTAAATGTGGGAACACTGATGATATTTCTCTATTTTTGCCAAATGTTGTTGATATTTTCCCAATAGTAGTTCAAGGGCCCTTTCCGAAAAAAGCTGGCTAAAAACCCGGGTTGCACTAACAATTTGGTATTTTATGGTAAATGGTTGATTGTTAAGAGAAATTTTCAATAATATGACTAAATGATTGAAAAAATTATGCTCTATATTGTCACAGACAAATGGATTATGGTCCACAAATGTTTTGGTTTGTGTATAAATATGTATGTTTACAAATGAAATAGACCAATCATATTTCCTCAAGACGGTGTCTGTTTGCCACCTTTGACCACTGGTAATCATGGACACTTTGTATCAATACCAAAACAAAATGTTATCAAATAAAAATATTGAGTGGCATTCTTTTTACTATCAGTACTAAAGTGGAATTAAACAAGATTTTCTATTCTGTTAAATGTACTAATCTTCTAGTTCATTTGGTCTGTCGGAGAATATACTAAATAAACGTCACATATGCCATTATGTAATTTCAGTATAACTTCATTTGTAAACAGAAAGATCATCTTAACAATCTGTCTTAATTACTATGCTTACTTTATCGTAACAATCTGTCTTAATTACTATTCTTACTTTGTCTTATCCAGCAAGTCATTACCAACGAACATGTGGTGGCCATGGTAAAGAACACCCTGCTTGCAGAGAATGAGAAGGTTGAAGCTCACTATGAACCCAAGATGACGAGGTCAAAGGTCAAGCATATCATACAAGAAGAGGGGGATGTAAGTTGAAAGATTAATTGTGGTTAACGTAACAATTGCTGCATTGATGATGTCTTTGGGTGGTTGCTGTACGTCATTCAGGAGGCATGTTTTTCATTTAAGACTCAAGAAAGAATCGGTCTTATCCCAAGACACATTTAAAATTTCCATCATAATATATTTACATTTTCCCCCCAGGGGCACTTCAGTCTTTTTCTTTACTCATTGTTTAACTGCAACGGAAACTCGATATTACAGGCAGAAAAATCGAAAATATTAGCTGTGCTTATTCTGGCTACTGGGGTCGAGGGAACTGTGATAGAAGTGACAAATGATCCAGTAAATCTTCGGCAGAATTTTTAAAATGTTTTTAGGCCAGTCCCGATTTCCATTTTCACCAAAATGTCAAGGCATTACATTACAAAGAGATATAAGTAGAGTCTTCAGGAGAAGCATGTGTCAAGGATTAGCCTGGTCAAAATATCACTGGAATGAAAAAGAACTTACAGCATCTTTCACGATGAAATATCAGCACAGACAATATTTAAATTCAATATGTTAATGTAAAAAAAATAAACGTTATTTATTTTACAACAATTATGAAACAAGTTATTTCAACATATATTAATCACTCTTGTTGGCCCTCATGTTAGCGTGCGGGTGGTGTTATATTAATGTGGGAGGAAACCGGAGAACCTGGAGAAAACCCACGTGATAGGGCAGGTGACCCTAAACCTTTTCAATTCTGATCTGGGAATCGCACCCTGGCCGCCTTGGTGAAAGCCAAGTGCGCTATCCACTGCACCACCCGACCACCCTATATGTTAATGTATGTGTTGTTTTGATTAGTGAAGAGCCAACATATAGTACTATACACCATGACCAGTTTACATCCAGTAACTGTGTAAATTGCATAACATACATAAGGAACCACTATGTCTTTAATACCACAATGCAAACATCACTGAACAACATCATGCAAAATGTCGGTTTTACATCAGATCTATATAATGAAGGGAAAACATGGTATTTCATAGTTGTACTAGCTATGTTTTCAAAGATTCTTTATTTTATGAACAGGTATCTGATTTGTTTCAGTTTCTGTAGCCTTAACATTTATTTTAACTTTCTCCTGATTCAGGTGCTGCATCCTTGGCCACTGTCACCTCTGAAGAAATCTAAACCCTCTGGGGCCAGCTTCCTGGAGGTGGATTTTTCAGATGATGAGGAGGAGGATGATGAATATGATCCATCTAAAGAGGTAACCACCCTTCCTAATCTCTGACGCTTAGTCATAGTGGTTCAGTCTATCAAGTAATATTATGCTGCTAGTCTGTAGATTTGTCACAGAGAGCTTTACAATTTTTGTAAACATTGATAACCTATGCCCTGTTTTACCCACCTGAGTATAGCCTCTAGTGTAAAGAATTAACTCTATGTCCTGTTTTACCCACCTGAGTATAGGCTCTTGTGTAAAGAATCAACTCTATGCCCTGTTTTACCCACCTAAGTATAGCCTCTATGTAAAGAATTAACTCTATGCCCTGTTTTACCGACCTAAGTATAGCCTCTAGTGTAAAGAATTGACTCTATACCCTGCTTTACCCACCTAAGTATAGCCTCTAGTGTAAAGAATTAACTCTATGTCCTGTTTTCCAACCTGAGTATAGGCTATTGTGTAAAGAATTAACTCTATGCCCTGTTTTACCCACCTAAGTACAGCCTCTCGTGTAAAGAATTAACTCTATGCCCTGTTTTAGCCCACCTGAGTATAGCCTCTATGTAAAGAATCAACTCTATGCCTTGTTTTACCCACCTGAGTATAGACTCTTGTGTAAAGAATCGACTCTATGTCCTGTTTTTGCCACCTGAGTATAGCCTCTAGTGTAAAGAATTAACTCTATGCCCTATTTTAGCCAACCTGAGTATAGCCTCTAGTGTAAAGAATTAACTCTATGTCCTGTTTTCCAACCTGAGTATAGGCTATTGTGTAAAGAATTAACTCTATGCCCTGTTTTACACACCTAAGTATAGCCTCTAGTGTGAAGAAATAACTCTATGTCCTGTTTTACCCACCTGAGTATAGGCTCTTGTGTAAAGAATCAACTCTATGCCCTGTTTTACCCACCTAAGTATAGCCTCTAGTGTAAAGAATTAACTCTATGCCCTGTGTTAGCCAACCTGAGTATAGCCTCTAGTGTAAAGAATTAACTCTATGTCCTGTTTTCCAACCTGAGTATAGGCTATTGTGTAAAGAATTAACTTTATGCCCTGTTTTACCCACCTAAGTATAGCCTCTAGTGTAAAGAATTAACTCTATGCCCTGTGTTAGCCAACCTGAGTATAGCCTCTAGTGTAAAGAATCGACTCTATGTCCTGTTTTTCCAACCTGAGTATAGGCTATTGTGTAAAGAATTAACTCTATGCCCTGTTTTACCCACCTAAGTACAGCCTCTCGTGTAAAGAATTAACTCTATGCCCTGTTTTAGCCCACCTGAGTATAGCCTCTAGTGTAAAGAATCTACTCTATGTCCTGTTTTTCCCACCTGAGTATAGCCTCTAGTGTAAAGAATTGACTCTATACCCTGCTTTACCCACCTAAGTATAGCCTCTAGTGTAAAGAATTAACTCTATGTCCTGTTTTACCCACCTGAGTATAGGCTCTTGTGTAAAGAATCAACTCTATGCCCTGTTTTACCCAACTAAGTATAGCCTCTAGTGTGAAGAAATAACTCTATGCCCTGTTTTACAGACCTAAGTATAGCCTCTAGTGTAAAGAATTGACTCTATACCCTGCTTTACCCACCTAAGTATAGCCTCTAGTGTAAAGAATTAACTCTATGCCCTGTTCTAGCCAACCTGAGTATAGCCTCTAGTGTAAAGAATTAACTCTATGTCCTGTTTTTCCAACCTGAGTATAGGCTATTGTGTAAAGAATTAACTCTATGCCCTGTTTTAGCCCACCTGAGTATAGCCTCTATGTAAAGAATCAACTCTATGCCTTGTTTTACCCACCTGAGTATAGACTCTTGTGTAAAGAATCGACTCTATGTCCTGTTTTTCCAACCTGAGTATAGGCTATTGTGTAAAGAATTAACTCTATGCCCTGTTTTACCCACCAAAATATAGGCCATTGTGTAAAGAATTAACTCTATGCCCTGTTTTAGCCAACCTGAGTATAGCCTCTAGTGTAAAGAATTAACTCTATGTCCTGTTTTCCAACCTGAGTATAGGCTATTGTGTAAAGAATTAACTCTATGCCCTGTTTTACCCACCTAAGTATAGCCTCTAGTGTAAAGAATTAACTCTATGCCCTGTTTTAGCCTACCTGAGTATAGCCTCTAGTGTAAAGAATCGACTCTATGTCCTGTTTTTCCCACCTGAGTATAGCCTCTAGTGTAAAGAATTGACTCTATGCCTTGTTTTACCCACCTGAGTATAGACTCTTGTGTAAAGAATCGACTCTATGTCCTGTTTTTCCCACCTGAGTATAGCCTCTAGTGTAAAGAATTGACTCTATGCCTTGTTTTACCCACCTAAGTAGAGCCTCTAGTGAGAAGAAATAACTCTATGCCCTGTTTTACCGACCTAAGTATAGCCTCTAGTGTAAAGAATTGACTCTATGCCCTGTTTTACCCACCAAAGTATAGCCTCTAGTGTAAAGAATTAACTCTATGCCCTGTTTTAGCCAACCTGAGTATAGCCTCTAGTGTAAAGAATCGACTCTATGTCCTGTTTTCCAACCTGAGTATAGGCTATTGTGTAAAGAATTAACTCTATGCCCTGTTTTACCCACCTAAGTATAGCCTCTAGTGTAAAGAATTAACTCTATCCCCTGTATTACCCACCTAAGTATAGGCTTTATGTAAAGAATCGACTTTATACCCTGTTTTACCCACTTAAGTATAGCCTCTAGTGTAAAGAATTAACTCTATGCCCTGTTTTACCCACCAAAATATAGGCTCTTGTGTAAAGAATTAACTCTATGCCCTGTTTTAGCCCACCTGAGTATAGCCTCTATGTAAAGAATCAACTCTATGCCTTGTTTTACCCACCTGAGTATAGACTCTTGTGTAAAGAATCGACTCTATGTCCTGTTTTACCCACTTAAGTATAGCCTCTAGTGTAAAGAATCGACTCTATGTCCTGTTTTACTCACCTTAGTATAGCCTCTAGTGTAAAGAATTGACTCTTTGCCCTGCTTTACCCACCTAAGTATAGCCTCAGTACAGAATGCGCTTGTTTGTTTGGCAGCCTGATCCTGTCAGTGATGAGGACGCTGAGAGTATGACATCATCCCAAGTCAGTGACACTGGCTCCCCAGCACCCTCCACTCCTAAAACTCCACGGTCCTGTGATCGGCTGTCTGACTTCAGCATCACCCCCACCAACAGGGATGTAAGTATCTTTACTTCTGTAGTACATACTGGGATTGTAATATTGCACATGGATCCAGATTCAATATGATTTTCTGTTATTGCAGTTCTTTATGATATTTTTCTATTAGCAGATTCAATAAATTAATTGTCTCCTAAAAACATACAAAGAAGTTAAATGGAGCAACACAAAACTTTTCTATAAGGTAAAAAAATGTTGAAGTTTTTAATGGTTATTATACTTAAACCACGCCAAACAAAAAGGAACAAACAAGTTGGAACACCAAACTTAAAATTTGTACTACATTTGACTCTAAAGCTAGTTATATTTAACTAGAAATCAAATTGAAATCCAGAATATACTCAATAAGAACTGAAACAACCGAAATAAATTGATTGTAATTCAAACTTTGATGAACCATTACACAACTACACATCATTTACAGCTTACCTTGCATTTTTTCAATGAAATCATTTTGAAAGAAACAGTACTTGCTAATTGTTGTTAATTATCTGTTGGTACTACTGTGGAATGTGTTTGTTGCTGACAGGGGTGGAGTCCTATGGGACCTCCAAGCCAGAAACACCTGTTAGGAAGAAAATACCAGGAAGCTATGGCAGCTTCAGACAAAACAGAGGTATAGAAGTAAAAACATCTCAAAACAAGAGAGTTTAGAGAACAGGCATCTCTTACGAACATTGAGGAAATAAAAATAATGTACAGATGGAATGTTATTAACAAGTGTTTTAAAGTATGCAGTAATTCTAAATATAAATTGTCATTTTCTGAATTCATTTTCTGAATTCATTTTGGATATGTTACATTAAATTTTGAATGATTGATCCGGCAGGAGGAAACTATTGCCCTGAGAACAAGATCGAAGCTGTCCTTAACGGAAACTACCCTTACAGAGCTTGAATCTACATTTGTGGCCCCTGACATCACAGCGGACATGTATGACACGCAGTGTGATGACAACGACTGGCAGACTTTCCTTACCTCACTGGTCAAACCTTGTGGTCAGTATCCATACTTTACTGGTCAGACCATGTGGTCAGTATCCATACTTTACTGGTCAATCCTTAAGGTCAATATTCATACTTCAATGGTAAAACTTTTTGGTCAATATCTTTATTTACCTGATGAAACCCTGTGGTTAATATCCACACTTTACTGAAAAAATATTCTCACTTCACCGATCAAACCTTGTGGTCAGTGTCTATACTTCACTAGTCAAATCTTTGTGGTCAGTATCCTTAACTGATGAAATGTAATAATGAGCTTTCTCACCTTGCTTGTAAAATTTGTATGTCCGTATCCTCACTTCATTGCTGAACCACTGCGGTCATTTTTCTCATCTCACTGACCAAACCTTGTGGTCAACATTGTCATTTTAATGGTCAAAATTAACTCTGTGGTCATTGTCCTTGTTTCACTGGTTAAAGCCTGTTGTCAATATCCTAACTTTATCTGTCAAACCTTATGGCCAGTATCTTAACTTAACAAGTCAGGCCTTGTGATTATCCTCCCTTAAATGGTAACCCTTGTTGTCAGTATCCTCATTTACTCTTATTAACTGGTCAAATCCTTAATTCACTGGTCAAGCCTCATTGTAATGTCCTCACCTCACTTGTCTATCATGTGGTCAGTATCCTTATTCTAATCCAATTATTATATGATTTACTTAAGATTTTGACTTTAGTGTTAATATTTTTTCATTGTTTCAGAAACAGAAGACACCAATGATGGCGGTGACGAGGAGGATCCTGAGTACGACTACCTGGAGGATGCGGCCAAGTCTCAGGTGGACAGGGAGGATTTACGTTCTGACCGTGCCGTCCAGGTCTCAAGTATGTATGCACTTCTAGTGGGATACCTCTCTTATCCAAATTTACATTAAATTATGATTATAAGATCTTTTATTATGCTATTAATACCATAGCTCATAATATTTTTGTTTTAAAGATTCATGATCAGCTTGTCAAAATACAAGCACAGGCCAATGTGTTAGGGTACTGTGCATTAAGTATGATTCATATGATTTATCTGTAGTGACAAAATATTATAATGAAGAACTCTTTTACCAAACTATTGAGATCCCTTTATCATTAAAACTTCTTCAACTGAATAAAGGTTTTTTTAAGTTAAATATTCTACAATTCATCTATTTTTACTAGTCAAGAGGTTATTTCGTAGCCAAAGTTCATGTAGAATTTAGGTGAAAGCTTTTCATGGTTCCAATGACTTTAACATCACTAGGTTTTATTATCATGAATATGGTGTAATTGTACTACAGAGCGGGAGATGAACCAACTCATGGACGAGCTGTTTGATGTGTATGAAGATATGGAACTTGAGGAAGCAGAGAAACAAAAGATGAAGAAAATGGCTAGAAACAACCTCATTAAGTATGTAGAACACTAAATTGTGGGAAGATCACTGTAGATCTGTTGATTCTTTTGCTTCATATTAACAGCTGAAGCAATCATATAGGGGGAGGGCAGATTATTGAAATTCATAATGATAAATTTTATGCTGCAAAATCTATTTGAACAGCAAATTTAATATTAAAATAGTGATTATGAAAGAATGCATGAAAGAACGGTATTTTGCAGATCACACAAGAAGGAGAGACGTGTTGTGACAGTTGTAACCTCATCTGCCCCAGGTGCACTCAAAATGACAGAATCCGAACGACTGCAGGTTGAGGATCAAATGAGAAAGGTTTGTTTCCAACAACCCATGTGTTCCAATATTAATACACATGACTCTGCAACAACACTCCTGTCTTCACAACACACCTGTCTCCACAACACTACACCTGTCTCCACAACACTACAAATGTCTTCACAACAAAACACCTGTCCCCACAATAACCAGTGTCCACAAAAACACACCTTTCTTCCAAATAATACCATCTGTCTACCCAACAACTCATCTTTATCCTGAAGAACTACTTATGGATCGAAAAACCTACCTGCTTACCCAACAAACGAATAATTGTTCTGTTAATCCAACTGTCTACTACAATCAACAACTAGCTACCTGTTACCCCTTCTTTCTACCCATCTCTACATCAATATGCCTGCAATCCTATCTGTTTGCCCGTTACACCGCTACCACCTTTTTATTCAAGCATCTTGCCTGTCTCCTAAATAATTTACCTGTATTCCTATCTGTCTACTTGTGTACTCAATAACTCAACTGTTTCCTCAAAATTTACCTGTTTTCTAAACATTCACATGTTTCCCCACTAACTCACTGGTCAATAATCCACCTGTCTCCTTATCCATCTGTCTTTAAAACAGATTAAGTGTTGACCCAATGAGCCACATGTCTCTAAAACAGCCCACAGGGGTCAAATATGTAAAAAAACTTCAAACGACTTCTTCTGAAGAACTAAAAGGTATAGAATCTTCATATTTGGCTGATGGCTTCCTGGGATGGAGCCCAACAAAGTTTGAGAATGAAAATTACCTTGACCTACTTTCAAGGTCACAGGGGTCAAATGTGTCAAACACTTCAAACGACTTCTTCTGAAGAACTGAAAGATAAAGAATCTTTATATTTGGCTGGTGGCTTCCTGGGATAGAGCCCAACAAAGTTTGAGAATGAAAATTAGTTTGACCTACTTTCATGGTCACAGCAATCAAATGTGTCAAATAGTTCAAACTACTTCTGAAGAATAAAAAGGCATACAATTATAATATATAATATAGTAGCTTTAAGGAATAGAGATAACCAATTGGAAAAGGAAAATGACATTGACCTACTTACAAGGTCACAGGGAAAAATATGTCGAGCAACTTCTGAAGAAGAATCAAAAAGCATAGAATCTTATAATAATATTTTGCTCGTGGTTTTAACAGATGGAGCCAACAAAGTTTGCGAGGGAAATATTTTTAGTGCAATATAATATTTAATGAGAATATTTTGCTATGACTGCTTAAATATTCAGGTGAGCGATACAGGCCCTCTTGGGCCTCTTGTTAAATTGCCTACCTATATACACAACACCTACCTGTCTTCCCAACAACCAACTCACCTGTCTTCCAAACAGCCTTTCTTTGAACTCAATAACTCACTGCTCTCAATAACATCTAAGTTGTGTAACTGTGTACATATCAACCAATTTGTCTCACGAACAACCCACACATTTGAACTCAAAAACAACTTTACTACCCAATAACTCTTCCTTCATTTCTACATTTCTTGACAAGATGTTTCTAGTTATTTGAATGCTGTATTACATTGAGCCTTCTGACTTTAAACAATGTTATATTTAATTTGTGATAACTTAGTTTGGACCATGTGTTGTGTTTGCAGCATGTGCAGTTACTTTCCCAGCAGTACGTGTTGTCACAGAGCTCCCAGGAGACTCACGGATCGGTGGCTGCTGACTGTACCTTTCTGCTGGTGAGTGCATCACAGCTTTACTTTTAAACTGTTAAATAGTTTTGTGTCACCAGTGAAGCAAAAATGACATTGGAATCACTCCTTATTTATTATCTGCACAGATTATTTCCATGAGCAAATATCCTGAAGGAATACATTTGATTTCATAAAAGTCAAATATCCAATCAAGATGGACTTTGAACTAGATATGAAAATCAACATACAGTTTATTAGATCTGAAAATCAATATATCCAGTGAAAACCCACTTACTCAAACTCGTATATATTACTAGATCTGAAAATCAACATACAGTGAAACCCCACCTACCTAAACTCGTATATATTACTAGATCTGAAAATCAACATACAGTGAAACCCCGCCTACCTAATCTCGTATATATTACTAGATCTGAAAATCAACATACAGAGAAACCCCACCTACCTAAACTCGTATATATTACAAGATCTGAAAATCAACATACAGTGAAACCCCGCCTTCCTAATCCCGTATATATTACTAGATCTGAAAATCAACATACAGGGAAACCCCACCTACCTAAACTCGTATATATTACTAGACCTGAAAATCAGCATACAGTGAAACCCCACCTACCTAAACTCGTATATGTTACTAGATCTGAAAATCAACATACAGTGAAACACCACCTACCTAAACTCGTATATATTACAGTGAACCCCCACCTACCTAAACTCGTATATATTACTAGATCCGAAAATCAACATACAGTGAAACCCCACCTACCTACACTCGTATATATTACAGTGAAACCCCACCTACCTAAACTCGTATAAATTACTAGATCTGAAAATCAACATACATTGAAACCCCACCTACCTAAACTCGTATATATTATAAGATCTGAAAATCAACATACAGTGAAACCCCACCTCCCTAAACTCGTATATATTACAGTGAAACCCCACCTACCTAAACTCGTATAGATTACTAGATCTGAAAATCAACATACAGTGAAAACCCACCTACCTAAACTCGTATATATTACTAGATCCGAAAATCAACATACAGTGAAACCCCACCTACCTAACCTCGTATATATTACTAGATCTGAAAATCAACATAAAGTGAAACCCCACCTACCTAAACAAGTATATATTACTAGATCTGAAAATCAAAATACAGTGAAACCCCACCTACCTAAACTCGTATAGATTACTAGATCTGAAAATCAACATACAGTGAAACACCACCTACCTAAACTCGTATATATTACAGTGAACCCCCACCTACCTAAACTCGTATATATTACTAGATCTGAAAGTCAACATACAGTGAAACCCCACCTACCTAAACTCGTATAGATTACTAGATCTGAAAATCAACATACAGTGAAACCCAACCTACCTAAACTCGTATATATTACTAGATCTGAAAGTCAACATACAGTGAAACCCCACCTACCTAAACTAGTATATATTACTAGATCTGAAAATCAACATACAGAGAAACCCCACCTACCTAAACTCGTATATATTACAGTGAAACCCCACCTACCTAAACTCGTATATACTGGAATACCCCTTTTTGTTGAATAGTTTGTTTGGTCCCGACCATGTTCTTATATATTCTTTGTAAAGTAATAAACTGAAACTATCAGACAGCTAAACAATAATCTTGGGGGATAAGTTCTTTGCAGGATTTACGACAGTATTGCTTAATACCAGTTTTAATTTTTTTTAAATGAACTTTTGCAGAAGGAAATCAAATGTTTTGCGAGCAGTAGTTCACTGGTTACCCCTGACCGACGTTCTGCATTTTATGCCCATAACCTGGATGGGGCTTTGAGATTGGTATCAGAGACGAAGGATTGGGGGCAGTGCCAACTCCCTGAGGGACGAATACCTTCCCCAGAGAAGTCACTCACTAGCCTGCTGGCTAAACACTACACCAACCTCAGCAGCAACCAGAAGGACCGTATACTGGAGGTGGTGGACAGTGATCAAAAAGGTAGAGTGTACAGTTGTATGTCACTTTGGTGATGATTAATGTAGCAATTTCTTTATTTTCCTCCCTCTCTAGATTAGAATATATAAATACATGAATTAATCCCCTGAAGCCCACTATACAAATATTGACAGATATTTTACTCTCTCTCCATTGTTATATTTTGAATTATAAGCATCACTCTGCACCCCAACTTTTATCGATTATATTTGCCCCCCCATCCCCAAACACACACTATATATTCTCTTGCTGAGAATATATTTTTTCCTTGTGGCCTCTTTCTTTGCTTAGGAGGCTACCTCGTCAGTACACGTTTGTTTTTGTAGTATTGTATATAGTTAGCTTATAGTGTTGAGTGAGTAGCCCCTGTTACGCCAAAGTATAAGTTTGTATTTTCTTTTTATCTTGCTATCTGCCTCATTTAAATATCTCGAATTGTAATAAACAGGTAAACTGTTGTTTCATCGTTTTTGTTGTGTATAAAGGTGAATCTGCCTATTCAGCACTCATGAAACATATCTGGTATGATATAATACAAGCTAAACAAACTTCAAACTGACAATTCAACACAGCAGATTTTGTTGCTATTTCACATAAATAGTACTATGTGATATGAAATCTGTATTGGTTTTGTATGGTTACCGGGGTGGTGATGATTCTTGAATATGTTTACAGGTAGAGATTTGAATGACCCAGCTACCCTTCCCAGTCCGAAGTCTCCGTTGCCTGTGCTCACCAGACAACAAAAAGAGACAGTCTGGAACTCAGATGTTTTCTTCTGCTCGAACCTCCTTCCGATTGGCGGATTTGACCTTTCTGTTCCCAAGGTCAAACAGCGGATCACTTTCACAGAGGCTGAGGATAAGTGAGTTATTTGTTTATATTACCGTAAAAACCCATGTAATTTGCGCACTTTTTTTTCAGAAATTTAATACCCAAAGTGGGAGGTGCGTAAAATACACAGGTATAGAAAAATTCAAGTTTTTTTTAAGGAAAAGATCGACGATTCTGAGGGATCGCCATCTTGGATTATGTCCCTTGGTACACGGAACTCTAAGACAAATGACGATCAACAAATTTATTTATGTCAAACATTAATAAAAGATAAATAATGTGTTGTTATGTGAGTTTATGTGAAAAGTATTAATAAATAGGTAACCGTTAACAAAAAAAGTTTAGCCAAATTCCTATGCCAGAGAATCGCCGATCAACTTCAAGACATTACGTTTCGACATCTCGGTGCGTTTCCCCATACTATTACGAAAATGTAGTTGTTCGATTTAAGCTCCGTTCTATTTAAGTTCTGTAAGTTTTTTCAAATCGCCTATGCGTATACGTATAGCATGTTTTTTTTTCCGGCTCACTTTCATGCTGATCTCGCGTCTAACATTACGTAAACACGTGATTGATAATAACCTCGTGAATTATTTCAATATTTATTAAATGAAGCATCGTAAAAATAGTCTGCGTTAACCAATTTTTTTCCTTGGAGTAGATTTGAAAAGGATGTATTGATTGTCCACGCTTCTAGTATAAACATATTTTTTATAATCCCTTATCAGTCAAATCAGTCTGTAGTTATGACAATGCAGTAGGGCTTCGTAATTCACGCCACGTGTTGGCGAGTGAAAAAAACAACAACACGGTCCGTCGATCGCGACTGCAAATCATTTCAATTAGTAGAGCTATTGTTAACGGGTAATCACAGAGATAGTGTTAGCTCATTACTGCATTGTAATTTGTAAAAAAATATCGCCAAACCACGGACTTAGATAATCTAATTCCGTGGCCAAACTGAACTGTGACATGACCTGGTTTGAAGTGACGTAACCCAAGCCGTCATGATGAGCCCTTCTCACTGATCGTAATTATGATCAATAAAAGGTATCTAATTATGTCTTTCACCAGGAGATATGCACCAGCGGTTACTAAACATCGAATTACTTATTAATTGATATGTTTTTGTAAGCAAGTAAATGTTTTATGTAAAATATTGCTAAAATGAATTGATGTATGCCGATATGCGCACACGTGTGTGTCATGTGTGATCAGATAATTCAAAGAAAACAAGCAACAAAATACACATTTTACGTAGTTTCTTCTTGGTTTTAAATATCATTTTACATCAATGAAAAAAAAATCATAGAAATATATTTAAAAAAAATATATTCGGAGATCGATTTTCGGAGCATGAACATCTTTTTTTTTCCAGATTTTTTGGGTGCGCAAAATATTCGAGTAGAAGCTTTTTTCCAGATTTTCAGCCTCAAAAAGTACCTGCGCAAATTACACAGGTGCGCAAATTACATGGGTTTTTACGGTATACAACCTTAAACATCTGCTGGTACATTTTCAAACTATTATAATGATGCTGTATAGATTAAAACAAAATCCATAGCAGGCTAGTACATGTTCAGATGATTTGTACACAATCCTTGTTTTGTGTGAAGTAAAACATCATCATGTAACAGTCTTTGTTTCTTGTGCCAGCTCATATACTTCATGTTCTTTTTTCCTTGCAAAATTCCTTTGTACATCTCCCTTAATATATCGGTTAACCACTTCATAATGCCAAGAATTGGCTTGACAAATGTTGGCAGTATAACTAGGTTTCAATTTGTGGTTCAATTGTAGCTTCAGTAAGTCAAGTCATTAATATTCCCTGTGATTTGTACAGTAACAGCTAATGGGAAACTTTTGCTTGTACTTTGACAGCATGTTTTCACAGATAAGCTTAATATTTACAGACTTTTGGCATGTGTCCATAAGCTTAAGCAAAATTTATGAATTTGTAGGAATGTTCAGTGTACTACGATATGTTACTCCACTGTAACCGCAAAAACACAGACTTGCTCCAGAGCAGAATTTTTCAAGCAATACAACTTGTAAAACAAATCACTCTTATAAAATTGACTGAAGTATTAAAAACAAATTATGTGTATTTGATTTTTGAGTGTTAACTCCTTTGTAATTGGCATTAACAGTGAAACATTAAATCTCATCTCAAAATTGAAAGATATAAAATATCTCTGAAATGTTTCTTTCAAGCACATTGAAACAAGGAATATAGATCTTTAAAACAGTAAAGCAAGTCTTCCTTATTCTATCTCCTGGTAGGCCGACATGTGGCATTTATATAATATTTAATAAGTATTATCATAGTATTTTGATTTTGATGACCTTTGACAAGTGTAGTTTGTTGTTTCAGTTTATTGGCCCTTGGCTACGATCAGTTCTCTTCGTTTCCACTCCATCGGGAGTTGATACAGAAGTTTCTGCTACCGTGTAAAACACCGGATCAAATCAAAATCAGAATCAAGAACCTGTCAGCAAGCAAGATTGGTGATAATGTTATAAAGGTGAGAGTGGAAACCTTGTTCATAAATATCAAATTGGGATAAAAGTATTTCCTGAATGGTTAGTCTATAAAAGTTTAAAAATCTACACTAGTTCAAACTGAAAAAGAGGGTTGTTCCTGTACCTCAGGCAAGTTAATTATATATAATTTTACACCCCAGTGCCCTATATTTATACTCTCCTATGAAGTTAAGCTGGATATATAATATTTGCTTTGTATGTGCATTTTCTCATCTATCTCTCCATAGTAAAATCTTGTGAAAAGATATGTCAAGAACCCCTCAACAGATTCTTGTGTCTATTGCACCATAGTTAGGTTACCTGGAATTTATAGTGTACCATAGTTAGGTTACCTGGAATTTATATTGTAACATAGTTAGGTTACATGGAATTTATAGTGTAACATAGTTAGGGTACATGGAATTTATAGTGTAACATAGTTAGGGTACATGGAATTTATAGTGTACCATAGTTAGGGTACATGGAATTTATAGTGTACCATAGTTAGGTTACCTGGAATTTATTTCGGTGGTCATCGGTCAAAGTTAGAGGGTCAAAGGTCACATTTGAGCACTTTTAAGTGAAAGGAACTTGTGCACAAGATCTTGCAAACCTCTCAACAAATTTTATTTATATCTACACAATAGTTTGGTATCACTTAATTCTAGACTACACAAACTTTAGTGGTCATTGGGGAAGGTTGCAGAGTCAAATATTGCACTTGACCAATTTTGATATCCTAATGCGATGTGGTAGGAGACGGGGGGAAGTTATATTTATGTGAGGCCTTCCTTACTTTGTTTATTATTATTTTAGCAACTGAAACGCACAAAGCAACTGCCAGAGTTTCCCCAGTATGGCCTTGACTGGGAAGAGAGTCTTATGAAGGCCCCAAAGGATCAACTTATCAACAGAAATTTCCCTTACTGGTGCAAGGTAACTTATTTGGAGTGTCTATTCTTAAAAAACCACAACAGACAACACAAGACAGATTTACACAAATAGTTTACTGTTTCAGAGTCCTTTTATTTATCATGTTGACATTTTAGTTGTGTAAATAAATTACTATGTACACAATAAAAATCCTTGAAACTGGCAAGTAGTGCTTAGCCGATACACATGTGGTAAATCTTTTACTATGAAATCTGCATCAAGACCCTCTGTGATTCCTCTGGGCCAACAACAAGAATGATGAATTCAAGTTGAATTTTTTTGTTTATGAATAAAATTTATATTTAAAATCTTTTGTAACACAGGTAAGTAGCATCCAGCTTAACTTATTGATACACTATGTTACAGTGTTGAGCAAATGTTTATTGAAAAGAAAGATGCATATATTACCAGGTATGAAATTTCTGTTTTAAAATATGGACAAGGGTTGCCCTAATAAATTTATTGCCTGAAATTCATTCTTTTGTTCGAATGTTTCATATTCTTTGACCGTAGGCAATAAAGAATTCCAAAGAAAATAATTCAAGTAAACAATCTACCAGACCCCAGGATCTCAAAATAGATCACGTCTATCCTAGGGTTTGGCTTCCTACTTACAAATATTCTAAGTCTATAGGTCATACAGTGTATCACTAAAACAAAACCTGGAGTCCTGCGGTGGGATTGATGTTTTACTGGTGTAGACCCAAAGATAGACTTGCTTTATTTAACTATAAATAATTAAAGTTATTGAATTGTTGAATTAAATGAAGCTATATATACATTGCCTTACAGGAGATGAAGATTAAGGAGATCATTGGCACAAGTGGGGAAGTGAGTGTGGATAGACCTATGGTGGGGAGGAAGAGACGTGCTCGCAGTGTAAACCTGCCTATTAGGACGAAAGAAAACAAAAGCAAGGTAAACATTTTGTAGCCATTTTGAAAATCTGTTTGGAATTTAAACTCATATACTACTAAAGCAATTTCAAAAACCTTAATGGGAATGATAAGCGTACGGTTCTACCAATTTTTTGTTATTTTGCAGCTGTAGAGGTAACTCATTGATTAATGAATCGGTGATTGATGCCCTGGTCGCGATGATAGTAACAAATTGTAAGCATGCTAGTATCATGACAATACACTCTACCTGTTTTGTCTGCGCTACAATGTGAACATCCCACACTCTGTACTGATAGGGTGTTATACTAAGTCGAGGCGTAGTAGTTAAGCAGTGTTCGATCTATCACTAGATACAAAATTATTGTTTTTATTGTAGAAACAAATATTTTCTATCTTCTTGAAGTACCTAGGGTCTACTGTAGTGCATGATTCTGATCAGTTTTTGACTGATTTGAAATCCAATATGGCCACCATGTGGATACATTAAGGTTTCCAAAGGATTGATGGTTAGCTAACCATGTTTATCAAGTTTGTCCAGAGTACACAATGGCAATATCCAATCTTAACTAGAAAATTAGGATATCACTATGAAAATTACATTTGAGTATGATGCTACAAATATTTACGCAATAACATGATATTGTTTTTGGATTTACATGCACAGTCACAGCTGAAGAAGACGCGGTCTGCCCCGACCACGCCTGCGGATCCTGACTTGGTAGATAGCTTGTCCATGAGTGCCATCATGAGTAAAACACAAGATTCGTCATTGGATACAGAATTCAAAACACTGAGCAGAGATATTGTAATGGTCAATAGGTAAGTTGTTGGTTGTGGTATGCAAAGTGGTATGCAAATATATTTCACTGTGAAAAACACCACCCAGAATGTTTGATAATTAATAAAGGTATAGTTTTATGTAACTGTGACAAGTGTCTCTTATTCCGTTCGTATGCTGTAGGTTCATGTGTGTTATTTATGACAAGAAGAATGTTTTTCTGTATCAACTATGAATTCTTCATGCAAAATTGAGGTCTTTTATATATTTTTGAAGTTTTTTATATATATTTTTTTTCTGTTTCCGTGCTTTACATTAAGTTCTATTAGCCCTACCATTCTCAAAGTTGGGTTAATGAATAGACATTATCATTCACAATGTCACATTTTATCTTATTTGTTTAGATATTTATAGCCATGTTTCTTGTCCACAGCCCCCAGCCACGCTGGAAGAAGTCATTACAACAGAGTGCCAGGAAATCTCCAGTGCCTGGATTTATCTCCCTTGACCAGTGCTCAGGATTAGACAATGATGGACAGCCTGCTAGTCCTATAAACATCCGTATTCTTGACAGTGTCCCCAGCCCTGCAGGGATACACAGTGTGGCAAGTCCTGCACACCCAACCCTATCCAACCCTGGCACACCCAAGTCCCGTCAGGGTGTCCAGGAGCAGATAACTCCGCACAAACCTGACTCTGTGAGGGCACTACCTGTGTCTCCCATTGTGATTGTGCAGGGCAAGCCCCCTGTTACCTGTGCCAAGCCCACTTTCCTGGTGGTCAACAGTGTGGGTAGTGTGTCAGTAGCTGGTCAGCGAATAACTCCAGTCAAGACGGTCAGTTGCCGTGATAGGGTAGTTCCAAGTGTTCTGGAAGCCAGAACAACAGGAGCCCTTGGAACCCCACCAAAGAGAACAGAAACACTGTCAAACATTGTAGAACTTCCACTCTCTGGTGGTGGGAAACTTCTCATAACGCCTCCTAAAAGGGATTCTAAGCAAGATGGCAACTTAAAATCAAACCAATCATGCATAGATTCCCCTACAACAATAATATCGCCTTCTGGACCACTCAGACAAAGTACACCAGAGAATGTTCACAGCTCTCAAGAGTTGCTGGCTAAAGCACATGGAAATGTTACACCAGAAAATGTTCGTCACTCTGAAGAATCACCAGCCAAATCAGCTCTGGAAATCGTGGCATCTTATGCCCCTTTTATTTATTCTCCCCTCAAATCAGACACCCTGTCTCCAGAAAAGTTCTCGGAACTTATCCAATTGTCACAGGAAAGAACTCCTACCAAGTCCTCTGCCTTTGTCCCCCGGTACCGCCCAGTGGCCCCAAATCCGTTCTTTTCCTCCCCTACAAAGACTGTGTCACCATTCCTTGGGAAGGACAAAAGTCCTCGTAGAAAACAGTTGGCCAAGAAAGCTCAGGCTATTTGTCCAAAGGGGTTTGTATTAAAGAATTATGTCTCGCCATCGAAAAAGGCAGCAACAAACATTGTTCACAGAGTTTTAAAGAGAAATATTCCAAAGATTTTACCCAGAAACTCTCCAAGAAGTGAACTGCAAATCAAAATTCGGTCTCCTGATTCCAGTAAAAAGAAATCCAGCCAATTTTCTGATGAAGAGAAAGGTGAATATGATATGATAGAATCTGAGGATCTGTCAGACGACAATGACGATGTTGTAAACAGTGAAAAGACAAGAGGAAAGATAGGGAGGAGCGGAAATAAGAGTAATCAGAAGTCAAGACAGAAAGTGGCGCGGCCAGAAAGTGATGACACTCAAAGTGAGAATGAAGATGGCAATGATTTATATGACAGTCAGAATGATGATGAAGAGGATTTAGATGATGAAGATCACATGGCTGAACTAATGGCTGCCAGCTCCAGAATAGGGTATGTATCAAAATTTAAATGACAGTTTAATGTCTGTCAGATCCAGAATGGGGAAGGTGTCAAAAGAGAATATAGTAAGGTCATGACTCCAGCTCAAGACTGGAGTCTCTCATTCAAATGCAGAAAATTCTGTAATAATGATTTTAATGTTAGCATTGTCAAAATTTCGCTTCAACTTACTTCATTTAAAAAGAAATATCTATCTGGTCCTAGACTGGGCGGGATAGAATTCAATGACATTCTGGCACGAAAGGCATACCAGAACCAACTTCTGATTTCTGCAACTAACTGCAGAAATATTCATCACCATTTTATTGGATGTTAATCCACTAGCTTATTTTCTGTTATGGTCTTATTATAAAATGTTCTTTTCCTAACTAGCAAATTATGTTGATAGAGAATTCAACTCGGTAATACTAATAAATTTAAATTGGTGTTAAAATCTGGGATACCAAATTATTATTAACAATTTCTAGGCCTCCTTTTTAAATGCCTGATTTATTCATGAAGTTCTAACAATGAATAATTAAAGTGCCAGAAATAGCTCATTTTTGCATGCAGTTTAAGAAACTAAGTGTTTAAGAATTTAAGGATCTAAAAAAAGTATGAATACAACACTGAATCAAACGACTGAAGTAAGATTGTATTTGATTGACTAACACTTGTCGTTGAACAGGTTTGCCCAGAAGAAGGGAGGGCTGAAAGATAAAAATAGGAGTAAAGCTCAGAAGAGGAAGGACTCTGCGCTAGCCATGCTGGCTCCGGACCTACTGAACACTGACCCCCAGGTAAACACAGCTCTCCACAGTTAACTCTGACCTCTCAGCCAGTCATACTTCATGTGAACCAGTTACTATATTCTGGGCAATACGAGGTAACAAAATACAGTGTGAGGCAGGTTTCACATTGTCAGCAAGGAGATCTTTAAGAAATTATCAATATTTGTCTTATATTATGTAGAAATATATATTAGAGAAAATGTTGAAAATAAAACAGAGATTTGACACAGACCATATCTGCTAGAAAATCAGTGATTCTCCTTCCATATTTCTTTGTAATATACAAACATGTTCACTTCATCTCTCTACGACCACATCGAGATGTAATGGAATGTTGTTTTGTGTTGATATCAGTGCCTACCTGGTATAATTGAGAAGTTTTTCACATGCAAACATATTTACATGATGTGGCATGGCTCATTTTGATTTCATGAACAAGATTGGCGATGCCATATTTTTTAAGACACTGCATGCAGTGTCCTATTCTGCCAGTTGGATGCATGTGGAAACAAATATGCAAAATGAGCATGCAAATATGTACCCTCACCTGACAAAGCTACCATAGTTCATCCCAGACAAGTCAGTAGTACACAGCTCACTTACAGGTAGTTTTTAATATGGATGAGACTTTCGAAAGAGCATTGTACACGAATAAGGTCTATGGGCGGCAAATATAACATGTATCGTGGTGCCCAATATAAGACATGATCATTAAATAAAGAAAAGAGTTGTTAGAACTGAAAGTAAACGACGGTGAAATCAGTTATTTTCGTGGGGCCCAAATTTCGTGGTTTCCCTACAAAACAACATTTCATTGGTACATGAATTTGTGGATTTTGAGGACCTACTCAAATGGAGAATTGCTTTATATCAAAATCATAATTATTTCGTGGACTTTTGAATTTGTGGATGAAGATTACATACGAAATCAACCAAATTAAAAATCCCCTGAAATTTTGAGATTTCTCAGTACATTGTTTTTTCCCTATATGTGTATTCAAACTATTAAACCTGTGCGTTTTACCTGTTATCAGAAGGATGATCGGGACACGGCGTTCGCCCAGGCTTATCTGTGTCGTGCTCGGGAGGTGCTGAAGACAGATGATGACACGTATGAGGCATTCCTTAAGTTGTTGTATGACTTCGGCAAGAGTGACTTCTCCCCAGTCAAAGTAAGCTCATTTGTTCTTACTATTTTATTAAAATTTTCGAATTATCACATCTATCAAAAGCATGTTGCAGCAGATTGGTATTTCTAACATGTTGCCAAAAAGGTTCTTGGGTGCTTTATTTGAATTGTAAATTTCTTAAACTCTGGGATCCATTCTCACTTAAAAGAGGGAGTCAAGATTTCTTGACTTATAGGGAAATAACACGTGAGTTCAAACTTACAAATTGGTATTTCTAACATGTTGCCAACATTTTTAGTCTCGCTGTGTGCATCATCCGTTGTGCGTAAACTTTCTACATTTTTGACTTCTTACGAACTATAAAGTTTATAATTATTTAAGTATGGAAATAAGTCTAGGTAAAATCATTTGACTTGGTTCGAATTATGATGGAATGGAACTAAGGTATGAAAGGTATTGAAAATGTAAGATAAAGTTGGGGTCCAAAGGAGGAAAATTGATGGAAATTTCCAAACATATTCTTTAGACTCGGATGTCCAAGAATCAAATATTCTTCATTGGTGTACAAGGTTCTTGGGTGCTTTATCAGAATTGTAAATTTCTTAAACTCTGGGATCCATTGTCACTTGAAGAGGGAGTCAAGATTTTTTTACTTATAGCTAGGGAAATAACACTTGAGTTCAAACTTACATGGAATTACAATTGCTACCATTCAATAATCTTCATGGATGCTTACGAAAGTTGTCTTAATTTCATTTCACCAAATTTACCCAATCCCCTCTGAGCTTGGAATCAAATACATCGTACTAAAATTCATATGGATTTTTTTTGGGTATATCTATTACGGTATGAAAAACAGTAGCAATAGGAAACACTGCTGTCTTACTCCTTAAATCCAGTGGTAAAACCTGTATTCGCAGCTTACCACATGGTTATGAAGATTCTCCTCTCTGACAGAATTTAGTTGAAAATGCTATAAGCATAAATTGTGTGTGAAAACACAAATCCGGTAACGACGAGACATATAATTACGTGTAATTCTTGTTCCATAATCAGGTGAAGGTTAAAATTTGATTTAGTTTTAACATTACCTTTATATATAGAGAGAGTAAACATCATTTCAAAATAAAGGAGAAATGTACCTGTGTTAAATTGAAAAGACCTAGGATATTAAGTCACCACTAGTAAATACCAGGGTATATGCCAGTGCTGTCGTAGGAAGGTGAAATGGTACCTTAAAATCAGTGTAATTTGCACAGGTATTTTTTTGGACTGAAAATTGTGAAAAAACCCTGAAATTAAACATGTTCGCATCAAAATTTGTTCTCAAAACCAACATGCAGAATGACACTAACATAGATCTACAAAAACCCCATAAAAGACAGATGTCTACCATTTGAAGTCATTACTTGAATAGATTCTAATAAGAACTCTGAACCACTGCCAAAAACCTCAAATTTAAAAATGGAAACATTTTCAACCACTACCTGGGGCAGGGAATGAATTGGGGAAATTGGCTGTTGATTTAAAAAGAATCTTTAGCTCGACCAAAAAAACCCAAAAAAACAATAATTTGAGGTTTTTATATACCGCTTTATCACAACCTTGTTCGAATTCATAGGTCATCTCATAGACTCAAAGTGGTGCACAAATTTGTATCCGTGGTTATAGGGCTTCTGCAACCAGCCAATATCTTTCTCAACTCCGTGGAGAGTATACAGCCGGTGCTGCCATTTTGGCGCTCACAGCTAGCGTTCAACAATTCTAGCACTGCCCAATCATGTACTCATTTACAGCTGAGTAGACTGGAACAAGCAGAGTAGAGTATCTTGCTCAAAGATACAACACAGTGCTGTGCCGTAACTCGAACCTGCAACCCTTTGGTCATGAGCCCAGCGTCCTACCACTAGACTACCGTGCCAGCTTACCTAAAATAGCCCTTATGGATGGAAATATCTGATGTTACTTTATCAAAATGTGTTAATTTCAACCCCAGCCCTAGGTCAACGAATTCCCCCTTCAGAGGGTGTTATATAGTGTAGTTTACACGAAAATAATTCTTTTGTGTGTCTTTATTTATGATGGAAAGTACCAAGAAATAAAGTTTTCAGCATGATAATTGAGGCATGTAGTGTCTTCATGTTGTTAATACTATGCCCCTGTGTCCCACCATTTGGCTTTTGGGTGTGAGGTTTTCTTTACTGAAATAAGTGAAAATAACAAAAATGTTTTTGTTGTTGACATTATTGGTAATGTACTGTCTTTTGGTTGTGTAAAGAGTTATGATTATTTTGGCTTCTTGTGTCAACAGCAAAAAATGGAATACAACTCAGGAGGCTGTTAAATCTACTGATTCAATCTTGTTTATTTATAGCATACACAAAAAGGCCATTTAGTATAAGAGCATCACAGAAAAGCAAGAAAACTCCCTATATATATGATAGAACAAATTCAGTCAATATACAACATGATACAAGTATAATCATTTCATAAGCTTTGTAAAGAGAAGCATATTGTCAAGGTGAAGCTTGCATATTTTTTAATTTTATCAAAGATTGTAACATTTATTACAGGTCCATCATATGATAGCAGACAATTAGGTTGTAAAAGAATTTTTCCAAACAAAATAAATAATTTCTTTTTTGAACGGTTGTATGAAAACAATAGACATATTTTACTAAAGACTGAGACAGTGTAAACGTAGGTACAGTAAAACCTTGTTATACTGTCATCAGAGAAATGTTGGCGTTATAAAGAGGTTTGGCAATAAATTGATGAAAATGTATAAACAAATTCTCAAGAATATGAGAAAAAGGTACATTGAAACATGTCTGCAGTAATTAACAAGGTGGCAGACGAAACGAGGGGCATTATACAAATACATTGTGGCTTTACTGTACATACCAGTGGTATTCTAATTTGAGCACTATTCATGCTTTAAAGATTTAGTTTAATTATGATTATTATGCTAATTTTAGTATCTGTATATAGTTTCTTATTGGATACATTGCCGGTTTACCAAATCATCAATGTGCTATTTTGTTAAAGTGAACGATATGCTAAAATTTGAGTTCGATAAAATAAGTACTTTTACATGTACACGCAATCATACTGGAGGTTTAAGTGCGATACGAAGAAACGTTGTATTATGTTTTAGCAAGATTGTAGTGTCGTACAATAATGTCATAATCACATTATGGCAGGTCTAACCAATCCAAAAATCATCATTTGTTATGGCATGTACTTATTTGTAATATAATAATGTAAAAGTCTCCAGGAGTACAGAGCCACACTCACCCTTGTCATTCCTTATGAATATTTCCATTGTCTTAATTGATAAATCCTCCTACTTGAATGTTTTACCTGGGGCTGTAATGCTACAGTGTAGTATTATGTACAACCATCCACTACAGCATTACCATTACGTGCCTTACTGGGCAGTCGTCATACAAATGTTTCTAGATGGGTATGTCCTGCTTCACACTCAGATATCTGGATGCCGCACAACATTGGTGAAGGTTTTCCTCACAGTTCTCTATTGGTAATTGAAAAAATGTTTTGTGAAAGTGTTGTATGGGTATTTTTGTTTATGTCTTGTGAAAGTGCTGTAGAAATGGCACTGTTTATGCCGTGGGAATGCTCTGTGTTGGAGTTTTGTGGAAGTTCTGGATGACTTTCCTCATTCATGTTTTGTGCTAGCTCGGTAAGACTAACTTTCAAGGTTAGTGAATGTTCTAGTGTTAGACTGTCTTCATTCAAGTTTTGTGGGTGTTCTGCATGACTGCCCTCATTTATGTTTTGTGGAACCTCTGCAAGACTGCCCTCATTTATGTTTTGTGGAACCTCTGTATTACTGTCCTCACTCAAGCTATGTGAAAATTCTGTAACACTGCTGTCATTCCAGTTCTGTGGAAATTCTGTACTACCGCACTCGTTATTATTGTGTCCAAGTGCTGTTAGATTGCCCCCACTGAAGTTCTGTGGAAGTTCTGTACTACTACCCTCATTTAAGTTTGGTGGAAATTCTGTATGACTGCTGTCATTCAAGTTGTATGGAAGTTCTGTAATATTGCCTTCATTTAAGGTTTGTGGTTGTTCTGTTAGACAGCCTTCATTCAAGCTATGTGAGCATTCTGTAAGATTGCCCTCACTGTGTGGAAGTTCTGAATGGGAGTCATTGTTCATGTCAGAGTTTTGTGAAAATTCTGTGTCCGGAATTTGTGAAAAGTCGGTATCAGGATTTTGTGAACATTTTGTTTGTGTACTACTGCTCAGTTTTTGTGATGAACATGGAATGTTTGATAGCGTGTGCGATGTTTGCATGCTATAGGATGTGTCATGTGATATATGTGTTGAATATGAGGGATTTTCAGACAGCTCCATATTGGTTATGGAAGTAGAACTGGGCCTTCGTCGGTATCTGTCCGTACTTGTGGAGTACAATGTGCCTGTCTGTGACTGTTGTTTACACACAAACAGTTTCCGGAGCTCCCTCCGGAATCGCTGTCCTGTTATACAGTAAAGGAGGAAGTTGACGGCGTGGTTCATATAACTAAAAAGGCTTGTAATTCGCGAAACCAGTAGGTACAGTGCCAGGCGCTCAAAGTCAATAGGGTAAGATGAAAAGTCAAAGTAGTTAAACCGAATACTGAACAGGATAACCCGAGGGGCAGAGGTCACCAGAAAGGTGAAGGTCACAGAAAGCAGCATGATTGTCAGTTTCTGATGGAAGTGACGATTCTCCATGGTTTTTTCATTCTCTGCTGTATTACTCCGACGCCGTAAAGTTTCTCTGAACCTGGTAGCCCGTTTGTTGTCTCTGATTATGAGGGCGTTGATTGTCAGAAGGACAAGAAAGGGAATGAAGGAATACAGTGTCGCATCTATCAGTGGGAATATGTCATCGTGAAAGTCCTCATAATCCTCAGTTGGGGAGCAGTATTGTCCAGATATGGTCACTGTCCAGAAAAAGTGGCTGTTGATTAATACGAACATCACAAACAATCCTATAGTTACTTTCTTAGCTCGGCTGACAGTAGCAA